GGGGGTGGCCCCTGATAGGATGCACATCATCCTCTGGAGAGCCACGTGGATGGCATTGTTAATGGATTGCTCTTGCAGTCCGTTACAGCTAATAACAAGGTAGGAATCTTGTATATGGAGCCATTACGCTACCTGGAGGCAAAATAATTTCCAGGAATGCTGGCACAGACATGGTTGACCACTGTCTGGAACTATATATTGTTTGCTATGGTCCAGCTTCAGGCATCACTGGGGACTTGGAACCTATCTCCTGCAGATATCGGGGTTCTACTGTACAATTTGCAGAATTGCACAAAACTATTCCTTATCCTTAGGTACGTCTGTCAAAGCATCAGTCTAAGGTTCCAGGTCCCTGGCTTTGGAAAGCTTGCACTGCCATGAGAGAGCCTCAGCTCTGGTCTTAAGTTGGCCCTTCTCTTTAATCACTGAGTCATATATTGACATTAAAACCACGATAAATCATAATCAGTTTGAATTCAAAGCTGTCTTTAGATCAGTCAGTTCTTTATGCGAGTGTCTTAAGTGGGGCTCAGTTCCTGGGAGTGGCTGTAGGATTGCAGCCGTATTGGTTAGATGATCCAGACCAACGTATTGATGCATTTTATGTCTTCCAGCTCTTAAAGGAGCCTCATGCCCACTGTCCTATTTTTGATCATCCAGTTGTTTAATAAATATCTCTAGATTATAGTTAGATGTCACATCCAAGAAATTAATGAGCTATAATTACTTGGATCTTCTCGCCTCCTTTTTAAATATAGGGACAGCGACACTCATTTTCCACAGACAGTTCGGGGAATGTGTGAAACTGCTGTGGGTGAAACTCAGGCAGCTGTTTTTTGCTGGGTCAGGCTCTGCTTTGCCTGGACCAGACTTGCCAAAGCTGCTGAGCAGTGGATTCAGACAGGCGCCTTTGCTAGGCCTACCTGAGAAGCCTGGAGGAGGAGCCTGGGCCTTTCTATGTGCAAAGCACCAGGCAAGGGAGATGGAGGCAGTGAGCATTCAAGGGCTGTCCTGTTTGCCTCCATTAGAACCTGTGAGCAGATGGTCTCTCCATTACTGCAGTTCTGCTAGGAAACAAAAACTGTCCACCAAAGTGTGCTTTGTTCCCCAAGAATCACTGGAAGTGCACTTGTGCAGCCACTTCAGGTTACAGTGTGGCTACTTCCATTTGTGACTGATGCAGGAGGAGGTAGAACAACCCCCCAAGGATCCTGGGGTGTCCAGAGTTTGCCTCTCCATTCCCAAGATGGCCACCCTATTGCACATACCAATCTGGGAGGAAGCCCTCTTGAACAGACTAGGGTTTGCATCCTAGCAGGCATATATAGAATGGGGATGTAAGTCTTCCTTACCTGCCTTCACATAATTGGCTTTTAAAGAGAGTGTAACTAAGTGGAGGCCTCAAAAGCTGTTCCTACAGCAGCAGGGAAGGGTCAGTGCTGCAGAGGGAGGAGATGAGCTGGGGCTGTAAACGTCTCCCGGAGAGCAACATGAAAGCTGCAGGCCATGTGTTAGTCATTCCTGCTTACAGGGTTGCCACCATAGCCTATGGCATCAACTGACCCATGTACTCTTTGTTGTTGTTGTTAGTTGCGAAGTCGTGTCCAACCCATTGCGACCCCATGGGCAACACTCCTCCAGGCCTTCCTGTCCTCCACCATCCCCTGGAGTCCACCTATGCTCACGCCAACTGCTTCAGTGACCCCATCCAGCCACCTCATTCTCTGCCGTCCCGTCCTTCTTTTGCCATCTATTGTTCCCAGCATTAGGCTCTTCTCCGGGGAGTCCTTCCTTCTCATTAGGTGGCCAAAGTATCTGAGCTTCATCTTCAGGATCTGGCTTTCTAAAGAGCAGTCGAGGTTGATCTCCTCTAGGACTGACCAGTTTGATCACCTTGCGGTCCAGGGGACTCGCAGGCGTCTTCTCCAGCACCACATGTTCTCTTTAACAAATAATAAAACTCAGGAAGACATCAGGAAAGGAGGATGCCTTTTTCTCCTCATCTTTGGTACATGATCAAATAAATGGCTAGGATCATCAGAGTGTGGGCATATGAGCATTTGGGTTTTGTTCACAAAACATGCAAACAAGATCCAAATATGGCCACCTGTCCACCAAAAATATTCTCAACGAGTCAAACAAGTGCTTGCGTCCTTCTCATTCCCAGTTCATTTTGCAGGAATCTTCCACTTGTGCAAATTCCTCCACTGTAGCTTATGGAGATTTGCCGAATTTGTTCAATCACTATTTAACTGGCTCAAGTTTTCTGTTCACACTGATCACTAAGGAGTGATTATGAGCAAGGGACTAGCCATGAGATGAGTAACAAGGTGATATTAGGTTGAAAAAAAATTTTTTTTTAGGTTGAAATTTTTTATTTAAATAAAAACATACTACAAGGTGATATTAGGGAATCCTGGCATTCTCAAACAACCCTGATTTGCCCATTCCCATGCAAGAGGCATATTTCTCATGTAAGTGAAGGCAGGAGGAGGCAACCTTTGTGGACTGTGGGCACATATGGGAACTTGGGAACTGTCCTGGGCACCACCACAAGATGGCTGCCATAGGAGGTGTGGCAAAGGACAAACAACTTGATCAGAAAGCATATTAATTTTAAAAAATATATGTGGAAGGAGTAGGGCATCTTGTCAGATGCCAAGAACACTTTGTGGGTGAGCTGGTGGTCATGGACACTCTATTGCATATCCCTGGTGTTGAAGCAGGGGCAGCCTATATTAGCCATAATGAGCCCCTTGTGTCACTAATTTCCAGAGTACCTTGCATTTGTGCCACTGACTCAGGAATGTAGGAAGCGTAATTGTTGTTCATGTACTTTCTTAGAGGAAGAAAGCTAGTGAATTTAGTTCTGAGGTCTCATTCCCTGACACAGACCTAATTTGAAGTTCTGCAAGAAATCAATGGGTACAAATGGCACTCTGGGATAGGCCTACAAGCCCATCTCAGAAGCCCTCCAGAAAATGATCCTGCAGCAGATTCAACATATCCAAAGTGTCAGGGGCCAGAGCTTTTGAGGATTTATTAGTGCTTCATAGTAATCCCTCCACTTCAGAGGGAATTATTTGGTTGCAACATTTCATAAAAGGATGGCCTGAATAATTTCCTGTTTTAAAAAAGTTCTCAGGGATGGCTGTGAAAATTTATGATGGCCATAAGTCCCACAGACACTGTAACTAAGGTCTGTGCTAAATATTTATTAGGTTGGAGGACTGGGCTTATCAAAAGATTATTATTCAGGAAGAGTAAACACTGTTTGTGTCAAACCATTCAGCCGCCCTAAAGATTGCCCAAATAATAACTGCATCTTATTCCAATGAGTAATGCTAGCACAAACTAATACGCACTAGAGACTTCTTCACCTGCAAAAGTGCTGAAGAAAGACGTCTTCCAAGCCCATGAAACCAGATTACTTCTCCAGAAGAGGGGAAACAGGGTAGATCTTTGCATGTTTCCTGCTCGTAGACTATGTCAGGAATACCAATCATTCCTCTAACCAACATAAGACTCAAAAGGTTTGTATTGGTATATTTAGGCAATTCCATCTCATTATTGTAAAATAGGCATAGACCCTGAAGGCTGGGTCTAAACAAAACAACTGAACATTCACACGTGAACTAACCTAAATCAAGAATGATATCTGTGTAAAGGATAATGCTGATTGGTCTTCGGCAAGCATACAGTGGACCAGTAAACTTACACAGATATTTAGCTCTTCGGTTATTTTCTGTTTAAATAACCAAAGGGCTATGTGTTTTCAACACATTAGTAAGATTGTTCAGCAGATTATAATCTGTTGGGAGAAGCATGGGGAAACCTAGGTAGCACATGTTATAAAACATGTAGTCTTAACTATTTATGCTTTTTAATACTGACTTTTTTTTTGCCTTAATCTTACTGGGATTATATCAGTATCATAATTATGTTTTTTACATTTTAGAATACTTAGAGAAATGTTTTATAGGGTGTTCAGTAAATTGAATAACAAACAAAGAGACATCGAAAGCATTGGAAAACTATGGAATTCTGACTTTGGGTTGAGTAAGACCATCGTTTATGACTACTCTTAATGGCAGTCCTCTCTGTTACAACTGAGTACTGGCTTTCAGGGGAAACTGTATCATTTGGTTGACACAGGAAGCTAATTGATATTGGGCCAGCATTGATCCATCTGCTCTTATCTGCTAGGGCTAACAGTTACTCTGGGAGTGGAGGGAATAGTCTTTCCTATCTCCTGCTACCTGATCCTTTGCGGGCATACTCCTATGCATGTTTAAACGGGGAAAAAATGGCTTACAACTCCCAGAGTTCTTGAGCCAGGATTCTGCCTCCAACTGGAGATGCCAGTAACTGAACTTGGAATTTTCTTGATGCAAAACGTGTTCTGCCACCAAGGTGTGCTCTGTCTTGATATTCCTTTCAAAGTCCCCTACCTGTGACTGCAGAATTGTGCGTTATTTTAAATGTGTAGTACAAAAAGTTGCAAAACTTCAAGCCTTCGCATGCAGTATGCCTGGTACCAAGTCTTCTTTCTTTTAGGTGCCAGATGAAAACCTCTATTTAAACAAGTTTTTTGGTTCATTTAATTTAATACTTTTCTATTTTGCTATGGATTAATTTAAGTTCAGTTAATCAGTGGCAGTATTTATTTGGTATGTGTGGGCATATTTTATTATGAGATGTTACCTATTATTATATTGTTTTATCAATTTTATCTGATTATTAACTGTTTTGTTATAGTCTGTGGATGTATTTTATGCTGTTTTAGCATTTGTAAGCCACTCAGAGAACCTTTGGGTTATGGGGCAGCATAAGAATGGAATGAAATAAATAAATAATAACATAAAATAAATAAATTAGATTTTCCTACACCCCAGTTGCTCCAACAGATGGAGGCTGACTTTCAAGAAAACATTGGCAGGGTCAAGGTTTTTGTTTTAGCGTTAAGAACTGACTTGATCTATCTTGTATATTTTCCACAGAGCTTTGCACGCTGGATTGTGGTAGCCATGGTGTTTGCACAAGAGGGACGTGCCAGTGTGAGGAAGGCTGGGTAGGCCCCACGTGTGAGGAGCGTACTTGTAATTCTCACTGCACTGAGCATGGGCAGTGCAAGGATGGAAAGTGTGAATGCAGCCCTGGATGGGAAGGAGACCATTGCACCATCGGTGAGCTGTCTGCGTATCTGATCCAGAGAACTGGGGCTGGGTGATAGGATGGAGGTCTTCCAGAAACAATTGCCTGAGAAGGGTTTTCAACCAAATTCAGAGTTGGATGGAAGAGGTTCCATGGGGGAAATCACAAAATCCTGGGTTACAGTAATGCAAAGAAAATACATTTAGCTCGGATAGCTAAGTTTGAGTCATGGCTGGAGCAAATAGGCAGGAAGAATAAAGGCAATAAATTTGCTGCAATTAATAGACATCAGAACAGTGTGGCATCTCCAAGGCAGCAGCTGGGAAAATCAATTCAGCTGGGCAGTGCTAACCCCACCTTCTCCACCAATTCTCCCACTGATTCGCTTTGCAATACTAACTGGAGATGGATGAGCAACTTTCCCCTTTTGAGCCCCAGGGAAGTATCAAGCTCCAAAGACTGGTCTCCTCCATCCCTGGCACAATTTAAGCCCTGCTCCAGGGCTGCAGACCACATTAAGCATTCCTGGAATTCATAACTCCTAATAATCAGGGCAACTGGGAATGGTTTGTGGGTAGCGGGGAGTCTGTGGAAAATCTATCCAGGGAAGTCAAGGAAAGTTCAACAAGCATCTGTTGGCCTTTTGAAAGGTGCACCCCTTGGCCTTCTGAAAGGTGCACCCCTTGGCATTCATGCTTCTGCAAGACTATTCAAGGCTCAGGATTTCTCTTTTTCTTCTTGTTGCCCTAACTGAGCTGTTTTGACTCCAGGATTTTGTGTGAAATAATACTGACATAGCCATTAGAAAACACACAGCCCATTTCAGATTCACTTAATAGAAACTCTGTTGAGAATAAAACCATCAGATGGTTTAAATAATTCCTATATCCTCTGCCTTCACTTTATAGGATTTAAATATTGTGCTAGTTATTATGGATATTCATTTCTCCCCCTCCCCTTTACCCCTAAGGCTAATTTCTAATGATATTCCTAATAAGAAAGTAGAACTCACAGATCTTTTCAGAAGTCACCACTCAGCTGTAGAAATGTAATTGTTACATTTTAATGAAAAATGATACATTTTCCCCAAGACATTTAATAGTGTATCTTGGCAAAATGTCATTTAGATGTTCCAAAAGTGTTTTTATCCATAAATGTTTTAATTGCATGCAGGAGTCTTGGGTGCCTAATTTATTCTAACACATCAGCCAAATGCTAGCGCTTCTGCTTATTTCACTTTCAGGCATATTTTATGTTTGATCAGTGCATGTCCTTTTTAAAATATATATTCCTTGTTATCTTGGTTACATGTTAAGCAAGAATATAGTTTAAAATTCTTATTATGTATTAGGCATTTGTGGGAGGTAGGAAACTGAATCTAGGGATGTCAGAGAAATCCTCCATGGATTAAAATGGATTGGGATTTCTCTGGCTCTGATCTGATCTGATCTGATCTGGCACGTTTTCTTTTCTGACTCATGTGGATTCAGCAGACTTGCAGGCAGGTCTCTCACTTGTGGGGGTGAGATTTGCACTAATTTGCATTGACTTCTGCACGCTGATGTATTTGCACATCAGCACTAATGCAAATCAGTAGTGATGTGAATTGGATGGTGGAGGACAGGAGAGCCTGGAGGAATGTTCTCCATGGGATCATGATGCATGTGACTTTGTGACTCAACAAGAACAAACCAAAAAAAGTGTTCCTGCTCATAGCCATGTCTGGGGCTAGAAGGCACCTGATGTCCTGCTTCATCTGCCCATCGTCCTTCTCCCACTGCCTCACTGCTTTCCGCCTTACTAGCAGAGCCAGAGCGCTGTCCTGCAGTTCAGGACTGTGGCTTCTGGATAGTAGGGGAGCTGTCCAGCAGGACCAGGTGATGAACCAGCGATGAGAAGGTGCCAGCCAAGCTCCTCCTCCCTGGCCCCTTCCAGGGAGACGTGACTCTGAAGCACGTGCTGCACCTAGTTTCCTGCTCAAGAAAGAGAAGCCGGTAGTGCTGGACAAGCGCTTCACCACTGAGCCTGGATTTGTGCACAAACACATCCTTGCTTCTGTTTCCAAGGTCTTGGGGGTGATCTTGGAGGGCCTGGAACTGGGAGCAAGACCAGGCAACAAGTACTGGATCCCCTGAACCTGCAGCTTCTCAAGCAGGGCAGCTTCCCAGGCAAGGAAGGATACCGATGGTGGGGCAGGATGAGGGCCAGGCAAGATGTAGGAGTCAGATATGAAAACATTGTTAATCAAACAGTGTATAAATGCTTTAAATAAATAGCAAGAGCCAAGTTCTTCCCTCCAGAACTTGTCTCCAAGGCATGTACCTGCCCACGTTCCCCAGGAACTGGTGCACCTGAGGCAGCATGTAGCCACCTGAACCTACCTGTACTAATGGATGGATTAGCTATGTTCATACATCACCTGCATATCCCTTGAAAACATCACCAAGACTCAGACTTCAGCTCAACATTAGTTCTAAGTAGGGAGAAATGCTTGCTGCCGTGTGTGTATAATTGGATCACAGCCATCAGGTCCTGAGATTAATTCATAAGAACAGTCCATGTTTAAAAGGCAATGAAACACACCTAGGCAGATAACAAGAACCATTAAAAATAAGTGCAGTGTATTTATTCTGCACATTGTTACCACTGGAAACATTTCCTAATGGCCAGATCACACAGTGAGATTAATGGTGACTTCCGTCCATGCAGGTAGCATGTAGCCCACTTTAAATAAAGCAGAGACACTTTGTCTTAATCAACAGATAGCAAATTAATCCTGAAAGGTTTATATGTTTTCATTTAACTACACAACTGCAGTTGGTTTCAGCTCCTTCTTTTTCTCTGTTAAACTCACAACTTGATCAAGGATATATGTTAATGTGTGAGCTGGAAAGGAAAAAGAAGACGACCTGAATCATTTGGATGAACAAAGGCTTGTAGTAGTCCTTTATTTTCTTTTTCCCTTTTCCCTTTTTCCTTTTTCACTCCCTGCTTCGTAATTTGGTCTTTCTCAGTGTGGTACACCAGCTCTTACTGTAATGCTGCATGGGCCCTTTTGGAATGTATCTTCAAACCCTAACAGCTGTTACAGGAATGCACTTCTTTTTCACTAAAAACACACACAGAGACACACAACCACAACCTGCAGTTTAGAGTAATGTGTAGTTTAAGCCTTACATTCATGGATCTTCTTTGCAGGGATGGGTCAAAAGGGTTCAACAGCTCATCCAGAGATTAAATGTGAACATTGTTGTTGCTGCTGTTGTGTGCCATGGAGTTGTTTCTGACATGCCAACCCTGAAAAGCACTCTGAAATGCCCTGTCCAGGGTGGTATAATATAATCTCAAGTAGATTCACAGGGCTCAAATTTCAAGGAGCAGATTCTGCACTTAAATATATTCCGAACTTTCCTACCACTCCCCCCTGCCCACTCAAAGATACAATTTTTACCTCTCCCAAGTCTTTTTTCCCCAAGTCATTTCACAGTCCTCTGACGGTAACCTTGTGCTTTGCTGCTGACTATTACCTGATGCAGTTCATGTTTAGCCAACTTTATGTTCATGCAGCTAATTCTGTCTGCCTTGAAAAGCAATATTAGAAGAGTAGTATGAATGCTGAGAATTTGATTTTCAGATGCAGCTGCCTCAGGCAGAGCATCTGTCCAATATTCAGGCTCACCAATCAATAGAAAATAATTAAGGAGGCTCAGACTGCTAAAGGCAGGTCCCATTTCTACACATCTGCTGGCTGGAGTTCAAGAATTGATGAACAGGTCATGGAAATAGGGAGAATCCAAACCATTTCAGTTGCCTTGGGTTCCGTGCAATAGGAGGAAAGGCAAGGTATAAATGATTGTAATAATAATGATAACTACCAGTGCACGTTTTAGGGAGTAGGCTGCATTGAACCCAGTGGACTGAGGAGGCCCAGGGTCTGTTAGACTGCAATTCTAGCAGACTTAGGAGGCAATCCCTCAAATTGGGAGACTTCTGGGCATCCTATGCAGACTCAACCTTCCCTCCCCCTTTTGTTTTTTCATGCCCATCTTGCTGGAATGTGTGTGCGAGAGAGAAGCAGCTGTGGGATAGTTTCTCCAGTCTTCTCCCCTCCCCATCTTCTCTCCAAGCTCAAAAAACAGCCAGAACGGTTCTTTCTACAGTGACTGGAAGGGGGCAGAGCAGGGGGTCGAAACTCTGATTTTGAACTCCAAGGTCAGTGCCCAGCCTCCAGTTTCAGATCTGGGGATCTAAATTATTCTGTAACTCTTATAAAATTATTCCCCCACCCCACCCCCTGCTGTCCCCTTCCAGTGCAACCTTGAGCATGTCTGCTAAGAAGCAAGTCCCATCAAATTTGATGGAACTTCTGCCAGGAAACTCTAATAGCTGGCATAGATACATACTGAGCAATTTCCTGGTACCTTAGACCATTTGAGGGACATAATAAGCAATTTAATCCAATTAAAGTCATATTAAATGGTTGAGTACAGATTTAGAGGCATCAAGAAAAAAAACTATAAAAATATTTTCATCTCTTGTACAATAACAGCACTGCAAATTCCTTGGTCAACTGTTTTTTATTGTTTATTGGTTGGTTGAACTAATCATATGGGATGCATAAATAGTATTCAGGGCTAAAGAACATTACTTATTCTAAGGGGAGGAGTAAACGTTATCATTTAAACCAGCTGGCATCTTGTAATACATCCTTCATCATCATGTATTTATTCCATATAGCTTTTTTAATTGGTATCTTTCCAGATGGCTGTCCGGGTCTGTGTTACGGAAATGGAAGATGCACGCTTGACCAGAATGGATGGCACTGTGTTTGCCAGGTGGGCTGGAGTGGAATGGGATGTAATGTTGTCATGGAAATGATGTGCGGAGATAACAACGATAACGATGGAGGTATAGTCACAATTTCCATCCCTTGAATGTTGCATCTTTTATGCCCATGCTCTTTGTTGCACTCCTTCCAAGGAGTTGCACCCAATGGCCTATATCCAATGTTACTTCAACTTAAGTTATGTTTATGTCAGTGGGTCTCTTCTAAGTAGGACTAATATTAGATAAAGCCATTGATTTTTGATGGATTGTATGTTCGGTGTAGGAGCATTAAGCAACCCAGATTGCTGAGAATTAAAGCATATCCCACTTCTGGATGAAAAGGTGAATGCAACAAATGGAATAGAATTACAGTACATGTGAAGCAGCCACCTTCTTGATTGTCCTGCTCAACTAGGTTTATCTCTTTGTTATGCAATCATGAGACTAATTGTAACCAAAAAATCAAAGCAAGCCAAAAGTCAAGCGCAGTTTGTCAGATCTAAAGGGGGTTTCCAGAGGGAAGTCAGCAACAGAGCCAAGGTCAAACTCATGGAACTCAGTCAAGTGTGATCTGAGTTCTAAAAGGCCACATCAATACAAATGAGGTTACAGTGGCCCTTTTTCCATCAAAGCAAAGCCTGCATACTTAGTCTCAGTTACCAGAGGTCTGAGTCCCACCCAAAGCTCAGCTGCAGTATGCCAGAAGCCCTGCTCCCAAGATGTTCTGTCCTCTCTTTGAGACAGATGTTTCTTTTTACAGGAGTCCAACTGTTTTGCCTCTTAAGAGGACAAACTCCCTCAGACTGGAGGGTTGCTTAGACTCTGACTCTGATGCAGACCTCTCATCTGTTTCTGGGATCTCTAGATGCAAGGACCAAGAGTCTCTCAGTAGGGCATAACTTCAGGGAAAGAGCCAGATAGTTGTCTGGTCTCTTCCTGAGCATCAGGGGCCCACCACTGCTCTAAGGTACTAGTTCTGTTCCAGAACTACTCCTACCTCGTTTCTTGTGTCTCCTGAAGCAAATAGCATGGAAGAGCAGCCTGAAAATTAGTTATTTGCATTTTACATTAGCTGATCCCCAAGTTCTTAGTCTGTAATTGTGTATCAGATATTGCTACTTCTAGTTAGCCCGTCACTTTTAAATGGAATTTATTAGTTTTCTTGTGTTGTGTTTGGGAGCCAATTTGGAAGCCCTTTATAGCAGGCATGTGTAATGTGCAGCCCTCCAGTTGGCCTACAGCTCTGCCCCAGTCAGCATAGGTAGTGGTGAAAGATGATGGAAGCTGTACTCTAAAGCCTGTGGAGGGCCACAGATTACCCACCCCTGTTCTACAGGGTCAAAAAGGCAGCATACTCTGAGACATATGCAAATACAACTGCAGGGCACCCCACATTCACAAGACAAGCCCAAGGTCACATCTGGCCCAGCATTCTGTGGCCAACTTGCTGCTGAGGGGAAATGCAAGCAGGGCAGGAGGGTAACAAGACCGTTCCCACTCATTATTTCCCATTTGTGCAATATGCCCTCCCACCTGCCCACCCTCCCTGCCAGAGCAATTTCCAGCTCCAGGCCTTTTATCGCGTGTATCGTGTATGTGATATGGAAGGCGCATCCTCTGGCTGAAATGGCTCTCACAGTAAAACTGGGTAGCAGATGAGCAGCCGAGGAGGTTTGATTTCTGCTGGTGGAATACATCTGTCCTGTGCTGGCAGGGCTACATGCTGTCACTCAGAGATGATATGTATGAAGCTCACAGTCTGCCGGGAGATTACCGCATTATGTCCTCTCCCATCCGCGATACCGTGCTCTTGCTTCCCCCGATGCTGCATTGGCCACATGTTTGCTCTTTAGCATCTCAGATGACCTTTCAGCTCCACTGGAGGGCTTGTTCCCCATCCCTGCCTCCCCCTCTCACTCTCCTGACCACAGTTGGGAAGCAGCAGCGGTCCCGCAGAATCGCCAGGAACGCTGTGCCAAATGCTGCTAGCGTGGCATACTTGGATGAGAACGCTGGAGGCCAGAGTTGCAGTGCTACTCAAATCTAGCAACAACAAGAGCAGAGATTGCAAGCCGTCTGGGCAAGGAGCACACCCCAGTTAAGCGTTCTGTACAGCATGGAACAATATGGCTGCGTGTTGATGTATGTTTGATGAGTCCAAAGCCTCTGAGCAGAAATTCACTCTGCTTGCCAGACATGCTTGCTTGGGCTCTGCCATCTGGCTTTTGCTATCAATCAAAGCATTCCTAACTGGATCGGACTCCCTTGCCTGCTATAGAAACAGCTGCAAAAGGTCAAAACCTCCCTTGCTTTGATCTACCCCCCCCCCCGGTACTTACCGCCTATGGATGCATCCCCTTAAAGGGGGGGGAGGGGGGCAACCATAGGCTTGGATGCATGCGTGCCAAGCTGATCAGAGCCAGTTTGACAAGCACATCGACATCTTCAAAACAATGAGAGTACAGAACAACCTCAGCAGCTGATGCAGCAACAAAAACCCTATGCCAGTGGGAGTTATTAGACAAGATAAGTTCCCTTAGTGCCTTGCGTGTAAGCATCACAATTAGTCTCCTGTAATGCACTCTCCCTGCATTTGCAACTGGTCTGAAAACTTTAGCTAGCAGAATGCAGCAGCTGGGGTGCTTAGGGGTGCCCCCTAGTATATCCATAGTACCCGGCATCAAAAGAACTGCACCTCTGCCTGTTGGCTGCACGTGATGTGGAAGAGAGACCCCACTTCCACGGTAGTCACACTGAGCTCCGTCTCTGAAGAGCACCACTTGAATTCTGGATGGACTCACCACGAACTCCAACTCACAACAAAATGGGCTGGAGCCTGAGGAGCTGAGCCTGGGGAATACAAAGGATTCCCAGCCCCAAAATTCACACATCCCTGTTGTGAATTTTAGAGTCCTGCTCAAAAAGTTGTGGGCCAAGCTTTTGCTTTTGGTCGGCAAAGCCCTGCGTTACTCAGGAGCAGGAGACCTAGCTGACTGTTTTCCACCGCAGAGGAACAAAGGCCAACTTCTGAGGAGGCCTTAGCGAACATCCTGCAGCCAGTTGAACATTGCCAAATCGCAGCATATAAGCAGACCTTCCCATTTGTGATCATCACTCCTTGGAGTAGAGCCGCACACACAATTTGAGAGGCAAAACCAGTGTCTAATTCTGCACACTTCTCTGACCATTTCCATGACCAGTGAAGAGCTCCGCTACCTGCCCTTTTTATGGCTGATGCTGATACCATGGTTCATGTTTTCAGTTATGTGTTGAAAACATTTTCATCTGGTTTGTTTAATTGTGTGTGTGTGTATATATATTTGAACTACATACAAGGGCTGTACCAACCTTTGTATGTAGTTCAGCATTTTAATACATTCAACACTGTGGAAGTATTTTTTTTTTTTTATTTTCAATTTATATCCTGCCTTTTCCTACAAAGGGCTCAGGGCAGCTTACATCATTCTCCTCCTCCATCTTATCCCCACAACAGCAACCCTGTGAGGTAGGTTGGGCTGAGAGTCTGTGACAGGCCCAAAGTCACCCAGTGGGCTCCATGGCTGAGCGGGGACTAAAACCCAGATCGCCTGAGTCCCAGTCCCACACTCTTAATCACTGCACCACACTAGCAAATAATTATCCAGGCACAATGCCCAAGTCCCATGTGTGATACTCATACTTGGCTCCACATCACTCTGGATCAGTATGGCCTGATCCAGTGATCTTTGCTGATTAATAATGGCCATTCACTGATGGAGATGAAACACATGATAATAAAGAAATGAGATGCCACCAGACTGCTTTTCCTAATGTCCTCTGGATGCCCTGCTTCAGTTTCATGTTCTTTTTTCTTTCAATTGTTTTCTGCCAAGCAGTGTAGATGAATAATTTAAAAAAAACTCCAGGGGTAGAGAGAATCAAACATTATTTCCCACCAGTTTATTCAGTGCAAGCTAAACACAAATTAATCTTTATGGATCTGTGCAGTCACAAATTTAGCTAGAAAAGATCTGAGTTGATTTTTTTTTTAAAGTCAGGTAATGAACATGGCTAATTGCTCCCTAAGACAGTGTCATGGAGGCTATGGCTCTGCAGATGTTGTTGACTTCCATCATTGACTGAGTGCAACTGGAATTGGAGCCCAAGAACATCTGCAGTGCTAAAGGTACCCCAGTCTGCTGTTAGGGATTGCAAGGGAGTGCAATCCGTCCTCCAAACTTTGTGGTCATAATTAACTAGTGAACAAATAACTGGTACAGCCCTTGTATGTAGTCAACATTTGCCCTCACCTAGCGCTGTTCTGCCTCGCTCTCAGTCCAGTCCTCGCATCTCTTGAAAGCTTCTGCTGGTGTTCTTTTCTCATTTTCTTTTCCCTTATCATTCCACTCCCTTCTTCACTCTTCATTCTCTATGCTCTTCTCTTTTGGTAGTCTCATTAGATTTTCTTTGTGCCTTCACTATCGTTGTCATATGGATGGCACTCATTTCTGTCCATTCTCTTGCTTTCTCTTCTAGCAGCATTGTTAGTTTTACTGCCCCTTCTTTCTTGTTCGGTCACCATCACAAGCTCAAAATGTAGAAAACCACATTTCTGTCTTTCCTGCCCATTCTTTTTAGTGTCTTCTCTTCCTTACTCTGTTAGTCTCATCCTTACCTGGCTTGAGGCTTGGGCATTAATTTTCATTCTTCTCTTTTTATAACTATGCTGATGCTCTAGCCAAGCACTGTCCTCCCTCCCTCCCTCCCTCCCTTCTTTCTTTGTCATTGTTTTCTCCCTATGGATTCAGTTAAACCTTTGATTCAGCTTATCATTCTTTCACATATAGATTATTGCACAGTATTATTCTCTAGTCTTGCTATCTCACATTGTAAGCCTCTTATCTCCGTCCTTAATTCTTCTGCTTACTGATCTTGTGCAGCTATCTGACATATCCCTCTCTCAACTTCTGTCTTCATGGGCATTTTCCCCATTTATTGTTGAATATGAGATGTCATTCCTCACTTTCAAAAGTTCTGCTGAACTTTTCTCCTCTCCCTTCTGTAGCTTTTCTCTCATTATTGCTTTCCATTCTTTCAGTACATGCTTACTGATTAAAACTCTGACTTGATGTGCTGTTTCCCTTTTTTTTTTCCTTTTTCCTATGCCTATACTATATCCTGAGAATGTTCCCCCCATACCATTTGCCAGACTTCCTTGCTTTAAAAAAGGAAGTCAGACAAATATCTCAGGAATATTTTCAGTCTTGCTTTATTATCTTAACCCATCTTTCATCTTTTTTTCATCCTTTGTTTTATTCTGTCCCTCAATCCCTCTTTATCTTAGGATCTGATAAAGTTCTTCACTTCCTTTCTCTTCCTGTCTCAATTAAAAAGCAAAGCAAAACAAAATGTTGTGGGCAGAACCTTTGTTGGTTTTTAGACATTGTACAGTATCCGGTCCACTACAAGCACTTTCCGAATCATTAAGTGATGAGGATGTTTGTGTGTGTGCAGCTTATTGCTTCTGAATACAGTTTGTAGTCAAGTCATGCCGTCTAGTGCTTGGAAACAACTGGAGATGCAAATTCAGCTTGTTTAGCCTGCCTTCTAGCACTGCGTGGAATGCATGCCAAAAACAGGAGTAAATCATGATGTGAGAACTGTGTTGTGCGGAAGGAAGGAGGGGAAGCAAACAGTATGGTTGGGTCTGTGCAGGAGGAGAGGAAAGGTAAGAGAGGGGACTTCTGAGTAGTTCCTCTCGCAGGTAAGAGGCTCCTCTGGCACTCTCAAACTACCTCACCACATTAAGGTGCACATCCCTGAGAGGTAAAATGAGGTCTAGTAGAATGATACTCTGGTTTTAAAGTATCCAATTTTGGCAACAAGCGTGCAATAGAAGGAAAGATGTTTAACAATCAGAATGGACTGGGCTTATCCGTACCTTCCTCAGAACACGGATTCAAGTCTGCCAGTGTTCTCCAAGCACCACCTGGGGGCCCCGTTCACGTTGCTCTCATGTGCATTTTCCCCTTCTCCCTTTTATTTTCAAAGTATGCTTTTCCAACAGGAAAAGTGCCCATTTCTCAGAGAGGTTCACTTCCACCTCCCATTGTCTAGCATGTGAAAATGATTTCTAATGCATGCCTGTTTTGAAAATAATCACAAATTTAGAAATGGCTGCGTTTTTTAAAACGTGCTCCAATTCATATTGTGTTCCAGATTGCAAACTGGCACGCTCTGATCATTTGTGATCTACCACAAAATTCCAGAACCTCCCTATTCCGGAGAGGCTTTGCAAGAATCACCAGAATAGGGTTGGCCTTAGTCTTGGATGAGGGAGGGGGCTGGGAGGGAGGGGAAGCTTGATTCAGTTGATCCCCTGGATGGGGCATGGAGAAGCCCTGCAGCTCCCCTCCAACTGGGCTGGTCTGTACTTTATTGGGCTGTTCCTCTTTTTTGTAGGCTGCCTTCCATCACCAGATTGCACAGACATGTACTCTCACACACGTACGTGGACCTTTATCCAGGTCGTGCAGCTCACCTGTGGGAGAAATGGAGTGGGGGAGAGAAAGAGGGCTGATGGAAGGCAAGAGCTGGCTTCTGTGGCCTGCCTGCACCGTACATAACATAAAGACACAGGGCCGTGCCATTCAACTCTGCTGAAAACCCCCTTTATTTTCTTGTTTCCTTCCCCTTCTTCTTTTCTCTCTGTGTTACATCTTTTTACACTGTAAAACTGTGGGCAGGGATTGTCTTTTGCTGTTTACAACACCCTCCAGGAGCTTCAGGGCTGGAGGGGACGAGCTTTTCATTTGGTCAGCTACCGGGCCTGTCACATGTTCCAGCATAAGCCCTTCGACTCTTCAGCATCTTCCCTGTTTTTTCCACTTCCAGATGGTCTGACAGACTGTGTGGACCCCGACTGCTGTCAGCAAAGTACCTGCTACGCAAGCCCTCTCTGCCAAGGGTCCCCGGACCCCCTCGACCTCATTCAGCAGAGCCAGCCACCTTTCTCCCAGCACCCCCCCAGGCTCTTTTATGACAGAATAAAATTTCTTATTGGCAAGGAAAGCACACATGTAATCCAAGGAGACCTTTCGTTTGAGAGCAGGTACGTGCTTTTAACCACCTATGCGACAGGTAGGTGCTTTTAACCACCTATGCGGCAGGTATGCACTTTTAACCACCTGTGCAGCAGGAACCTGCTTTTAACCACCTGTGTGGCAGGTAGGCACTTTGAACCATCTATGCTAACCACCTATGTGTGATTTTGAAATAGAAAGCACATGGAGTGCAGCATAGGTTCCCTTTTTGGGCTAGTGTTACACCAACTTCTCTAAGATTAAGCCCTAATTCTAGGATCTAAAATGTTGTAACTGCACCAGGAAGGCTGAAGCCCAGTGTAATTATTATTTCTTTGTTAATGTATATCCCACTGCTCCATTGAAAATCCCTCAGATGCCCAACAATCTTGTCTGCAGGAGAAATAACCAGCCTGTATAACACAGTAGGTAAAATTGGATGAGAGTAGATTAATCGGCTTAGGCTCAGTTTGGCTCGGCTTGGTTTGTTTTGTTGGCTTTTTCCCTGCGATATTTAGAAAACTGTCAGGTAGAAATGCTTTTCCCCCAAAATACGTATGGTGAGAGCATCTCCATTTTTCCCAAGTCATCACATGCCTAGTTTAGTATAAGTGGATTCAATTCATTATTCAGCTAAAAACACATAGGCCAGGCTTCATATTTCAGTTTGCCAGAAAATAAAAATTCGCCTCACCAGGGTGGATGTGAAGACAGAATGAAATAGCTTTGAATGTGTAACCTGATGGTTTTTGGAGGGGTGATCTTTGGTGAGGAAGTGATTCTGGAGAAGTAGTTCTGAGTCTGAAAACAAGGCTACATTTTTCCCTCGTGAAAAGGAGAAGTAACATTTGACTTATAGAATCCTGCATTTTTTTAATGCAGCAGTCTATTCCAGGCCATTAGAATTTATGTACTGGTGTTGGCAGCCACAGATCATCCATAATGTCTAACTGTTCTCATGTACCTTGGCCAGTAAATTAGATTTGCTGTTCTCAAACTTCATTGTCCTGGGGTTGAGGAAGAGAATGCAGTCAGCTGCATTAGCTCCACCAATCTGCTAGGCGAAGATTTCTGCAAGGAACAAGAGGCCAGTAACCTTGCTCGGATCCACGAAAAGGTTACACAGGAGTAAGAAGTTTTTCAAGTTTTAAAAATTATTTAGTATTACTTTTCTTCATGGCCTCATAGCTAAAGCAATCCAGAAATTCACAGCAATTAAAGCCATAAAATGCAAGACCTTTAAAAGTTCCCAACATGTTCTCTGCAAGATGGGGGTTCACCAAACAACAACTCAAAAGTGCATAATGGAAAGGAGGAATCCCCTGGGCTGGATGGGGGCTGGTTAGGGTTAGGGTTGCTATGGTAGATTATGCCAGGATGATGGCATTTGAATTTGTGGCCGGAAGCTTTTTATACCAATGCTAAGTGCTTCTGCTAATCTTGCAAGCACTAAATGGCTTAAGGCTAAGTTACCTCCCACAAATGTGTGTCCAGATCCTAAGAACATTTTCAGAGCCCCTCATTTCAGTGCCCTTGGGCTCATTCAGGGGTGCAGTCCTGTAACATGGAAACATGCAAACCGTGAAAGTCAGAAGAAGCCTCCCAAGCCATCTAGTCTGACCCTCGGCTCCAGCTGGCTTTGCTCATGCAATCCCCAGCATGTGGCTGTCCAATCTTTCCTTGAACACCCTCACTATGGGGCCTTCACCACCTCCCTTGGAAGCCCATTCCATATCCTAGGGGTCCTAGCCATCAGGAAGTACTTCCTGGCATCTAGCCTGAAGCCTGCTTCCTTGGGCTTTGCCCCATTGGGTCCTGCCACATTGAGTCCTGCTCTCCACTGCAGGGAAGAACTGGTCATGGCCCTCCTCCATATGACATCCACTCACATACCTGTAAGTCGCTGAAAGATCCCCTCAGAGTCTTCTCTTCTCCAGGCTGAAAGGACCCAGTTCCCCCAGTCTCTCTCATAAGTCATTCCTCCCAACCCAGCTGCTATCCTTGTAATCCTGTGCTGAACTGATTCTAACCTAGCTATGTCTCTCCTATAATGTAACTGATAACTTACTGGTTTGGCACAGTTGACTGACTCCATAAGTGAGCCAGAAGCAGTTCATATTTTTATCTTGAAATACGGAACTGGGGGCTGAAACAGCTGTGGACATGCAATCAGTTCATGGCAGAGTCAGGATTTCAACCAGGCACTCTCCAACTTTTTTTCATACCCGCAGTATCAGTGCTTTAATTACAGAAAGCACCTTATGCACAATCCAGGTAGACAAGATTAATTAAAATTTGGGGAAGAAGACAGGGTTGGCTGGTATTTGTATGCCCCTCCCATCTTTCCTTCACAATGTAAGCAAAATCAAATGCATTTTGAACTGAATGGAAGACGTCAACCTGCTTACACATTGAAAAGATCTGATATTGTGATGTTCAAACTCAAGCCACAGATGGGGAATGTAAATACTGTTTGACTGACTGCTAAATTCATATGTCTGGCACTCTGCTTGTCTTACCGTCATATACATTCAGATAAACTTGTTCCTAGCCTTGGATTAATTGTCTTTCTAAGGCTGCTTAAGGCAATGTTGTCAACAGGAGGAAATGAACAAACATTACTAACCTTCTCACCCGTGATTTATCTCCCTCAAGTGTTTGATGCAATAAATTATACCTTTTAAGTATAAATCGGCTGTTTGGTAGTTTGCCTATCAGAAGTGCACTTCAGAAGTTAATGCCTCATATGGATGGTGAAGACTAGAAATGTTACATATAAAACAAAGGGCAATGAATTATAAATACAAGAGAGTCGATCTAGAGAAAAATACGATAATAAGGTAGATGCAATGCTACTAGTTAGTAAATCTCTTGATTTACTCTAATAGCTCTATCCCTGAATATGGTAAGTCATTGTGGGAAAGCCTTTGAAAGAAAGGAAGGAAAAGAATGCAATGTTCAAGAGCCCCCGTCTATTGCAGTGCAATATATTCTGTATCTTTCCATCTTACTTCCTATTAAAGCACCCTTTTAAACTGGGAGTGCACCTCTTTGATGTGGGCTAGGAAACATATAAAATATTTTAATTAAATATTAAGGGGATGCAATATCCTTTCTGAGCACCGAGATTCTGCATCCAAGATGGTGCTTACATTTGTGCCATAATTCTTCATCTGAAGTCCAGGGTTGACCCCATGCCAAGAATGATTTTTTGCATTGTGGAGGACAAGCCTGAGAGGCTGTTGGGCCATCAGACAAAAACAGAGAATTCAGAAGGAAGTCAGAGAATGTAGAGAAGCTGAATGAATTCTTTCTTTCAACCCTTATTGACATAAACACTGGGTGAAGATCCCCATCTGACCTTTTTTTGTGGGAGGTCAGTTGTAGAAACAGAGGTAACAAAAGATTCAGTTGCACAGCTAACTGAGAAAAGAAAAAATAGCAAGTCACTGGGATCAGGTGACATCTAGTAGCAGAATGGAATGCAGATGTTAAAATGTTGGCATCCATCAAAAAATTCAACTTACTACTAAAGTCATCCTCCTTGCAAGAGAATTTGACTACTGCCAGGGCAGCGGTAGGTTTGTTGTTTGTTATTCTTAAAGGGCTATGCAGGGGATTATGGACACATCAACTTAACTTGTGTGTTGGGTAATTGATGGAAAATGTTCAAACAAATTAGGAACATAGAAACATACAAACAGAATGAGTCAGAAAGGGTCTCCTGAGCCATCTAGTCTGACCCCTGGCTCCAGCCGGCTCCACTCATGACATGCCTAAATTGATGAGGAAGCATAAACACTAGTTATGTATCTGAAGGAAATAACTAAAATTACAGAAGAAAAAAATGCTTGTTGAGGAACAATCAGGATGGCTTTCCAAAAGGAAAGTCCTGCCTCACCAAGCTTTCAGAATTCTTTGAGATAAATTTCAAGGTAAAATCAAATACGCATAAGCATGCCTCAATAATCTTGTCAGTAGGGGTAGTATGGTAGAATTTTAGAAAGCTTTTGAACAAGTCCCTCACCAAATGCTCTTTGGTAAACTTATGAGTCATGGAATAAGTGGTTAGGTCCTTTTATGGATCAATATCTAATTTAAGAACAGGAAATAGGAGACAAGAATAAACCATCAGGCTTCACAATCAAGAAAGGTAAATAGAGGAGTTCTCCAAGGAACTGTATCGAGACCAATGCTATTAGCATTCATACATGATCTAGAGTTAGGGATAAATACTGCGGTTCAAAATTTGCGAATGACACCAAATTGTCAAGAAAGATAATTTCTGAGGCAGTCTGCAAAGAGTTCCAAAATTATCTTTTCAGATCAGGTGAGCAGACAATGGGATGGCGTGTGAGATTCACTTTATAGGTGAATATAAAGCAAGAGGCATTTGCAGCAAGAAATCCTAGCTTCTGTATGTTGAATGTGTGAGTTTGACCTGGTACTGGGCATCTAGGAAGAGTTGTTGAAGTTGTGATGGGAAGGATTGTCTCCTCCCATATGTACCTGTCCAGACTTTAGGTACAGAGAGGGAGCCCAGCTCTCCCGTGTTTCCATCTGCTCAGGTAGATTCATTCAATTCTGAGAGGGGTCAGGGGGGCATGGTGAGCAGGTGGGCAGGCCCCTTGGCAGTCCCAAGATCCTCTAGTGAAGATTCTCTGGCAGTGTGAGATCCAGCTGTGGAGGAGACAATGGCAAAAGCATTCTACAACTGGGACAGGAAAGCAAGCAGGGCAATTATGCAGTTTGCAGTACTTCTACCAGCCACCCTTCAGGCAGGTGGGAGTCAGAAGCCTTTCCAAAATGGAGCGCAAGTTTCGGTTTGGATTCAGCCCCTCACAGGGGCAGGTGCTTCTCCACATCTCCAAGCATGGAGTCTTACACGCATTCGGTGCTCTTCTGGCCCCGAATCTGGGAATCCCAGAAGACCCTATAGCCTTCTAGACATTGTCTCTGGGTCATAGGAGTGCTTTCACCCTCATACAACCTCTCTGAGAAGCCAACTTGAAGGCAGATATTCTCATCCTAAAACCTCACCTGGTTGTCCTTAAAATGCCCTGATTTCTGATGAACTGGTAAACAATGGTCAACAAAGGGATTGGCATTTTTTAACAAAGGGTTATGAATTGTATCAAACTTCCCAACTATCACTTGTGAACAATCTGCAGTTCCAAATATTCTGTTTACTTCACAAAACGTTACTTTTCGATCATGACTGAGTTTTCCGTATTTAGTGCTGTGAACGTCTTCATACTATAATCACTTCCAAAACTGTTTGGTCTGTTCAGAGAGCATCAACTGTTAGGCGGTATAGAAATTAAATAAATAAATCTTATCTTCACTCACTTGTATCAGAAACAGACAAACTTAACAATGTTGTGATTACCAGCTAACTACCTGGCCTTTCTTCCATTCTAAAATGTATCTTCATGTTAGTCATGTACTATTTTCTTTCCATTCTTTCTTTTTGTCCGGAGTCTTTGTGAACAAAGACCTGACTTTGTATGTGACTTAGGCTTAAAATGGTAGGCTAAGAAGTGAAAAATATGGTGAGAGATTACGGCATGGATCAAACAGAATGAATACATCTGCTAGAATCAAAATGAGTTCAATTTCTATGCTTGTAGTATTTTTGCTACAAGAGCGAGGAAACAATAATACGGTAAAGATTAAGATTATTAAAGCAGCACGTTTCCCAGAGTGCAAGAAGCTTCCAGATGCCAGAATATGAATGTTTAAACAAGAATGCAAAAGCTTCTGGGACAAAAACCAATCTAATAACTCAAGGCCACTGAAACTGGGCTCTTATTTTCTTTTATATCCAAGGCAGCAGGGTAGAGAAAGGTATAAAAAGGAGCAATCAAAATGATTAAGGAGCACATTCCTGACAAATAAAGGCTAATTCAGTTGAGGATTTTTCATTTAACAAAAAGAGATTTTACTCTTCATAGTACGAGAATTCCAGATCACCCAACTGAGTTGATTTGCAAAAGATATAGAGCATTTAGTTGCTTTTAAAATAAATAGAATATGAAGTTGTTTGATTGATTCTTTATTGTAGATTTATTTTAGAATCTTCTTTTTTCCCTCCTGTTTTGTGATGGCGATGAAAATCGAGCTGGTTTTATACCATTTAATATATTAAAATCCTTTAGTGGTTTGCATTGAAAGGCAGCATAATGTAGAAACAAGATAAAAAGCTAACTAATTTAAATGGGAATATTTAAACACATTGCATTATCATAACAATAAAACAGGGCGATAACAGTCTCACTGGTCAGAAGAAGCTTGTGCAAATAAGATCAAGGCAGGAAGAAAGTATGAATTTGGGTAGCTTCAGGTAGGCTTTGTTGGCTAGAGCCTTTGCCTGGAGGATGGTTATTCCAGCAGGAAACTAAATCCAACTGAAGCCTTGCATAGATTTAGAAGACCTGCAGTGTGGTCAGGTTTCCCCCCATCCAGACGTTAAAGGACATCTGTAAGAATGGGATTTTACAAGACTTTGAAGGACTTTGAAGCCAAACAACAATGGCAGAACTGTGTCCACTGGCCAGGAGAAGCCTGAATGATACTTACCTTCTGAACCTTGGATGGTTTGAGGACTAGAGGTCAGACAAGAGTAGGAGTTGACTTCCTGGTTTCAGGAGGAAAGATAAGACACCTTGGAGGTTTAAAGAATGGTTTTTGTGTTGATGTATTTAAATCTTTTCCTTGATCATCTAACAGACCGGAATCACAAAACCAAAACCAAACCCTAATTCACATTCTGGTTTGTCTGGGAAAGAGGAAGTCAGAGCTTCACTTCGAGCACAAAACAAAGCTTGATGCTGTCTCATGAGATCATGGCTAGTTGAACCACTAATTGGCAGCATTCATGAGCACATAGTTTATGGATGCTAAGCTCGAATTCGCAGCACTTCTGCATTATCATTGCACAGGAACATGGCTGGTAGGTCTGAAAAATTCCAACAAACATTTGCCAGCTCTGGTGGACTATAAAACTAGGCAAGTTCCAGGCTGTACCACACCAGTTTCTGAAAGTGAGGGGAGGAGGAACAGATAGTAATAAAATCTGTTGTGGATTTAGCTGTTTGGTTCTATTCTTTGTAAGCCATCTAGAGAACCTTCCTGGATTTGGATGGGTTGCAAATAAATGGGTTATTTAAATAAATGGGTTGGATGGGTTGTTTAAATAAATAACTAGAAAGAGGTGAAAGAGTGACATAGCTGAAGGGAGAAAGGTTTTTAAAAGGAAGAATTGTTCCTAGTAACCCTCACTTTAATCCATGCACATGTGTGACCTCTTATAAAGAACATTGGGGAACTTGGATGGCTAATCAATGAGTCTTGTAGGTTGCCTAATAGATTGTGAACAGGAAAATGATGGAAGGGAAAATTTCATGGATTCCATGAGCTACGAGGCTCCTCAACACAGTGCTATGGATTTGACAGGTTGCTGCTTTTGGTAGTCTTGACAGGCAAAACCAATTTTCTGATCCCTTGTTGGAGAAAAGTGAATCTGCCGCTTCTATAACCAAGAGGACACAGAGGTTGAGTGAAGGAAAGGACAAAGCAAGTATTGCATTTGAGAGCTGTGTTTTCAGTAAATTCTACAGTTTCCCCATGAAAGCTATATATTGACGCAGTCATGCCTACAAAGGGGCAGAACGTTCTCTAATGGCTGTCCCTGCATTCAGGGAAATGGGGAAAGGCAGAAGAAGTTGTCCGATGCTGAATGGGCTGCCTAGCTGGCTTTGCAGGATCTCCAGAGCTTCACAGAAAGGGAGATGTCAAGGAATTGACAGCTGCATGGAAAACAGGTGTTTGTCCAGTTACTGCTTGAATCAGATGTGTCACCTTTGGAAGGCAAAAAAACGGGACATACGCAGAATTCGTTTCAGGAAAAATGCAGATACAGAATTATGAGATGCCATCAGGTCAGAACAACTATGTTCATCAATAATATGTCCTTAATTCATGTGCATTTCACTCCCTCTCAACACAGACGTGCTTGTGTCATCCGAGGCCAGGTGGTGGCGGTTGATGGAACCCCTCTGGTTGGGGTGAATGTGAGTTTCCAGCACCATAGTGATTACGGATATACCATCAGCCGACAAGATGGGAGGTGAGAGATTATTTGTTTTGTGTCTTCTGGTGATTATGGGCTTCTTTCACTAAAATATTTCATTAATCTAGTTGCTGGAAAATGGCTGAAAGCCCAAATAAATAAATAAGTGAACCATCCAGAGATGAAAGTAATTGGATGGGCTAGAAATATCCCACATAAATAAATAAAATAAATAACTGCCAACCAATTAAAATTAGATACTCATCTGCTCTGCTAGTGATGAATTAATTGATTAAATTTAAATACATGTGCATATTACCTAAGCTGCCCATCCCTGGATTAAAAACACACATGTAACCCATGAATTAAAATCTAGCCTTCCTGATTAAAATGGGGCTCCACCAATTAATCAACAATCCATTAAAACCCGCAAAAGTAGAAAAAGCTCACGTTCAGAATTTCATGATATCATTTCCTGCTACAGTATGGGCAACATAAATTCTGCAAAGCTGCAAATGAATAATCCACTTCAGTGCCATTTTTGGGGGAAGATTTTGAAATGCGAAAGATGGACATTATCTAATTAGGATTTCTGATTTACCTTTCTTTTAACAGAGCTGTCACTTGCACATATGTGTGCGCGCGTGTGTAATATATCCTGTGTACCATTTGGGGAATGTAATGGAATGTGCATAATTGAGTTTGACTCTCTATCACAATTTGTTACCATCAAAGGGTTCCAAAAGAGATACACTCTGTAATGGACTGAAGTAGCTATATCTACGGCTTAACGTTACTCGACTGCGGATGTTAAAGTCTTACGATAAAAAGCCTCCTCTGCTTAATATAATGTTCTGTGCTGTGCCTCTTGGAGAATACAGAGAGCTCTCCTTTTGCCATAGGCCACTGGATCAGGAATAAATACAAACGGGATCTGAAACAGTAGGAATTGCTGCTGTGCAGTATTCCAGCCACTAACTCCAGTCCAGTCCAGTCCTCTCCTCCCTGTTCTTAGGGCCTAGTTTTTGGTCTCATCCCAGCTCATCTCACTGGTTTTATCCCAGTGGGCACCGTCATATGCCTCCTGGCATCGCTGGCTCTTTATTGAGTCATTTGGGGGTTTCCTCTCCCTGGTGGCCCAATAACAAGGCACTGCAGTTCCCTTTCCTCTTCACCACTGCAGTGTGGGTGTTCCCCTGCTTCTTGTTCTGGCCCAGATGGTAGAGGTGGAGAGAAGGGGAGCAGCAGAAGCCCTTCCTCCTTGCTTCTGGGCTCTCTGTCCGTCAAGCAGCCAAGTGGTAGCAAAGGTGCAAAGGGATAGCAACAATTACAGCTGGTGGACTCACTGGCAGATGGGTCCCTCCTTGAGAGCATCTCTCTTGGGACATGAATGGTGTGGCCACAATTCCTCACTCACTGAAGTTTATGAGGCCTTTTCATGATACAGTTTATTTATGTATTTTATTTTATTTTTCGATTTATATCCTGCCTTTTTCCTATAAAGGGCTCAAGGCAGCTTACATCCTCCTCCTCCTCCATCTTATCCCCACAACAACAACTCTGTGAGGTAGGCTGGGCTGAGAGCCTGTGACTGGCCCAAAGTCACCCAGTTGGCACCATGGCTGAGCAGGGACTCGAACCCGGATCCTCTGAGTCCCAGTCCCATGCTGTTAACCACCACACCACACTGACTCTCCCAATTGTCCTGCAAGGCTACTCCAGGGCTTTCCAGCTTTATGTAGGTTATTTTAGGGCAAGGGAAATCTTCTATTGCATTTTCTATTGCAGCAAACCAGAAGAAAAGGCTGGAGAAAAGACAAAACTCCACCCTGGTGCAGTTTCACCTTTGCACCACCAGGTGGTTGGTTAACAGAATGTATAGGAAGGCTGAGAATTGCCTTTTTCCTCATCAAGGGAAAACAGGTGATTTCCCTGCATGGCACAGCTTAAGCTCCTCATACAGTGAACCCTTAGAGACTAGCTTTTCTCAAGTTCTGTACTTTGGCACATCCCGTCCTTCTCCCACCCTGCTGAGGTGTCTCTCTTGTCTGGGGACAGTGATACTTTGACCATATCTCAGCTCTGGGGTGATGCAGGCTGATCTCCTCCACATAGTTTTACCCCACCACCTTTGCAGCAACCTTCACTGCCTCAGCTGAGCACAGCGGTGCAGTGGACTCACCTGGCTGGGGCTATCTGTCCAGCAGCTTCCTGAGACAGGTAACAGGCCTGTGCAGCACATAGGTGTGCTCTTTCCACAGGCACCTACATCCCTGAACCATTGATATCTTCTTGGGAGGCCACTCCCCAGCCAAATGAGGTCCAGCCATTTTCTGCAGGACAGTGCTTCATCGGTGGTGGCACCCCAGCTGTGGGATGCTTCCCTCAGTGAGCTTCCCAGCTGCGTATCTTGGTACCACATCAGCACCATATATTTTCCTAAGCTTTCTTTCCTCTCTGCAGCTGTACTGTTTTTTAATGCTGCAGTTCATTTTATTTCTATACTTATTTTATTGAGTACATTTATATTCCACTTTTCTCCCTTCGCGGAACTCAAGCCAACCGCACGCAGTTCTCAATGGTCTCCCAGACCAGCGTAGTTTCAGCACGTTTGCAGACCACACCCCGGGAATGCCTCTTTTTTTTGCTGGTATTAGGTGGGTTCCATATTAAACTCACACTTAAGTAACCCACTGTAACCAGTGGCATTTGTGATGCACAATTAACAAGTTCCATTGGTTTCAATGGCTCTGCTGGTTAGGACTGAATGTATAACACAATATTGCATTGTTTTATCTCTTGTTGTCAGTTGCCCTGAGAAATGTGTTATATAGGGGCCTATAAGGCCTGTAAATACATAAATGTAGGGAAAATGTTTATTTAAGGTGGACTGGGCAGCAAGTGCAGTGCTTCTATATTCTGCATTCTGATGTTAAATCAAAAGGCCCTCTTTGTTCTACAAAAACGTATCAGCTGGATGGAAGAAGAATGGTCATGCTGAAGATGCATAATTCAAATGCCAGGTTGGAAACTTGCTTTCAAAGGGCTATTTTTAAAGTTGCATGGGATTTAAGTAAGATAAATTTTTGTTTTGTCTTTTCAGTTTTGACCTAGTGGCCATTGGAGGGATCTCCGTCACCCTGGTGTTTGAAAGGTCTCCTTTTCTTTCAGTGAAAAGGACACTTTGGTTGTCCTGGAATAGGTTCATTGTGGTAGACAAAGTAATAATGCAAAGAACAGAGGCAGAACCACCAACGTGCGACATCAGTAGCTTCATCAGCCCAAATCCGATTGTCCTTCCTTTTCCTCTGACATCATTTGGAGGATCATGTCCAGAAAGGGGAACAGTCATACCAGAATTACAGGTAAGAGAGCTGGAAACAGTGTCATGTTATTGACAGACTCATAGCAAATAGTTGGGTTTCATCTGAACGATGGAACATCTTTTATCATTATGAGTTAGCTGTATTATCATGAATTATTATGCTGTTAGTTGTGCTCCACGTTGGATTAATTTGCTTAGGAAGTGTGTGCTTCAGCAACAACTGGGGCTCCTCCAGCTAAAGTGGGCCATGGAGCAGACAAATAGGAACATTCCTCCTGGAGCAAACTAAAGTTCCAGCTTGTCCAGTGTCTTGTTCCCAATAATGCCTAAACTGATACACTTCAGCATAAAGCAATAAATTCATGGCTGGTCATTGTGTGAGAGAAATTGATTGATTGATTGTTTATTTATTATTATATTATATTATAATTTCATGTATTTATAGCCCTGCCCAACTGTTATCTCAGCTCATGAAGTAGAATTCACTGGCCCACAGCTTCTAAACAGGGAAGGTCTGTTTGGCGATCAAGACTAGTAGCCATGGATGAAAGTTGGCTACTAGTTTTAGTGGTAACTGCTCCTAAGCCCATCGAAGTCAGTGCGATCCCCAGGCCTTTGCCACAATGAATTCCATGGATAGTAACCTGGGAAGGCTGCTAGGAATTAATCTGGAGTGAGACACAAGCCTGTGTGATTATGAGGTCATTATTAAGTATTGTGCTTTCCTGCTTTTTGAGAGGCAAGATCCGGGCATGGAGTAAGGATGACAGATGCATAATAGAGAAGACAGCTGGGAACTCAGTGGGAAGGACGGAGGCACTCAGAAACAAAGAAATGTTACTGGGAATTCCCTAGCAACTGTACATTTCATATGCTGAAGTGGCGAGTGCTGCCAAGCTTCCCTTGGCTTGTGCCAGAGCTTGCTTGTTTATTTATTCATTTACAAGATTTATATGCCACTCTACGTCCATCAGGATTCCCGAATGATAAACCATGAAAGAAATAAAGCAGAATCAAGCTATTGAATTGAAATGTTTCATTTCAGCGTATAACAATAAATTCATGGCTGGTCAGTTGAGGAAGCCTAGTTCCAATAAAAGTGTCTTCAGCAAAACAAAACGTGTTGGCGCCTACCTGACATGGTTCAGCAGGAAGCTGCACAGGGGGAGAACCTGAGTGGCTTCTCTGGTGATCTTCGTGACTGGGTGGGTGCTCTCTCAGATACCCCGGGTTGCTTAGGGCTTTGTGCACCAGTGACATAATCTTAAACGTGGTACAGCAGCAGCAGTGCATTTCAGCAAAGGGGTGGCGTACTTAAGAGCAAGAGCGCCCAACAACAGCCCAGGTGTTGCGTTCTGCACTAGGGGCAGCTTCCACACAACCCTTCCAGGCAGTCCCACTGGGTGTACATTGGAGACATCCAATTTCGGGAATACTAGCAGCACTCTGCCTCTGTGGCCAAGCTACCCCAGCAGAACAGGCCAAGCAAGGAGCGCCATCCCCATGAAAATCTGAATCCATTGTGAGAAGCTGTCCCAGCATTTGTGGCTACAGATCTGCTCCTGGTTTGCTGCTGTAGTGATGCTTGTGTACCCAGGAAGAGCATGAGTTAATCCCGGTGCAGTTTTCTCCGGGGTAATTTGCTGCAACATTAACCTCCACCATCCTCTTTCAGGTCGTCCAGGAGGAAATACCCATTCCGTCCAGCTTTGTGAAGCTCAGCTACTTGAGCAGCCGAACTTCAGGATATAAAACTTTGCTGCGCATTATTCTGACACATTCTACCATCCCTCCTGGAATGACAAAAGTGCATCTTACAGTTGCTATTGAAGGACGGCTGGCTCAGAAATGGTTTCCTGCTGCTACCAATCTGGTCTATACCTTTGCATGGAATAAGACAGATATTTATGGCCAAAAAGTCTCTGGCTTGGCAGAAGCAATGGGTAACCTTTTGAAATAATTATGATTATTAGCGTGATAATAGACATCTCTGAAAATGATTGCTTAATCTGAATTATCTGGTGCGTGTGTGTTTTCCTCTTCCTCTAAAGAGAGGTCACAGTAAAGGCAAAGTAAAATAGTCACATTTTTTGATCACCAACCATTATTCTCTTCACTCCTCCTCATGCAGGAGTGAGCAACCATCCAGAAGTTTCCAGCTGGAGCTGGAATGGGACTCCTGAAAGGCAAGGAGGGGTGTATCTTTTTAAATACCCTATGGAGACATAAAACACAATCCCAAAGCAGACCAAGGAGGATGAACACTCCAGTGATAGAATGGAAGCTGGATGGGGAGAGTTAGGAAATAGCAGGCTGCAGGGACCTTTGGTATACTTCTGCCCCAAGGGAGGATGCTACACTCCATTGCAGGAGTCACTTTCCCTATGGAATAGCAAGCTCGGAAGGCTGAGGCTGTATCTGTGGGGAAGAGGGGGAATAAAAGTACCCAAAAGCAGCTAGCGCAGCGGCTCTGCATCTGTGGGGAACCCCTATTATTTTTTTTTTTATTATTATAACATTTCTATGCCATCCCTTGCCGAAACCTTGGGGCGGCTTACAACCCTAGATTTGTGGGATGGAATAAATGAAAATGGAAAGGCTTTTTTTAAAACCTGTAGAAATGGCTTCACAGGGATCTGTGAGCTTCTGGACTTACAGGATGTTGGTGCCAGGTGAGGAGAGAGAGAAAAGATGGAAAGGAGGCAAAGCGTGGCGATGCCACAGGGCCAGTGAGATTCGGTTTTGTGCTTCCAACAGGAAGCATAAAGGAAGCTCAATTACTCTCCCTCAGGAGTCTTGACCCAGCCCTGTCGAAGTGTGCACTAGAGTACACGCGGCTGGCTTCCCAGCGAGAGCAATACAATGTGCATAACCAACACATATATTTCTGCACGTTCCAATGCACATCTTGGTCAATACTTTCTCTTTTGCTGCACCACAAAGTCCGTATTCCTTTTCATCTTGCAAGTATTGTGCCCTTTCAAACACCCAGAAAATCACACAGAGGCACAAAACTATTGCGGACCGGGAAAATCGTTGTGTGTTCTACCCTGCTGGTTCTGTTCTGTTTTCTTTCTAGCAAGGAGTGACTGCTCTTGTTGCAGTGTGTGGAAAACCCTCTGACTGACACATAGAAGGAGGAATTGGCCACCTGGGAGGATAAAAGCCCACTGAGTCTCTGCTGCTTCATCTGGAATCTTATTTGCGGGAGCCTTCACTGATCCTGCCTTGACTTCGAAGCCAATCTTCTCCGGTTTAGACTTCCTACACTTCTAAAGCTACGCTTGATACCAACATTCCTTTTGGAAAGGAGAGTCATCCATGTCCCATATGCTGCTTGTGTATATTTTTGTCAGAGGAAGAACTGAGCGTCTTATACTGGCCTTGCTGGATCGCTCTCAAACATCAGCCAGAAAGAAATGTATTCCTTTGCTGCTCTAAAGAACTCAAGAACAGCCGTGGTAGATCAGACCAAAGGCTTATCTAAGCCAGCAAAGTGCTCACATGGTGGTCAGTGTGCTGCCTTTAGGAGCTCCCCAAATAGGACTTCATGGGACAGCCCCGTTCTGCTCATGTTCCAAAGCAGTTGGCTCACATCGGCCAAGGATAATGGGGACTAATAGCCACTGGCAGCCTTCCTCTCCCAGGAATGTATCTAATCCTCTTTAAAAGCCATCCAAATTTGAGGTCATCATTACATCTTCTGATAGTAAATTCCACAGTTTATCCACTGTGTGAAGAAATACTTCCTTTCGTGCATCCTGAATCTCCTAGCTTTTAGCTTCATGGGATAACGCTGGGTTCTAGTATTAGAAGAACATTTGTATTAGAATTATAAGTGTTATAATTTATTTATTTATTTATTTTTCGATTTATATCCTGCCTTTTTCCTACAAGGGGCTCAAGGCAGCTTACATCATTCTCCTCCTCCATCTTGTCCCCACAACAACAACCCTGTGAGGTAGGTTGGGCTGAGAGTCTGTGACTGGCCCAAAGTCACCCAGCTGGCTCAATGGCTGAGCGGGGACGAGAACCCGGGTCGCCTGAGTCCCAGTCCCAGCTCTTCACCACTGCACCACACTGGCTTTCTTTTCCCACTCTTTTTCTTGACAGGAATTCAAAGCAGCTTACAATCTTCCTCCTCCTCCTGTCCATTTTATCTTCACAACAACCCTGTGAGGTAGGTTGGGCTGAGAGTCTATGACTGGTCCAGAGTCACCCAGTTGGCTCCATGGCTTAGCAGGGACTAGAACCCGGATCACCTGAGTCCCAGTCCCGTGCTCTTAACCACTACATCACACTGGCTCTCCAGTAATAATTAATAATAATGATTTAATAAATTATTTATAATATAATAATTATAAATTATTTATTTAAAATTAAATAAGGGACAAAAATGCCTCTCTGCCCACTATCTCCCCACCATACATAATTGCATACACTTCTTGCATATCTCCCCTTACCATTTTTTTCTCTAAGCTAAACATTCCAGGGCACAGGAACCTTTTCCCATAGGGAACATGCTTTAGCCTTGTGATCATTTCGCTCCCACTTGGTTGCCCTCCTCCTTGGGTGAAATAAACATGGCCAGTTCTTCGAAGGAGTGTTGTTTTTTCAAGAAACATTCTTTTGACATCTTGTTAGCTAACAGATATTAACAAACATCTGGTCACAAACTTGTGTCTCGGTATTATCTGGATTTTATGCTACTTTTGTTGAACCGCATCTCTCTGCTACCAAGACTGCTGTAACTACGACCAACGCAAGTTGCATCTACTCCTTGCCCACTGTAACAATGGCTGCAATAGGAATGATGCCCCCCATTATTTTACATCTTGCACTTTTGCAGTCCCTTCTGGCCTAAGACCAGCATGAAGCCAAGCAGCAGCACTTTTCTGAAGCGACTTCTAGGCGGTTGTCTCAGTACAGCAGATGTATTGCCCTCTTCATATTCCCTCGCCCCAATTTCATCCTCCCTTGTACATCCTGCATGTACCACCTCTGGAGTACGTTTGTGTCTGGGTAGCCAACTGTCAAGCACCACGTGATCCGCTTGGCTGAACTATGTGGCAGTCCGGATTACCGACATCTCAAAACATGTTTACTTTCCATTCCATTGGTCCTTGTAATGCTACTTTCCCTCGGGCAGCTACACACACCTCCTTATGCATGCCACAGAGATGTTTAAAAATCATAAATCAGGCAGAATACTGCCATCTGGGGGAGGCTGTAAAAAGTTTCGTAGTCTTTTTGAAATAGAGAAAACCAGGGGAGAAAGGGGGACCGAAATGACTTTTTAAATAATCTGTTAATCTTTACCATCCCACCTTGATTTTGGAGGGCGAGGCACAGTGGTGGAATTACAAGAGTCCCTTGACCCCTTTCTTCCTCCAAAAATTCCCAAATCATGCCCCAAATAAGTGCGTCAGAACCAAAAGGAGAACTGGAGCTTCTGATGCAGCCTCTTCTGAGATTTGGGCTAGAGAGCTTTGGGAGTTCCTCCCTCTCTTGCTGAGTCTGTCAAGCCAAAGGGAAGGCTGAGTGAGAACGGAAGGCCTCTGCTCCTCTTGGAACTAGAAACAGCTGGCTGGGTTCTGGGAATAGCCATTGGTGAGTTCAGACATAACGCCAAGCTGTGGGCTACCACAAGGGTGGGGAACAATGTCCCCCTGGACTGCATGCAGTCCCCATCAACTCCCCCCACCAATTATTTTTGAAGTGGTCCATACTAAATAAAGAAGAAGTCAGAAAGAGAAGGAACACTTTTTGCCTGTTCTCCTTTCATTGGAAGGAGGAAACACATCAGTACCAGATCACAGCTAAATTAAAATGTTGGATTTTCCACTGATTCTGATTCTGACCACCTATTCTGTGGACAACTAAAGAATGACCTTTTCAGACAGTGGTTCTTTCTTACATGTGTATCGGAGGACACCTGTCCTACCTCTGTAGTGAGGCTAGGTAGTTGCCATTCCAATCAATTAGCTTTTATTGTATAGACATTACAGACAAACAAGCATGACCTCAGGGTACAGACTAGAATCTCCATATAAACAAAGGATCAAAGCTGGCATTGCTTAATGCTTGTCCTCTAAGCTCTGTTGAGCCTTCCAAGTTACAGCATCATAAATGAAAGTGGGCACAAAATTAGTCCGCAGCACTGCAACCCTCCCTGTTCAAGCTGCACAAGCTACCAAGACCCACCCTCCTTCCACGTCTTGCCAGTCCCTCTGGATGTTGCATCGCACTGCAGCACACGTCCCTCTTCTTGGGACAACCAGCTCTTGCTCCCCACTGTTGCCACCTCCTGTTCTGTGGGAACATGCATTTCCAACCATTTCGGAAAAGCCTCCCTAGTTATCAGGACTGTTCTTACACATATCTCACTCCTGCAGCCTTGTCTGCTTGGCAGCCTCGGACCCCTTTCCTCCTGCCATCTCAGTCAAAAACAGTCCCTTGGTCTTCTTGAGGAAGAGGAGGTTGAGATTGCTTCTTGGTCATCGGAGTGTAGGACATGAAATAACGGGCTCAAGTTTCAAGAAGCCAGTTGGTGGACCTCAGGAAGAACTTCCTGGCTGTTCGAGCAGTGCAACAATGGAACCCATGACCTGGGGAGGCAGTGGGCTCTCCCACCATGGAAGCATTCAAGATGCAGTTGGACAGCCATCTGAAAGGGATGCTTCAACTTGGAGTCCTGCACTCCTCAGGGGTTGGACCTGATGGTCATCCTGGTCCTTCCAACTCTTCCATTCTTTGAGTCTAGGAACTTCTGCAGAGGTGCTGGACCCAATCCCTACACTGTGTTTTGTGTGGGTACCTGTCCTGCTATTCTAGCCACACTATCTTATTTTCCCTCACCACCTTTCTCAGGACTCTCTCTCTCTTTGAGAGAGGAGGGCCTGATCTCAGTCTCTCAACATTCTGCTCTCCTACACTTCCTCCAGGCCTTCAGAACAAAGCTTGAGTCCCATTATTTTTAACCTTATGGGCTGAACAGAACAAACAGTGTTTCACTGGATTCAGATTCAGTGGTGCATCTGGTTGCACCTTGCATTTTATTTGGGTTGATCGTTATTTTATTCTGCATCTCCACTTCTTTTTCTCCAGCCAGAAATAATCCTTTGTTCAACACATACACAGTTTTTCTCAGCAACGGATTCATCATGGTTAAAGGAGGAGGAATAGGAAGAGAACCAACATATATATAATTATTTTCTCTCCTTTGATTCCAAGAAAAATCCCTCATTAAAAATTCCAGTAAAAGTACAGTCAATTAAAATAATTGTGGCATAATAACTGCATAGCGCTAAACAATCTTGGGACGAAGCAGCAAATTTCATACAAACGGTTTTCTCTCCTCAAGTGTTCTGCACTGGAACAGAAGGGCAGGGGGATAAAATGGAAAATCTTCATTTTTTTTTCCTTCCAGCAAGATCTATTAGCTTCAAAGTAATAGATTAGCGGGAGCGGGTTAAGGGCAGATGGGATGGTAGCTCCCTGATATAGATGAAATAGGAGGTCCGTCTGCTGCAGGTATGATGGATTAGGTCCTTGCATGTGATCCTAAACCCAGCACATCCGCAGCTGTGTCAAAGGAGCATCTTTTTTCACTGTGTTGATGAATGGTTGGAAGGTTCACAGGACCAACATCTGAGCTCAGTGCACACATCCTGTTCTCAATTGCTGTGAGGGCTGTTAGTTTCGCCCTCCTTCCAGGCAGACCAGGACAATGGCTTTCCAACTCAAAGGTTTTAGTACCAACCAGTGACGCTGCCTTTAAAGTACAAATGAAGGATATCGCAGAAGTCAGTAACAAAAGAAGTAAGCCATGGTAGAACGCCAACCTTTAAGGGAAAGTGGTTTAATGATAAGTAGATTCCAAATTGAAAAACCAGCCCTGCTTCCAAACTAAAATGAGCAAACCGCACCTCCTGCTTCAGGGCGAATGGACTGGAGCAACAGAACCTCCTCAGTGAGTTGGTCTGCTTAGCCTGATGGCCATGCACAGGGCCTGGTGTTGCTGACTCTGCCCCTCCTCATTAGACCCTCCTGCTAAGCTTTCCTATAGAATTTAAAACTGTCTTGCCCTCAGCAACTCGCCAGCTTACCTCTGCGTCCACTGGTCCTGCAAGTCCACTGTAGACGCAAACCCCTTCTGCGTCAGAATCTGTTTCCAAAACTTTTGTAGGCTCCTCTGTGGGACAAGTGGCCCCATAAACGCCACAAGAAAAAATATGGCCCCTGGGAAGCAGATTGCTGCTGTGAGACTTTAAGGAGCAATACTTATTGGTGGGGAAGTGGAGGAGATCTAGTCAACCAGTTAGCCTGGCTGGCTGCCAGAGTATAGCCAGGTAACCATTTTAATAGGCCCTCCAAGGAAAGGAGCCATAACTCAGTGGAAGAGCAAATGCTTTGCAGGAAGATGATTCTAGGTGCAAACCCCCAGTTTAAGTTTCCAGGCAGGATTTGGTGGCAGGTCTTGAGAAAGCCTCTTCTTTGCATTGTGTCCTGGAAGGCACTTCCAAGAGGACAACACTGGGCTGGATTCACTGGACTTGTCATAAAACAAGTTTTAAAGTTCCTCTGCATAGACCTTGCTGATTCCATCGTTTTTACTCCTTCCAGGGTATGCAACACGTCCAGATTTATTTGTGTTTTGTTTCTAGCTTTAGCCAGCTCTCCCAGCCTGGTACCCCGAAGAACGACTGGGGTGTGTCTGGCATTGTGGTCCAACACATCCGCAGGGCTCCAGGTTGGGGAAGGCTGGGTTTCAGCCTTCCCGTTTGTCCCTGACAGAAGTGAAATGCTAATTTAAAACCTGAACATTTCCCTCCAGGAGCTGAAGGCCAATTATACCTTTTAGCTTCCCAGAAATCCTTTCCTCCTCCCACACAGGCTTCTCAAAACTCCGTAGGTGGCACATTCCCAGCAGGCATGCAGCAGTAATCTCGGGAATTTATGATACATCCACTCCAGTGACAACAATTTTGTTCTGCTTTCTTCAGGAGAATGGAACAGAGGATATTGGCATATGGAAAGCAACTTTAGAATGCAAGGACTAGTTCCGTGGCTTCCACTGTTTTGATTGACAGCTACGTTTTCATCTCTGTTTGGGTTGACATCTCTCCTGCTTCCCGAAAGATGTCATAGCTATGGATGTTGCAGCTGCAGTCCTTGACCTGACTACCCGCAGTATCAATTTTCTTGGTCACCAGAACGAGAAAAGAAAAGAAAGACAAATTTTTATCAGCAGTGCATGCAAAAGCTGCTTGTTTTGCTGATACATAATATGTATTTCCTACCACCGTAGCCTTGTTGCCACCATATACTTGCTATTTAATTTTTGCTAATGAAAACATGGGGCAAAAGCTGCAGCAAAGATTTCTTTCTTTTCTTTCCATCAGGTGCGCAAATTCACAGGCCCGAAGGCCAAATCCAGCATTCCCCTGTTCGCAATTTTTAATTTATTATTTATTTCTTTATTTTTCAATTTATATCCTGCCTTTTTCCTACAAAGGGCTCAAGGCAGCTTACATCATTCTCCTCCTCCATCTTATCCCCACAACAACCCTGTGAGGTAGGTTGGGCTGAGAGTCTGTGACTGGCCCAAAGTCACCCAGCTGGCTCCATGGCTGAGCGGGGACGAGAACCCGGGTCGCCTGAGTCCCAGTCCCAGCTCTTAACCACTGCACCACACTGGCTCTCTTTTCCCACTCTTTTTCTTGAGAGGAATTCAAAGCAGCTTACGATATTCCTCCTCCTCCTGTCCATTTTATCTTCACAACAACCCTGTGAGGTAGGCTGGGCTGAGAGTCTGTGACTGGCCCAAAGTCACCCAGTTGGCTCCATGGCCGAGCGGGGACTCGAACCCGGATCCTCTGAGTCCCAGTCCCAGCTCTTAACCACTGCACCACACTGGCTCTCTCAAATGGTCTAAATGTTGTTTTATGTACTGTGTTTTATTGTTTTTATACCTCATCGTGAACAACCCAGAGAGCTTTGGCCACGGGTGGTATAGAAATGTAATAATAACAACAACAATAATTACTTGCTGCCGCCACTCCCCGGCTTCCTAATAATGTCATGTACTAATAGTGCCCTGCCTGGGTTTCATTGGATTTATTCCCCACAAAATGTGCACAGGATCTTAGCCTTATCTACTGAGACAGAATATTCCTCCTCTGAAGAATAAAAGTAGACAATGCAGAACTAACTAGCAATTAACTGATCGGAGAATGAGCCTGGGAAATTGTTGGGAAAGCCGCCTGTAATAATGCATCCCTGATTATCTCCTTGCAGTGTCCGTAGGCTATGAGTATGAGGCTTGTCCTGACTTGATCCTCTGGGAGAAAAGGACTGTCACACTACAAGGATTTGAGCTGGACGCATCAAACCTGGGAGGCTGGTCCTTGGACAAACACCACATTTTGAATACACAGAGCGGTAAGCGTGTTTGTTATCAGTAAAACAGCATGGTCTTTATCAAGATGGGAAATTACTTTTTTTTTTTGCACATTTTTTATTAAGATTTTAAACTAAAAACTAAAAAAATCAATCATCAATTACATCGGACATACTGGGTCAGCCCGCTATAACATACTATAATCATATTCAAATCGATTTATAAAAATTTAAAGACATCTTTAAATCTAAGCCAAGTCCCATTTCTCCAGCCAATCATAAAAAAAGTCCCAAGTTTGACAGAAGTCAGTATCTTCTTTCTCCTTCAGTAATAGAGTCAATCTGTCCATTTCTGCACAGTCCAGAATCTTTTTTAAAATCAGTTCCTCAGTGGGTAGTTCCTCACTCTTCCAGTACTGAGCAAGCGGAATCCTTGCCGCTGTGATTAAATGTAGCATCAAATACATTTCTTGTTTGCTAATATTTTCCGGTACAATACCTAACAAGAAAATTTCAGGTTTAAAAGCTAAGGGTTTTTGTAGCATTTCCTCAAGCCATTTATGTATTTTAATCCAATGCTTTTTCACATATTCACAGGTCCACCACATATGGTAAAAAATACCCACATCATGTTTACATTTCCAACATCTATTTGACGTATTTGGAAACATCTTAGCTAATCGACTTGGCGACAAATACCATCTATAGAACATTTTATATAAATTTTCTTTATACGAAGTTGCTAATGTTACCTTAGTATTTCTCTCCTATAGCTTTTGCCACTTTTCTAATTCAATATTATATCCAAAATGTTGTGCCCATGTTATCATAGTTTCCTTAACCTGTTCCATCAAGATGGGAAATTATGAAGGGGACAATGAACTTTAAAAGAAGCATTAATAAGAAATTTAGGCAGACACTGAGGTTCAGATCAGCACCATGTAATCGGAACCCATTACTATTAAGGTAGAGAAGGAAATGTTTCTAGCCTTGGAACAGAGGGCAGGACATGTTCCAATGGAGCAAAGCTCAGGGAACCCACATTCAGGGTGGATGCCAGGGAGTACATCCTGGTATTTAGGACCCTGAGGGTATGGAATGGGCTTCCACGGGAGGTGGCTGAAGCCCCATTGGTGAGGGTGTTCAAGGACAGGCTGGACAAGGCATGTCATGAGAGGAGCTGGCTGGAGCCGGGGGTCAGACTAGGTGGCCCAGGGGGCCACTTCTGACTTGCTGTGTTTCTATGTCTCTAAACTGGGCAGGGTGACATGGTAATTAATTTGGGGGGAGCCAGGGGATGGTGTTTGGAGGTTTCATTGAGTGATAGACCCCTTTTCTTGGCCCTCCCTAATCTAAGCACTGAGGGAAAGACAAAGTCTGTACTCTCAAAGTTCATTAGCCAAAAGGTCAAAAATAATTTACCACTTGATCCCTACTAAAAGCTCAAGAGCTACTCTCATCAGCCCGAGCCTTGGAAAATACATATTTAAGGTTAATTCCATGATTCAAGCCTTTAAAAAAACATTGTATATGTCAGGCAATGCTCTTGAATATTGACCTGCAGGGAATGGAAAGGAATACATTTTGAGCAGCTTTCTCATTTATGAATTTCTTCCTCCCAAAGTTTCCAGCACTCAGTTAAGCTAGATAAAGCGTTCTGCCTGGATGCAATCACCAGGGCAAAATTTTGAGAAGTGTCAACTGTGTTTGCAAAAATAACATCAAGAATTCCAATAATTGGCATGCAATCTTGTTTTCCCTGACACACCCAAATCAAGCAGCATTCCTTTGACTTCCCAACTTCAACTTCACAATTTCCTCAAGCACTGTCCACTTCCCCAAATGCTTTGCTAACACTCTCTGCTGTTATTCTTCCATTTAAGGTGAATCCTATACATGTTAAGACAGAAAGGGGGCATAGGATTGCACATTTGTGTGTTTGCATATTCATACACATATACTGCTTTAATAATACAGTATTAGGGCCTGGTTACCTGAAGGACTATCTCCTTCCAGATGTGCCTGCCCACCCCTTAAGGTCTGGGGCAGAGGCCCTTCTCCAGGAGCCCTCCCTGAAGGAGATTAGGAGGGTGACTACCTGGAGGAGGGCCTTCTCTGTGGTGGCACCCCGATTTTTGAATTCGCTCCCCAGAGAGGTTCACCTGGCGCCATCACTTTATTCTCTTCAGTGTCAGGCTGAAACCTTTTTATTTTCCAATGTTTTAAGATTTGATTGTTTTAACAGGGGTTGTATTGTTGTTTGGAAATTTTATTAGGATGCTGTGTTTTATTTTATATTGTCTTATTGTTAAACCATCCCAAGACCATGGTAAGGGACAGTCTAGAAAAGTTTTAAACAAAGAAAGGACTTGGAAGAAGACATGCCAAAATGAATCCCTTCAGCACTTAAGAACAGTTCCACTTCTCCCCATGTGGGGTTTTCTTGACTCCCAGCATGTTGTCATTTACCAATTAATCAGAGTCCCCCAAAATTAAACGCAAAAATCAGGCAAAGCAAACACTCTATGGGTGGAAAGGAGATGTTTTCACTATAGATTCTCTTACCAGCTATAGAAACGCTCTCCCTGTACCCTGCCACTTCTTAATTGTTCTTCAGGTCTCTAAAGATCAACAGAAAAGTGTAAGCTGTAGGGTTTCGGCCAGTTTTTTCCTACTCCCTCTTTCTTGGTATGCGTAGACCCTTGGGCTAAGCTGAATGCCAAGTCTCAAATAAAAAAGAGGCTTTGCTACTAAAGAAATTCATTCAGATCTGCCTATAGAAGTTCAAACATCTCTCTTCCTTGGGTACGATAAAAGAATACCATTTTGAGGGTAATCTAGTGGATCAAAGGGTTTCCTCAAGTAGCATTGTCCAGGCAGTGCTGTCGACAGCTTTAAGGCCAAACTACATAGTATGCAGGAGATGACATCTCCAAATATTTCTGTTTTTAGTGGAACACAGTTATTGTGCTATCGGGAGGTCCAACACGGCCTGAAGCTGCTGCACTGGGGGAGGAGGAAAAGTCTAACCCAGTCCCCCTGCACAGTTTGCACACTCTAGATGTGCTGTTATCCCTGCTGAGGAGAAAAATATGGGTACCTATGTAGTACCTGTATTTATTTTCTAGCAGGCTAATATCAGCTTTGGAACCAGGCGAATTTTGAAGGGGAAAACTACATGGAGAAGAAAAGGTTCAGGGTTAAACACCCCTCCCGTAATCCCACTGTTCCGATCAGAATCAGCCACTTGCAGGGTGGGGGAAATGCCGGAGAGCAGTCTAATCACAGATCTCCTACATCACATGTGCTTTGGCTCTTACATAACATCCTGGCTTGTTTTTCCAGTTTATTAATAGGCATAACAGAATGTGGTGTCTTCACACCAGCCAAGCGCTTCGTGTTAAAAGCAGCACATGATTGGGGGAAGAGGGAGGCAGGAAAGAGGGAAGGCGTGCTCAGCCCCAGTGCACCATCCTGGTTTCATAAACCTTTATAAACCAGGTTTAAGACGCCTGGAATGATTGTCTGCGCCAGGTCATTGCATCTAGCCAGCTTCGAGGCTGGGCATGGCTAGCACCTGCCTGAGGACCCCACACCCCACCAGGTTCCCAGGGTCACCCTGGCATTCTTTCTCTCTTTCGCCTCTGCACCTGCCTTTTTGCTGCTCCTTTCTTTCATTGTGGCAACAGTGGTGGCACAGAGGAATTGCAGCACCAGAAGCCGTGATCTGTTTGCTTCCTTCTATCAAGGAAGCAACTGGTTGCAAGGATCCTTCCTTGGATCCAAGCAAGGATCCTGGAGGGCAGAGAGTAATAGTTCCTTGTGACAGTGACTGCAAGAAGATAGACTCACTGAGGAGGTGACCCATGGAGGAAGGCTCTGTCTTCAGGAAGACCGCAAGGGATTATCGCCATCAAAATAGGTGGTCTAAATCTCTGGGCTAAGGCGCCAGAAGATGGAGATGTTTCCACCTGTCATGTTGTGCCCAGCACTGCTTTTCCTTTTCTTTCATTACCTTCAGGATGAGTCAAGCCATCAGTCTTACCTAAAAAAAAAACCTAAATATTGGACATGCATCCTTCTTCGATGTCTCTGATATGATAAAAGTTGAGTCAGTTGGTGAAAGCATGTGATAATTGATCAAATTGTCAAGTGCTTTTTGGGGTTCTACATTTAAGAACAAAGGTGTCCTTTGCTGATTGTTTTTATCAAGATAAAGCGTGTGTATCTTGATTGTCTTTATGGCACAACATCAAACTTACACCCCCTTTTTTATGGCCAGCCATAAAACCTTCATACATAAGACACGTCTTTCAGGGGAAACAGGGTCTCCATGGCCCTAATTATATATTGCTACTTGTGTGAGAGGATGAAAGATTGCCTTTACACATTTAGCTACAGACAAAGGCCAACTGCTCCTGTCATTTCAGTGGATTTTTACTGCCCAGGGAGACTGTTTCTGTGTGCAGTAACCACCCTGGCTTGTTGCCAAGCTGCTCTTATAAACCTACAAGAAGCTCCAAAGAGGAATAAACATCCTGTCCCTCATTGTCCATAAATAAGCTTTCAAACATTATTTCCATATTGAATTCCTTGAGTTCAACATTAAGAACCATTGCTATTTATCTTCCAGGAAAGTTGCTGTTCTTGTTGTTTCATGTTTATTTATAAGCTTCAAGAACAGTCTCTAAAATGTGTTGAAGGGAACCCAACTTTGAAACTTCTAGGAGCTTATTTTATTTTATTATTTTATTTTTATACCACCCATAGCTGAATCTCTCTGGGCAGTTTACAACGAAGTATAAAAACATAAAATACAATAGAGAAAAATATAATTAAAAATTAATTTAAAAGAACATTAAAGGACAATAAAAAGTCCTGGCCAAGAGCAAAAGTATGTGAGTAAAAAAAGAAGAATTGTATAAAAGGAAAATTAACCAGTGATTTTCTAACTAGTCCTAGATGGATAGGATCCCTCCGAGGAATTCAGTATTTCATAGGGTATTTTAGCTGGCAACATACAGGTATGTGAGGGGATGTCACATGGAGATGGGTAGAGACCTGTTCTCCCCTGCAGAGGAAGGCAGAACGCGCTCCAATGGAGCAAAGCTCAGGGAGCCAAGGTTCCATTTGGATGCCAGGAAGCACTTCCTGACAGTCAGGACCCCGAGGGTGTGGAATGGGCTTCCCCTGGAGGTCATTGAGGCCCCATCGGTGCGGGTGTTCAAGGATAGGCTGGACGTCCACATGGTGGGCATGTCGTGAGCGGAGCCAGCTGGTGCCGGAGGTCAGACTAGATGGCTCGGGAGGCCCCTTCTGACTCGCTCTGTTTTCTATGTTTCTATGTTCCAGGCTGGTTTGTCTTGCTGGGAACTTGAGCCTTTACCAGACAGTCTCAGATGAAGAGACAGGAAGGTCAAAAATGAAGCACACCTGGAGCCAGATGTTGTGGGCATGAGGTGTGCATGTAGACGCTGTCTCAAGGCTGCACCTCTGCACACCTCTGTCTTAGTAGCACCCCCAGGCTTCCAGTTCTGGAGCAGAACTGCTCTAAGCTGGGAATTTTGAATCTCTGCAGAAATGCATCTTAACATATTGCATCTAAATATATTGTGTATAACAAGCTTCCTTTGTGTTCAGTGTGAACAAGGCCTGGTAAAATGCCACGAGCAAAGCTATGGACTTACTGTGTGTGTTTCAAACCAGGTATCGTACATAAAGGAAATGGAGAAAACATATTTATCTCCCAGCAGCCACCAGTAATCTCAACTGTGATGGGTAATGGGCACCAGAGAAGCGTCTCTTGTGCCAATTGCAATGGCCCGTCTCACAGCAGTAAACTCTTTGCCCCTGTTGCCATGGCCTCTGGAACTGATGGCAGTATATACATTGGAGATTTCAATTTCGTTCGGAGGCTCCTTCCTTCGGGGAACACCATTAGCATCCTAGAACTAAGGTAGGAAGCTATGGGGGGCTTTGGAAAACATGGTGTGTGTTTAATCCTCCCCCTCGCCAAAAAAATCATATAGAAGAAAACTCCCAAACCTGCTGGACTGTTGCAGTCTGGGACTTCTTCTTTCAGGGAGATCGCTAAGAAAGCTGCATGGGGATGGGGTGATTCCTCCTCCAGGGTTTCCGATCACATGCAGTGCTTCTTAGGAGTTCCTCTTTTTCAGATTAGGTGGCGTAGCCCACCCATGTCCTGCATGCAAAGGCTCTTGGGATGAGATTTGAAAGGGCTCAAGGATGAACACCAGGGGGGCATCCATGACAAAACCCTTCCCTTCTACGAAAAAATAATGAAAATGGTGTGATAGTTCCCCAGAAGCAATTTGCACCTTCAGGATGGCTTCATTCTGGCCAGCTCAGACTCTGCTGCCTCCCAACTGAAACTTTAAAATCGCTGTTGGGGGGTGTCTTCTTTCTTTCACTGCGTAAAACAGGTCACCAAACCGATCCTGCTGGTAAATAGCCCATTCAGGAAAAGGTACTGAGTCATTCACTTCCATGCAGGAAATATCAATTGAGCATCCCTGATGATGGGAAATCATTTGGCTTACAAAGGACAGTAATGCACAAGTCCAAATAATACCCTCAGTTCTCTCTACTTAGAAAGCACGATGATAAACATCAGAAAAGTTTGAGTTGAACCTGAGCTGACCTGGATCCCCTAAATTAGTGATAATCCAGAATGCCCTTTGAGCCTCTGTTGCTGTCAAGAACTACACCGTAACCAGCCTCTGTGCAAGAAGTTACAATTAATGCACAGGATCTTAAAGGAATTTTGTTAGAAGAGCTAAACAATTATATCCATTATTGAAATATGGATGGAATAACACAAAATCAAGGGAAGGATGAAGGAGCAAAGGCTGCGTGCTGGATGGAGGTTAGTGACTGGAAGACAAATTGAGTAAGAAGATAAGTTAGCTGGAATAGGCTGGTGCTTTGTACAAGCCTTCCTTGTGTCTAAACATACATCAGTTTGTGCAACTACTCGCTGTGAATACATGTTAAGTATCAGCCACACTTTTCTAACCAACACTAATCATTTTTCTTTTTCTTGCTCTTTCTTGTTTGCTTGCATGTGCGGTTGCTGTACCGATCTGCCATTTTAAGGAACAGGGACACGAGACACAGGTAAGAAAACTGAAACAGTGACGCGGGCCTGTGGTGACCGCTTCGAGATTCTGTGTGACTATGTGACATTTTCCATGTGAAAAGATCTTCACGAAGTGTTGTTAGGAACTTTGGAAGTTGTGCACCCTGGCACCTCTCTGTGCAAGATGCTGGTTTACCATACATTAAAGGTTTTCACTCCAGTTCAGGGTCAATCTTGATAAAAGATAGGAGTTCTTAGAGAACTATATAGCAATAAAGCTTCCTGCAGTCCCCTGTCCAAAAAAACTGCAAAATGGTCTCTCCACCACTGCCCTGGGCTTTGCTATTCTAGAGAAGGTGCACCAGATCCACTTCCCTGCATCACTGATCTAGCATTTCCAGATTTTATTCAGAAGCCTTAAGAAAATTGGTATGGAAAGAAATGGTGGAAAGCAGTGTTAAAAGAAATATGGAGCTGAACCCCACTGAATCTTTTCCAAGGCTCCAGTATGTAATGCTGCTACTTGCTAACTGTCCCTGCGAGTAGAATTTGCTTCTTGCAGGGATAATAGCTGGACACACAAACAAAATAGTTTGTGTTGATGCCATCATTGCATGCCTTTTGACCTTATTTTCTTGACTAAGTAAGGCAAAAAAAAAAGTTAGGAAGCCTTGTCAAGGAAAGGAGGAACAGGGGTTTACATTCACAGAAAGATTTTATGGTCCACAGTGTGTGAAAATTGACTAAATTTCCCCATGTTTGTTTTTATTTTTAAAAAGAATGGTTACGGACAGAGCAGGGAATGAAGGCATACTCAAGATAGCATACTTTTCTTCACAGAAAAGGCTGATATGTCAGGAAGCCAAGAGAGAATTGCCTGTATCTCCAAATCATCTCTTAGGCCAGTCTTGGCAGATGTTGCTCTTGACTCTGCCCTACTGGGCAGCTGATCATGTGACCAGTTCTCCCGCCTGAATGACCCACAATGCCCCTGGTGTAGGATCACTTTGAAGCACTCTGGTTTTGTTCCACTAGGCACCAGGGATGTGCCTTTAGGAGCAGAAATCGGGTTTGCTTTCTGTTGCTTCACACAAACCCACCCATTATGCACTGGTATTTTTTGTAGCTGACAAATTGAAACTGAGTCACCAAATTTGAGTCCGAGGGAAGGTTAGACAGATTCTGCCTACTGTGTAACTGACTCATCGTTTCCAAGTGTTCTTTAGGAAGACAAAAGTTCTCAGTTCTGCCTACCTGTTGATTGGGTTTTCCTTCCTCCATTCCCCTTGTGCAAAGTGTAAAAGCCAACCATGTCAAAAGCGGATGTTTGACCATGTCAAAAGTTGATGGCGTCAAATGGCAGCATTGCCTTGTGTCATGACCTCAGATGTCATCACGTTCTGACATCTGCTCCTCAAGAGAAAGTGAGGGGAGGCAGGACAGGCTGTGACAGGGACAGAAATTATTCCGGTACCTTTCTTTTCCTCATGAAGCAGCGATGCTCAGACATACCAGTAGTTCTCACGCTAAGGCTGCAGTCCTATATACATCTACCTGGAGCAAGTCTCATTGCACTCAGCAGTATTTACTCCTGAGTCACCATACATAGGGCTGTAATGCCAAATTGGCATTTGTGCTCCCTGCAGTCCATGGAGACAAACATGAAAGGAAAAGAATCACCCATGCATACCTTGCAACAACCTGAATAAGCTACTGGAAGTGAGGAGGAGATGCAAAACCAGAGCTTAGAGCCAGAGCTTAATAGGGGTGAACCTTCTTTCACCCAATGGTCAGTCAGCTGGACTGTACTGGGCCAGACAGAACAATGGGCTCCCCCAGGCTAAGGCAGCTTCTGGTGCTATTGTGTAAGGATCTGCAGCTTTCTAACAGCAGCATAGGAGAGGCAGACAGGAGGCAGAAATGCAAAGGCCTGCAGTGCTTAATGGGGCTGCCCACATTTGGAGCTATCCACATTTCCGTCACCACCAGCTCGACCTGCCGCATGCCAGCCAGAACCAGAACAGGACAATTACAAGAGCAATTAGCCCAGAATATTTCTCCAGCTGGCAGAATTAAATCCCGCTGAGCAGATCCATTTCCCTCCATCATCAGAACGTTGGATGTTTTGCAATGCCACCTCGGATGCAGGTCCTTTATCTCCCTGGTATTTGGGAGACAGAATGCCAAGAAGGCATATTCTGCCACCTGCCTTTTTCATTCCATTCAAATTTAACACGATGAAGTCAGAAACGATAGAAAATGGCAAGGACCAGCCAGTTGCAAATATTTCCCAAAATGTGAATTGAAAAATGGATGAGCTAATTCCAGATTGACCTAATGCAAATGAACTCTTATGAAATGAAATAAACCCACACATCTGAAGCCTTCAGTTTTTAAAGCCATCCTTAGAACCCCAGGACACAAATAACCAAAAGTCATTTGATGGGGAGGGAATGAAAGAAACACGTGCAGTAGAAACTTTGGACCAGTTCCTTGGAGTGTGAAAGTCTAGTGGAGGCTGGGACAAGTGAAGTTCAGGCCAGATAAAATGGAGATGCTAAATGTTGGGGAGGATTGATGGATCTGGTGGCTGGTGGGTCTTCAGGGCTAGATCAGGTTAGATTTTGCCTGAAGGGCAAGGTGTGCCATTTGGCAGTGGTGGCACTGGACTTGGAGATGGTCTTGGATTTACAGGTGACAGTGATGGCTAGGAAAGCCTTCTATTCCCCTAAGCTGATCCGTCAGTTGCTGCCTCTGTACAGGAGGATACTTGGGTGCCCTCAACTGTGCCTTGGTGGCATCCAGATGGGCACACTGTAATGGCTTCTCCGAGGGCTTCCCCTTAAAAGCCCCTTAAATCAGTTCAGAATGATGCTGCCCACTTGAGAATGAAGTTGCCTTCCCAGCCGCCTGCCAAACTGCTGAATGATGGACATTGTGGGAGTCTGCTTTGTCATAGAGTTCAGAAGAGGACAATTGCTTGGGCGCTCATGTACACTGCACTGGAGGTCCCAAGGATCTGAGGCTATGGGGTGCCAATATGGATCCTAAGATGGGTGGCCATGTTGTCAGGGGCCTCTGGGAGCAAATACCTAGAGATCTACTTTCTGGACTTCACTCCCAGAAGCCCCTGCCAGCATGGCCAATGCTCAGGAAAGCTGGAAATTGGACCCCAAATATCTCGAGGGGCTTCTGACAATCCCTGCTCTAAGAAACCTAGATGATGTATTCCAAGAGCAGCACCAGCTAGGAGTAAAAACTACACAGCTGCCTTAGCAAACTCCTTTTCCCAAAAAAGACCACCATGCAGGTTTTTTGAAGCCACTGCTCGATCAGACTTAGCATTCTCTGCTTCAGCTCTTCAGCCCTTTTGCCAGCTCTTCAGTTCTTCCATGCACAATCCATTTCCTGGTTCTTCATACACCTCTGCTGCATTCCCATTCCACGGCTTTCTCTCCGCATCCTGGTTTTGCCACATTTCTTGTTCTCCTTCGCATGATCAAACAGTGTCACTGGTGCCTGCCCTAAACTCGACTTGCTTGTAACCAGCCCCTGCCAGCTGCTGTGATGTCAATGGATGATAATAGGCACCTTGCAATATCAGTCTTTAATTAGCAAACTCATTATCTCACAAGCTTCTTCTAATCACTCTTTATTATGGAAGTTCAAGATTCTACCTGACCCTGTATTAGAACTCCCTTGACAACGGAGTAAACTTACACACTGACGAAAATATGAGTAATATCACTGAAAAAATAAACCAAATTAAAAATTCTGAGCATAAAACTTATCCCTGTAGCTGACAAGAGCATTCAGTTCTTATTTCTTGATTTAATCAGTACAATAATCAGAAACTCTTAATATAATACGTAACTCATTTGATAATACTGATATCCTGCAAAGACAAAATGTTGATGTATTTACAACCCAATCCAGTTCAGATTTACTCAGATGCAAGCCCCTTTCAGTTCAGTGGTTCTTTTCCAGCTAAGCATGGACAGGGATTGCATAGATATGAGGCAGTTCTTAAATGGAGCTGCACACTCAACAGATAGGCATAAAAATGGGAGGTAGGGTGTATTTTGCCCCCCAAGGTCATGCAAGCACCTCAGTGTGGATTTTTTCTTTTTTTCTTCTTTAACATGCCACTTTTCCACAAAAAGTGCCCAAAGTAGCTAAGAACACAACAGCAGCACAGAAAGAACAAGTCAAAGCCATGCCTCAGTTACAGTAGTATGTTGTTACAACAGCCCAGACACTTTTGGATTGTCTGATTTGATCCATGAATGCATTCTAGAAAACTTAGAAGAACGGATGATTAGCAAGGAGCACTCCTGGGCCAGAAGGGAAGACTCCATGAACTGGACTAGACTTGTGGGCTGGAGGTTTCCCACCCCTCTACTAGAAGGGCATTTTTAAATTCAAGACAAAAGTTTCACAAGTGTAACTTGTGAATACTGGAGCACCAGTTTACATCTTACATCTTACATTTTACCGCCACCTTATTGGCAATGCATTGGGCATGAAAAATGATGTCTTCCAGAAGAACATCGCCTTCCATGTCCATGTAGCATGCTTGGAAGGGCCATGGATGCTCACTCATATAACTTGTGGGTTTTATTTTGACTTGTATCACTTGATCAGGCTTTGAGAACACCAATGTGCAAAGACAGAGCAGCATGTTCAGGTTTGCAGAGGAACAAAGGAAAGCTTCTGTACACTCACTGAGTTCCTATTTTGTCTCTCTTTCTTCTTTGTCGCATTAGCACTAGCCCTGCTCACAAGTACTACCTGGCCATGGACCCTGTATCTGAATCCCTTTACCTGTCAGATACAAATACCAGAAGAGTTTACAAAGTGAAATCTCTCAGTGAAACCAAGGATTTGACCAAAAACTATGAGGTGGTTGCAGGAACTGGTGACCAGTGCCTTCCATTTGACCAAAGTCACTGTGGAGACGGAGGACGGGCTTCGGAAGCATCACTTCACAGCCCACGAGGTAGGATATTGAGATGAAATAAAAGACATCTTCCTTGTCTGCCTCATTTCAGATATATCTTTGATGGGTTTTTAACATTTCCCTTAGTGAAAAAATAAGGCCAAGCACATCTGAATCGTTAACTTAGAATGAATTGTCACAATGACAACTGACCTTATAACTTCTACTCAGAGTAATGGCTTGAGTATGGGTTGTTATATCCTGGATTGTCATTACATGCAAACTGGAATTATGTAACTGCAAACAACCCAGAAAGAGAGGCCATGGCATATTGCTGGGTTGTAAACTCGGGGTTGTTTTAACTATGAGTTGTCCTTGCATGTGAACCCAGAACCATGGGTTATTCATGGGTTGTTTCACCAGTTTACAGATAGGGACGTGCAAGAAATCTCTTTGGTGGGTGGGAATCTGTTGAATTCCCTGTGCTTAGCTCCCCAGACTCTGTTTCACTTTTTAGCAGCCCGCAGTCAATTTCCTGGTGAGTGTTGCTAGCGTTGTGGCAGCAACGGAAAAGAGCTGCACAACTGCATTCTTTGCCATTCCTGTCTGCTACCAGATACCTGATTTTACTTACTGATCATATCACCACTAGCCATTTCTCTTTCAGCTGCATTGGTGGGCTGCTAGGTGACTAGGAAGTTCAGTATCTGCATTAATGGCACAATAAAAAAAAGATCTTGCAGTCTTGGTTTTATGGGTGAAAGCCAGCCACATATTTGAACCAACACTGAAAAGAGGCTCAACAGCATAGGATGCTAAATACCATTTATAGTCAGAACCACAGGCATTTGGAATGGATGGTGTTCCAGCACCTTTTGAAGTCCTCCCTGAGTTTCTTTGGGCTTATTATCCTGCCCAAGCCCTGCCTAAGTCTATTTAACAGCTTTTCCATGCTAGTTCTGAGCTAATAATGGAAAGCTGCAGATAGAAGGAAATTCAAATGAACGGTGAAACAGCACAGTGTCCAAAGCACCAAAGAACCCCCTCATTCGAAAACAAGCTAGCAACAGCTTGTAATTATGGTCAGAGTGACTTTAACACATCTTGCATGATGGAAGGTAAGTGTGAAATACGTACAAATTACTGTTAATCTTCAGACAATAATTAATGCTGGAAATCAATTCTAAGCATAGGTGAACTCAGGGTTTTACATCCTGTGCCAGGAAAGCAAGAATCAATGTATTATTGTTCTCTGAAATTGATTATATCTAATTAAAAGGCAATTATCTGTTCTGTCTTATTTACTCCATGGGGAGAAGAAATATTTTGCGGCAATTTCTAACACGGAGGTTTCAAAATTGCCAGTGCCATTTCCCAAAACAACATCTACATTATGCTGTGACATTTGATGATGATGCTAGCAGCAGACTGGAGGACTGGTAATAACTGTTAGCTCCAAATGAACTAGGGGAGAGATTCGCGATGCTGTAATAGAAGGCTGGATGCACAGGATTACTTTATTTGCATGGGATAGAGCCCCAGAGATTGTCCATTGTAGGATTGAAGACAACAAAGCTTCTCTAATCTCTTTGGACAGTGTAATAAAATCCCAACTTCAGAGGAAATCAAGCAAGAAATGCATTTCCTAAGTAAAACATTTAAAGAAATCCCTTTGGGAAGATCTCCTATAGGATGTATGCAGCACAGAGTTGATGATGGGGGGGGGGGGCAGGTGGGGCAGCAGGAGGTAAACCCTCCACTGTGTCTCCTCTGAAGAGAGTCACACTCCCTGTCAGGACCAGGGGTATCCTTCAGGGGTTTTAGTGGTCCCTGCCAAAAGAAATACCACGGCCAAAAGGGACCTTTATCAGTCCAAGCCGACATGCTAACTCTACCCCTGGAGAATAGATACTACCCATGCTTTGGATGAAGGTTGTAGGACATGGCCCAGGAGTGGACCAATATTCACACATTTCACATTTTCTGAGCCCGCTTCAATGGTTGCCAGTGCGTTTCTGAGCTCAGTTCGAAAGACTGTTTCTTCCTGTTAAAGGCTTATGCCCACTGGCTGCCAGATGTTTTGTGAATAAAAATTGAGCTAGACTGGAGTAATAAGTAAAATAGAAGCCACCAAATGCAGCATTTATGAAAAAAAAATATATTACACACATCGGCTTATTTGTGTGCAATGCATTTCCTAGAATTCATGTGCCGAAGAATTCTGTATGCAGTTGCTAGATGGCTGCTTTGTTGTCTTTTATTTGGAGATTTTATATCCTGGCTTTCAGTCAAATGATTCTCTAACAATACATTGCAATAATACATACACCAGAGACAGGTGGAGCAGTTTATTTAGTCCATGTGCATTTTGCCTGTGTTCATTTGTAAGCCTGTTTCATTCTGTTTGTGCATCAATCTGCAAATTTGCACAAGTTTTGACAATAACTTTTCCATGACTCCCTGCACGATACATTAGTAAAATAAATCATGGTCCTCTAGATGATATACTCTGATTCCCACTATTCTTCACTGTGTACTGTGCTGGTTATGCAATGAAACAACATCAGGTGGTGAGTGGGGGAGACATATTCCTCTTCCCTTCTAAAAGTCAAGACATCCGGTCATCTAAAGAGGAAACGGAATAGATTATTGAGCAGTCTCGTTCAACCACCTCATACGCCAGGACTTTCCACTATGCATGCACTGGCCAGTTCTGCTTGCACAACCAATTTCACAAAGGTTACACAAGCACGATGCCCAATTGTTTGCATAACAGTGCTTGTGCAAACATAGGTTTTGTTGGATTGTCCTCTTGCGCGTAGTTCGGGAACTAGTTTCTGCTAGCCCAGCTACCTTTGCACTGAAGGAATGACACAGCTGGATACTGCCCATTGCATCCCAGACCTTATCAGCTGGGCTTTAGTCTCTTCATCTCTTAGCAACTATTATTACTATTATTTCTTTTCTGTTCTTTTCCTATAATTCCTATATATACTTTTCAATTATATTCTACTTTTTTTCCTTCTAGCAGTACATATTTCAAAATTTGAATATCTTGATCACTCAACATGCACAATATAATTGCTACATAGGAGAGATTTTATTCCAGATAGTTTAATCTCATATTATCATCCAGCCAGTGGAGGAAGACTATAAAGAAGTGTTGGATCCCTTGCAAGAGGGGAAAAATGCAGGACTGAAATGTAAAATAACAGCAGAATCTCTTCAGCTCCACCTTGGCAGATAGTGTTTGCTGGAAGACCAATAGCCGTGTTTTCTAGGTGATCCAGAAATGCATCCCAGAAGTTAAGACTTACAAAAGTATTTATTGAGTCAAGTCAACTAGCAGAAGTACGTCTTCTCCATGGTGAACTCAGTGTCTCACATCAGCATACCTATTTTCATCCAACAGGTGTTGAACGGTATAATTTCACGGTCTGCCTAGTTCAAGTACACACAAGAGCATGTTCGTTCCAGGACGTGGATGTTCAATCATTTTGTTTTCTCTTATCCTCCCCATACGCTGAAAGCAATAAAAAAGCAGGAGTTCACAAACCTTTAAACTCTTAATCAGTTGCCTCTTCTCTTTCGTTGTGTATCATGGTAGCCTATAAATAGCTAATTGCATAAAATTGCCTTAGTGGTTTCTTGATGGCAACTTTAATTAAAAGCACCAGAGACATTTAGAAGTTTGGAAATGGATGGCATGCAATTTTCTCTTTTACAACCATAAAATTAACCAATTGGATTCACTTTTCCTATTAAAAGTTTCATGAGAAACAGCAGATTCTTTCCAAACACAGTTGGCATGTTTTCTTTTTATCAGATCTCTCTAGGAGTTTAAGATGTTTTCATGGGCAAATTATTTAGAAGTTGAATTGGGAGCGCAGGATTATGTAAATGAATGGAAATACACAAAAAGCAAAACAGTCACTAGTGTTCCATCCAAAACTGCAAACATAGTGCCAGAAAAGGACGCAAGTTCTGCAACTAGAGATTATGCAAATTAACTTCTTGTGTTTAAATTGGTCATTTGCATATATTTGTCTGCAAGTTGCCTTTGGAAGGAAGGAAGGGCGATGAGAATCTGAGTTTCCCTGATAAAACAGTTTCATCTCATCCAAAAGATATGACAATTTTGCCTACAAAGACCAGAGCTACATTATAAGATTTCTTCTAGGTGTAAAGTTCTAGGTTCCTATAGAAATTAAAAACTGCTCCCTTCTGGACTTATTTTCCTCTATTCATATTTTGAAGTAAAGGACGGGGACACAAATGTGGTGTGATACATGTGCCATCTTCTCGATAACCCAAAGGACATGTATTTTCAATTTGCTTAAACACCTTTGGAGGGGAAAGTATGTATTGGACACACCTATGGAATGCGCCCCACCTATGGAATGCGCTCCCCAGAGAGGTCCGCCTGGCGCCGTCATTATTTGTTTTTTGGCGCCAGGCCAAGACCTTTTTATTTAAACAATATTTTAATTGTTAATTGTTGTTTTTATTTATTGGTTTTAAACTATTGCCGAGATGTTCCAAATTTTTAATGTTATTCTATGTTGTTTATCTTCTTTGTAAGCCACCCCGAGGCTTTCTGCGACGGGAGCAGCATAAAAATGCTATAAATAAATAAATTCTCCATCCTGTACTTTTCTAACAGTAGAAAAAAACAAAGACTGGAAACTGAGCTTGGAGACAATCTCTTTCTTGTTGTGATTGCTAGTATCAAAGGGCCAAAGTGTGTCATTCAATGGGGGTGTATTAAATTAAATTTAAAAATTAAATTGAATTTTATTTTATTTTAACTGAAAGCTGTTGAAGAGAGAACAGGATTGAGACTGGAGCATGGAAAGAAAAGAAACCACCTTTCCACCACAGTCCTGACAAAAATCATCCCCTGGACTTGGGATTTGCTTAAAGTCATGCCTATTTCACCCCTGGGGAGGAGCAATATTGATTCGTGTGTCAGTGGTGTAAATTGTAACAATCGCACTCATACATAAAAGCAAAGCAAACAAGCAAAAACCAGAGGGCAACATTATAGAGACCTTCAGGCCTCAATCCATAAAACAATTACGAATTGGTTGGCTCAGTTCTATTGAGTGGAATGACACCATGGAAGTTCCAGGCTGCTGTACTGAATTAAGCATTTTATGGATTGCACCCACATCTCTAGGCCCTAAAATACTACTAGTCATAAAACTGAAATATGTTTTATGTCAGTTTTGCTTTGTTTCTATTTTAATATGAAACAACTATAAGGATAACCTCAGTTTCACTAATGATCTGCTAATCTGGGGATAAGGTAGACTGCCTTTCGGAATACACTTTCTCTCTTCTGTCCCTCACTCAACAGTCCACAAACATCCGATGCCCCATCCTAACTGAACTGTTTGGAGTTTGAGCTGCCCCCACGGTCTGTTTCCCTCCTCTGCTCCCTCTCCAAGTAATTGGTATCTGGGGGAAGAAGGTGTAGCCATTTGGGAAGCACCCGAGTGACTGGTGGGGCTTCAGGTGAACAAGATTTGGCCTTCAGGCCTGAGGTTCTTCTCCCTTACATAGGACACCCTTACTTTAAGTTCCTCAGTATCAACCTGGAGGCTTTGGGATCTAATAGTACAGGGTTAGGATTCTGGTGCTGTCAAATATCTGGAGGCCATTTCTGTGATTTGACATGTTATGAGATATTACCATCTCTGCTCTGGTGGAGTATCCCATAAGAACTTCCATGGGCAAAGGTGTGAAGTGTCTGGAGTAAGTGACCATCAGAAAGCTACTTGATAGTTGGAAGCACCTTTTGGCCATCATGTCATAAACTGGATGTCATCTAGTATTATGTCTTCCATTATTTATTCCACATGTTAGGGTTCCTAAGTCTTTAGCACATTGGATGACTGATTCAATACCTTATCATTGTTCATTGCCTCTTTTAACAAGGTCTGAAGGAATCATTTGCAACATCTTTATAGATCTCTAATCCATGGGAAGTCGATGGACCCAATCACATCCCCATAACACCAGTCTCTGTTTTGCAATGTGTTGCTTACAGTTGTGCTCTATATTAACTTGTATAATTCCACCGGCCTTGTCTTTCCTCCATACAAGTTTAGCAGCTGTGATGTCTCCAACTCTTCCATTCTATGATTCTATTTGATATTCAAAAGCTGTTCTTCATGTCCTGCCCATGAGATGACAGAACTGCCGTCTCTCTATCCAGTTCCATATTGAACACTGGGTGGCAGCCAAATTGCGTATGCCCTTTTCGCTCGTGTTATATATTTCCAGTCTCTCATCATCTGCCTGTCAACGGAGTGGACACTGGCATTTATCTTTCTATGCCAAGGTTTGGACCTTTCTGAAAACCTTGCAGCATCATGTACCCTTTGAATATGTCCCTTTTTATTGCACCGTCTGAAATATCCATCTTTAAACCAAGAAGGGAGCAATCTTTTTCATGTGTGTAGCTTAGGACCTGAGAAGCACATTCTACCGCTATGTTATACATCCCCGCTTCTTTTCTAGCCTTCCTTTCATTGCATCCTTTGCTACAATTTCCATTGCTACTTCGATTTTTGCGGTATGGGAAGTTGTTCTCTTTAGTTTTGATGTCTCTTTTGTATATTTTTCTAGGCCTTCTAAATTTTCTTAGCCTTCTTACTACTAAATGTATAGTGTGAGTGTGTCTTAAGGACCTTGCACTGCTGCTAGTTCTGTTTTTACTCTCGTTTTTCTGTTGTAAATTCTTTATATCATATTTTATTGTTGTCTTTTATGCTTTAAGTCTGGTTTTGTGAACCACCCGGAGAGCTTTGACTGTTGGGTATGTAAGAGCATTTCATTTTTGCTCAGAAAACATTCACAATCTTGTCATGTTTGCAACTTGAAAAGCAATTGCAAGCACAAAACTGTTTTTAAGCTTCTCATGTTACATTTGCACAAAATTCCTGCGTTTATGCAAAGTCACCCCGTGGACTGAATGAGTCCATTTTGGCCTGTGAGGAAATGCAGGAGACTTACATAAGTTTGGGAAATTTTTGCAAACTGAACATGGGAAGGTTGCAGACATTTCATGTTTGAGCACCGCTCCATTTTTTTCTATTTTTCTTTTGTTATACTTCTTCTATTTGCCCAGATTACATAGCAATCACCGGAACTGGGCATGAGGTGGGGAGAGAGCTGATATCGAAATACGTTGAATACTGAGTTGTTATGTGTGAACTCTACACCACAGTTTAACTTGGAGTTGTTAAAACAACAACCCTGGAAGAGAACAAATGGCTCATTGGCACATCATGAACTCTGGGTTATTCATGGTTAACAACCCATAGCTAAGCCATAGAGCTGGGTTTGCATGTAACAAGACAGCTCATGATGCAACAACTCTGGGTTGTTATGTGAGAACCAGGTCAAAAAGACACATACAATGAAAATGAATTTTGTGTTTGTGTGTGTATACATATATACACAAAGAGGCAAGAAGGCCAAACTGACGTTTATAGTTCTGATCTCTGCTAGCCCTGCTTAACTTTCTTCCTTCTTCCCCAACAGGTATCACTGTAGATAAGCAAGGCTTCATTTACTTTGTTGATGGCACCATGATTCGGAAGATTGATGGCAGCGGTGTGATCACAACATTAATCGGCTCGAATGGTCTCACATCAACCCAGCCACTGAGCTGTGATGCTGGAATGGACATCACTCAGGTAGACACTAATCGCTTTCATACATTGTTACTGCCCAGCATGCAGGCATATTTTGTTTTGTCTGATGAAATTGGACGTCCAAGAACACCCTCTGAATAATAAAAAGGTTTTAATCTTGGTGCCGAGACGGTTGGGTAGAGACTTCCTGTGTGAGGAACCCTTCTGCAGGCCAGCACGTTCCAGGTGTTGTGGAGTCCAACTCCCAATAGCCATGCTGGCTAGGGCTGATGGGAGTTGCATTCCGACATGTCTGCAGGCCACTAGGTTGGAGAAAGCAATTCTAAAACCTTGAGGTCATTGATATCACAATATTGTGCACAGCAGATATGATCAGAGCACTATATGGGCCCTGCCAGGTGTTTTGTGTGCTGTTGACCTGCTTTTTTTGGGGGGGGGGGACTCTAAGGAGCAAAAAGGGAAATCCACTCCCTTCTTCCCCACTGCAGCCTCTGTTCCCTCTGGAAGTGCAAGATGACTTCCTTTTCTCTTTCTGCTCACAGATCTTTGGACACATGCCAGTAAAAAAAAAAAAAAGGTAGGGGGGGAGAAATCAGGAAAATCAAATGAAAATCAGATCAGTTCTTATTCCACAAACCAAGCTTTTGTGTTGAATATTGTTGATGACATTCTCCAGAATTCTAAAGCAACAACAGTAAAATTAGCATGTTTAAGGTCATGACTAGGGGAAGCATCTTAGATGTAAGAAAAGATACTGTAGGATAAAGTGTGCCCTTATCTAAGGTACAGGCATGTTCTGCCTATTTCCCACACCACCCCCAATGGAGTTAATAGTAGTTTCAAGAGGGGATTTATATCAGGATAAACTGGTTGGCAGGGGAGGCTTAAAAGAATATCTACCCAGTGCAGTTCTTTAAGCCAATTTTGGCTCCCAGCAGCTTCTCCTGAGCTTTAAAAATAAATATTATAAGAGATCTATTCACAGATCTCTTCAGTTTGGCCCCCAAGCCATAGCCCTTCTTCATTTCACCTCTTTCAGCAGGTGTGTGGATCCATTTGATTTCTCAGAAGGTCTCAGGGCTGCCTTCAGCTCATAACTTGGCTTCATCTCTGGGGCACATTTTACTAAAGAGCATTACTTCATGTCACTCATTTCCAGCAGTGTGTCACCTCTGACATTTAATTGATTTGAGAAATGATCTTAATCCTGGTGCGCCCTTCACATGAGAATCAGACCGCATGCCGTGGCCAGTGGCGGATACTTCCCTTCCCCACCGTAATTCTAGATCGAATTTTCTGCAGCAGCGTCAGGGAAAGCGGTGATGCAACAGGGCCAGGCCTTTCAGTTGTGAAGCACTGGGTTGTGTTGATTGGCAGGGTGCTGGGGACATTGGCCGAGCCACTCTGGCTTTCCTGTCCCCTCTGAGCTTCACTGGCATCCTCTCAGTAGTTTGTGAGGCAAGCAGGAAAGGACAGATGTTCCCCAAAACATAACAGCTGGATTAAATGGTTTAAACAGCCTGCAGCCCACACACAGAAGCAAGTCAGGTGTTCTCACACTTAAGCTATCTTGCTGAGGGTGTGTGTGACACCATAGCCCGCAGCAGGGCTTGTTTTGTCTTGGGTTGTCATGCCATGCAAACCAGGTCAAGGTTGTGAGTTAACACGAAGGGTTTCAAAGTAACTTGCCTGAATGAGCAATTAAAATGCACAAGCCTTACAAATAACCTGCTAGCAGTAGAGCTGGAACTGCTAATATGATTTGCTGTTATGGATCTGTGCATTCCTGGACTCGCCACAGGGGCTGTCAGGATGACTTCAGAACTCACAGTCTCCCCATCTTCGTTCTTCATAATTTTTTAGAAGCGAAGAAACAAGGAAACGTGTTTTGCTAATTCATTCTTTGTTCAGATGCTTTAATTTGTCATCGTGTTGCCAAATGCAAAGAAGGGCAAGAACGCCTTTGCCCCTCCATTCAGAGGACGGCATGTGCTGATGAGGGTCATAACGTTTCCAGCTTGCCAGAACAACCGCAAATTGTGCCAGAATGTTTGCGATTGTGCAATCAGGCTCAAATGGCTTTAATCTTGCTGCTGCATGACTTCCAAATATCTGCCATGCTGATGTTCAAGAAGGAAAGTTTCATCAGTGCTAATTTGCAATCCAATCAAATTATTCTGTCACCCAGTGGGAAGCCCTGATCGCAGAGGCCTGTAGGCTAGGCGGCAAGTTGTTTGGAACTGGCAACAACCACAGAATTTCTTTCTCTCTAAAAGCCCTTCAGAGAATTGCAGTCTGAATCACCTATCAAATAAATTAAGTTTCACTTGTGCACTAAACAACAGATTCTTGATAAACCACTAACTGTGCTACATTTTTAATCTACGTTTTATTACATTTATTACATACTTGTCAGCCAATAAAATTAGTTTTAAACAACTTCTCGTATGTATGTTTTTCATTTCCATTTTCTTCTCCAACTTCCCACCTCCACCTCCCTGTCACTGAGTTCCAGGCAATTTCAAATGCTCTTGAAGCTGTTGCCTTTTATGTGTTCCATTTGCTTTAATATAATTGCCGGATTTGTGTTGGCTTTATTTGGTGCCATTACAAACGGGTTGGGAACACTTGTTCCTTCATAGGCTGTTGGACTACAGCTTCCATCAACCCTGACTTTTAACTAAGCTGACTGGGGTTAAGGGGATTTGGAGTCAAGCCACATCTGCAAAACCACACATTCTCTGCCCCCAGATAAAGGTAAAATTTATTTATTTGTGTATTTAATGTATACCTTCCTTAGCTTTCATGGCACAGTGCCTGGAAAGGTAGTTGACAAACTGCATAGAAAGAGTTTGTAAAACAATAAACATGCGGTCAGTACCATTCTATTTAAATATGCAAACTCCATGTGCTAATCATATACGGACTGGAATAAAAACATTTTCAAAGTTCTTTTTGAATAGCAGGAATGTGCAGGCCATACATAACTTCTCCAGGGAAGACGTGTGTAGATGTCTACCAACCAACTGGCAGGCTGAAGGGTAACATCCTGGAAACTACCAGGCGGACTCATCTTGGGGCAAACCATCCTGAGATCTCCCAGTCCCGAATCATTATTATTATTATTATTATTATTATTATTATTATAACATTTCTATGCCGCCCCTTGCCGAAGCCTCGGGGCGGCTTACAACACAATAAAATACATTGAAATACAATAGCACATAATAAATTACCATTAAATACAAAAAATACATTGAGTTAACAAATCATGCAGCATATGCTGAAGATCAAAACCAACTCCAACGCCCAATGTCTAGTGTAATTCCAGTGCAAAGTTTGATGTTTGTTAATAAACCATTTGCAGGGTTTCTTTCGAAACTTCCATGTAATGTAGTAAAATGCCTCTTTACTTCCATATATAATGGTTATTATATAATCAAGCAGGACTGCAGAAGCCCCAATTTCAGCTTAGTTACCCCAAATAATGCCCCGTTATTCTCCATGCCTGTCCTCTGTATATTTGTTACCATTGCTCCGGCCACCAAGGTGAGGTTTATTGCTGGAAGTCTCTCTACTTTCGGGAAATTTCCAGGAGCGTGATCCCACGCTGCACATTTCCCCCACACACACACTAGTGGGAAACGTGTGGTTCCACAACCAATCCCCAGCATCTCCAGGAAGGACCGTAGTGGTAGCAACTTTCAAAATATGGGGTTTTTTAGGACAAGGAGGAAATTCATTATCTTTATCCAAAGGATTTCTCTACCTATATCGTCCCTTGATAGTCTGTGAGTCTAATTATGGAGACTTGTGCCAGTCAAGTTGCAGAATGCTGCCATTACATCTGTGCAGCAGATACAGTGTAGCACAGAGTCTGTCTTTATAGAACCCCTTGAGCTTTGTCTTGCTCCATTTGAGATTCTACTCTATGCGCTGGGTGACTAACGAACAGCTTGTGAACAGTATTTATTCTTCTTCCTGCAGATCTTTTAAATATAATATAGAATACTTATCTAAATTTCACCTTAACGAAATTCCATAGCTTTTCATGGTGGTGGTGGTTTGGTTAAGATGGTTATCGCTACAGTTACATCTTTCTTATCCCAAAATGGACAACTTTAAGACAATTCCACCAGATAGGAAAGTTGTCTGTGCCACACCATCCAAAGTTCTGTTTTCAGAGGAACTGTGTCATCTTCAGCTTTGTAGGCATGTTATGCCAAAAGTCTAACATGCCTACAAAAGTTTATTCTATGATTCTATACTGGACAGCCATCTGAATGGGATGGTGTAACTTGGTGTCCTGCAACAGCAGGGGGTTGGACGCGATGGCCTTCATGGCCCCTTCCAACTCTTCTGCTGTTTGATTCTATGATTCTTTGGGCACTTTCAGACGAAGGGCTCCTGGTATTGCCAACCAAAAGGTGGTGTGAAATTAGACTGTGGTTTTGTCCTTCATGTTTTTCCTGATTAAAAAATGGCAGGCATCTTGTGGAAACATAGGAGAATTGTGAGTTGATGACAATCTCACTGGGAGCCGCTGTACAATTCAGTGAATGGTGAGGAGGGCAGTTCCACAGACATCTCTGCTCACTCTTCAACGTAGTCAGACCAGAGATTGCAATTCAAACCTAATCGGCTGTACAGTACCCAATTTAAATATTATTATTTTAATAATGTGGATCTCCATCTTGCTGTTCCTCCTTCCTTTCCAGCAATATTTTCCTTTCAACTCCCTAGATAGCTCTTATTTTTCTGCTTCACTCTATCTTCTAAAAGGAAGAAGGGCAAAAAAGGGCATGTGTATCATTTGCACTAATTACCTTTGTCTGCCCTGTGGTCCAAGCTCAGCTCCTCCTCCAGCTCCAGTGGCTGAAGACCATATTTTGTAGCATCTGCAACAGATCCTGTACTGATTTTCTTTAAACTTAGACCAGTTTCGCAAAAGGTATTTCCATGGCTTAGCTTGTAGGAGAATCCCTTGAGACTCCTGCACTTCAGCTATGGGTTTGCAGACTGAAGCTGACTGACAGTATTTGTCATGAACTTTTGTATTGCCCAATTTATGAACCTCTTTGGAAGAAATCCTTACTGCTGTTGATTGCTAGATTAGTGGAAGAATTTGATGTCGATAAACTCACCCTTTCTCACCTGACGAGATCGGTTTCAAGAATGCCAAGCATAAATGTCTATCTGAGTACGGATGTTATCTATCCGCATTGCATTGCTTTCATGCAATAGCTCAGCTATTCATACAGAAATATCACTTTTTAAAATGTCACTAGATGCATATCGTGCTAAATAACCATACCATTGCACAGGCAGTTCTTCTTGCAAGAGCTACATTGAAGAAGAAATATAGTTTTGTCCAAATATTGCAGGTTGCAAAGATGATCTGTTGAAGTAAGTTACATGAATCTAGTGGGGTGCATTGTACTTCTCAAACATAGTGGAACTCATAGACAACTAGATTTTTCTGTGAATTTTGTAGTCAAACAAATTAGCATAGGAAACTTGTGCTCAGGTGTGTTTTGCCACTAGGGCTCGGGAAGCATAGCAAAGGGTTGGATTTATTCCCCATCATACTTCCTGCCAAACCACTAATGGGCACAATCTCTGCTTTTCTGGTAAGACTCAAAATATGCAACCCCAACATTAGGGAATTTTCTCATATTCAACTCCTGCTTTTTAATAAAGAGCTTAAAAGGAGATAACTTTTCACTTGTGTTGATCATCCAATTGCTTTAACTGTCAAAAAGCTTTAAAAGATATTAGAACTTCAATAAAAATAATGTACTAGATGATTTACATAATACTAATTGATAACATCTGTTACAGCTTATCTTCCCTTTTCCTTATTTATCTGGAGAATCATAAACTTTAAATGAGAAACCTTTTGGCTTTGCAATCATTTCATTCATCATAATATTCCTTCTTGATTTTTAAAATAAATTGATCTCCTTGGGGTTCAATCCCATGTTTTCTTCCCTTGATTTACTTAAGTTTCCGAGCATGGAGGCTTAAGCTTCTGAGCATGATGCAAGGCCTGTGGTTGGAATCAAAACCTGTGTTTCATCTAGACTGCCATTTTTGGCCATGCAAATGAAGCATCATAGAAGGGGAGAGAAGAAGACCACAGTGCTGATTGGAGATAGTACAGTCCATCAGCCCCAGACTTCTCCCATCCCCTTGGCATATCCTTTCCAAGGTCCTCTCCAAGGACATTTTATGACCTCAGAGATGCAGCTAGTGTGGATTTTTCTGCACCAGCAGTAATTGGACAGGATGAAGGTTCTGCATCCAGACAACTTCAGCCCTGGAAGTCTGCATAATCCCATGGTCCTAGACAATGCCAGAAAAATGTAGGAGTTTGCCCTTGGAATCCTAAGAGGCTTCAGTATTAAGAAAGTACATTACTTAGCTGACATTTGGATTGCAAAAGGAACAATTGTTCATCAGAGGATATTTTCCCTCTAATTCGCCTTTGCTCTTACTGAACAAATTATCTTAATGACTGCTAAAACCTATCCTTGTTTCAAGTATTAACGTGTTACCAAGATGATGCATTGCGTTTGCTGTCTCCTTAGTTTATAATGAAACATATTTATTTATTACTTCTATATCTATATTTATATTTAGGATTTTTAAAAGCATATATTTTCCTTTCATTATGTGGAATGCCTGAATGAAATGAGCCTCAATTATACCGAAGTTATATACAAGGAGCTATACTAAAATGTCAACAGCATCTGGGTAAATTCTCAAAAAGACGCAGAACATCCATTAATCATCTGAACTTTTCCATTACAGCCAACTATGTCAAGATCCCATTTATCAAAAAATTGTGGAATTGAGGGGTTGTAATGTTATTTGTTTGTAACCCTGCACTTAAAAATATTCACCACTGAAGAACATGAAATAAGCATCTTTAAGGACTAGAATTTGCTTCCAGCTTGCTCTTTGCATTCATCTTCATTTTGGAATATGGCCACCAGCCACATTAATCTTCATGCCAGGTAGCAATATTTTTAGGAAAATTGTCTGGAAGCAAAGGAGGAATTCACTCACTTAAGGAGCACTCTAAATTTTGTCATGCACCTAGTATAACCAAGCATGTTAAAACATAATAATCACATTATCCTCACTTTGCAAAAACATCAGTTATCCAAGTATCAGCAGGTTTCTCACAATGACTCAAAATGGGATGTGAAACCATTTAAGAAGTGAAAGGGACTTCAGCCTACAGCGAACACCTGAGCACCATGCAAGCATCAAAACATCTGTGGGGAGCTCTCCTTTGGTGGCCTCCCAGCACTTGTGGTTTTTTGTCCCCATTCTACAAATCTAAAATGCCTCTCCTAAACTTTAGTTAGTGGCAGTAAAGGCTTTCAGAAAAATATGCTGACATTTTTCAAAATTTCTTGGCACTGGTCCTTCCTTCTTGCTCCACCCATGATTGGAATGTGAGCCCCAAGAGCTTCCCTAAACTTCAGTTTGGCCCTTGGTCTGGAAGAGATCCAATTCCCCACCCCCAGCTTAAAAAGAGAGAAGTTGAAGGGGGCCTTGCATTAATTCACCTCTGACCTGGGAAAATGCCTTTTCTGCTTGGCAGGGAGTTGAAACTGCTTCCCTCTAATTTCTCGGTTCTTCTTTGCAGGTCCGATTAGAATGGCCAACAGACCTGGCGGTCAACCCTCTTGACAATTCGTTATACGTGCTAGACAATAACATCGTCCTACAAATTTCTCAGAACAGGCGAGTGCGGATTATCGCAGGTCGCCCAATTCACTGCCAGGTGCCAGGGATAGATCATGTTTTGGTCAGCAAAGTGGCGATCCACTCCACCCTCGAGTCGGCCAGGGCCATTGGCGTTTCGCACAGTGGTGTGCTGTACATCGCTGAGACAGACGAGAGGAAGATCAACCGCATCCAGCAGGTCACAACCAACGGGGAAATCTCCGTCGTGGCTGGGTCCCCGACAGAGTGCGACTGCAAGATTGATCCCAACTGCGACTGCTTCTCAGGTGAGTGCTCCAGTGGGCTTCCCCCTCCTTGGCTTTCCTGCTAATGGGTGAGTTTCCGGCTATGGGCTGTTCCTAAGGAGGGCATCTTCAGGCATAATCCACTCCTGGATAGCCTGCTTCATGAAGCCATGGACATGGAGAGGTCCTGGTTTTGCAACGGTGGCTTCAGATGCACCATTTTGCTTCCACCGGGTGACTTTGGAAGCTTCTTAGGAGTGTGCGACAGTGCCTATTTCTTCCTGATGCACCCAGCACAGGGATGACCCAAAGTGTTTTGCTATTGGATGCAAAGAACAGGATAAACGCACTTTCTCTGGCTTCCCCTGTTGAGTCGGTGCCCAGAAGCCAAGTGGGCAGGTGACTGAATCCTGTTGCAATGAGGATCCAGCATCCTCCAGCTCCCCCGAGAGTGGAAGCTCACCTTGGGGCACAGCTCTGCCCTCGATGGAGGAGAGCAGCCAGGGGGTTCAGAAAGAATAGCCAGGGAGCTGCTGCTACTGCCCCCTCCCAGGCAATTGCGACCTGAGCCCCTTGCCTCCCTCTGCCTCATGGTGCAGCCAGCCCTGTCCCGGCACCTGATATCAAGCTGCTGACTATTCAGTTGGAGATTTCGTATAGTGAATAGTTGCCGATGCTCCCATCCTCTGTGGATCTGTCTAATTTTTCTTTCCTTTGAAAGCCGTATAATCCAGTGCCCTCCCTCTTACATCTTGAGCTAGTGAATTCTACAAGTTAATTATGTGCTGCTTGAAGAAGTAATTGCTTTTGTCTGCCCTGAACACATTGCAAATCAACATTATTGGGTTTCAGCTTTAAAAACGCTGGCATAAATATTGGCTTTTAGGAGTTTTAAAGTGGGTTTAGGCTACAGTCCTGAACCCAGATTGTTTAGTCATCTTGAGGTGAATCATTTCAATCAACATAATGGGATGTAGAAGTGCAACCAAATGTTTAGAGGGAGAAGCGGGGCTTGTCTGTGGTTGTAAACATGCATCTTGCCTGCTTCTCATCTGACCTGGCACAGAGCTTGTACTGCCATGTGAGCCCCAGCGAAGAGTCGTGGTGGGCAAATGTGATTGTGGAGAACATGGGAAGCAACCTCACAGCAGGTCCATCTTGCTCAGACTCATCTGCACTGACTGCGACAATGGAGCATTATGCTTGCATTATCTGAGCATTATGCTTGCATTATCTACACTGGCTGGCAGGGATAGTCCAAAACTCTATGTGGAGACAGCAAGGACTGAATCTGAGACCGTCTGCATGTGAAACTGAATCTGGACTGAATCTGAGAACTTCTGCCTCTGAGCTAAATGCAGGGTGTCACTGGTGAGGGGAACCAGGAGCCTGTTCACACCCAGCTCTAGCAAGAACCCCCTGCAGGACCCATGGCAGACCCTGGTGCCTCTCAAGGACATGTGAATTCCAGAGATCTGCCAACCAAGCCAAAGTCTGGACCAAGATTCCAGTGTCTGGCAGCATCTCTGGAAGGGCAGGAAAGGAGGAGAAAGGACGTAAAGGCAGGAAGAGGCTGGTCAGAGGAGAGCTTGGTGAGGGAGAGAAAAAGGCAGCTCTCTTTGAGATGCAGCCAAGTAGGGAAAGACAAAGAGGACAGGGAGTGTGGAAGCGTGCCACCACGTAGCCGGCCAACTCTTTTCCCCATGGACATGGGGGCCTTGTGAGTGAGCGTGAGGAAGGCCAGCCTTTTCCTCCCAAGAGAGACTGGCAAGCAGGAGTGATGCCAGCGAGTGTGGAGTCTCTCAGCAGTTCAGCTACCCAGAAAAGCATCCTGTGAGGGACCAGAATCACTGACCAGGAATTCCTAACAACCATGCCCGTCTCCACATTGAACTCAAATAGCCCACTAAGGGCTTATACGTACTTGCACACTACAGGTGGGATCCAAAAACTCCCCCTTGAAAGTAGGAGGCAGCCCTCTTCCTTACCTTAAATTAACACTGACATGAGTGAATGTAGCTAAGCTGACTACTTTTCAGTGAAAGAATGCAATTGTCATGTTCTGCCATTATGGTTGTGTGTGTTTATTTACAAGACTTACGTGTGGCTCCATATTCCTTTGTGGAGATTTTGGAGCAGTGCACAATGAAAGATAAACAGATGCTGCACTGTGTGGGGTATTCAGCTGCCAAACTGAGTTCAGACCTCTGCCTGCTATTTCACCCACCCCTGTCTTTGCCTGAACCCCCCAGGACTGAGCCCTGCACCCCGGAATGCTGCCCTACCTCACATCTTGCTTCAAGCCCAGCTCTTGATGATGATGATGATGATGATGATGATGATGATGATGATGATGAGATAAGCTGGTCCAGTGTGTAGTGATTCAGGGCAAATTCAAAGTGCATTATGCTAAATATACAGATTTAGTCACAAAATATTCAGATCCCTAAATGATGCACCAGGAGAAGGTTGTGTGGAATCCACCCCGCAACTTTGCTTAATCACCACGGAGCTCTTACAACAGCGAAACTCAAAATAGACGCTGGTCTGATTTTTAGTTCCTCATGGGGGCTCCCCACCAGGACCTTTCTCTGTGCATCTGCTTTTTTGCTTTTTTTTAGAACTCCAGCATCTTAACAGTGCAGAACATTTCAGGCTTCCTTCCATTGCAATCCTGCACAGATGGAGGATGCTGAGCAACAGGCAATTATTAAATTGCCAAGAGAGTTTTCAGTGCTAGATGCTGACAATCCTATCAAAACTACAATTCTGACATCCTAAGCCAAACACCGTGAACTTAAATACTCGTACATAGGCTCTGTTGGACTTAATGAAATATAACAGAGTGCAGCTTGGGACTCTATTCCCATTACTTTATGAATAGATTTTGAGTCAAGAAATCATTGTCGAATGGCAAAGAGAACGTGTTCGGCTATGACCTTCTCGCTGCCCTGGCATGTTACAACATGAGGCTTTTGCTGGCTAGTAGGATTGTAGATGTAGGAAAGTTGCTGTAACCGAAAGATCTTTCTAGTTAAGTGCATACTGACTGAGAACTGGGATTGTTTTAGATAATGGGACATCCATTCATGAGAAGAAAATGTTAGTTTATTGGGCCTCTTACAAGATGAAGGCAATGATGGAGGTCGTACGTGGCTTCTCACTTTGGAGTGGCCAGCTGTATCACGTATGGATTCATACATTCCCCTCTGCTGTTTTTCAGGTGATGGTGGGTACGCCAAAGATGCAAAGCTGAAAGCTCCCTCTTCCTTAGCTGTATCTCCCAATGGCACCTTGTACATCGCTGACCTGGGGAACATCCGCATCCGTGCAGTCAGTCAGAATAAGGCTCATCTTAATGACATGAATACTTATGAGATTGCATCCCCAGCAGATCAGGAGCTGTATCAGTTCACCAGCAATGGGACTCACTTGCACACCCTCAGTCTTATCACCCGGGACTACCTGTACAACTTCACCTACAATGGGGAAGGTGATCTCAGCACCGTTACCAACAGCAATGGGAACTCCGTCCATATCCGCAGAGATGCCAGCGGGTTGCCTCTCTGGCTGGTGATGCCTGGAGGCCAGTTCTACTGGCTGACCATTAGCAGCAACGGAATCCTCAAAAGGGTCTATGCCCAGGGCTACAACTTGGCCCTCATGACTTATCCCGGCACGACAGGCCTTCTAGCCACCAAAAGTAACGAGTACGGATGGACCACGGTTTATGAGTAAGTTACCTAACCTTTCCTTACTGAAACTGTGTGATGGGAAAGCCTTGTGAGAGCACTCTATTCTTTTCTGCACCAGGCTAAACCCTTTTTATTTTCCCAATGTTTTAAGATTTGATGGTTTTAATTGGGGTTTTATTGCTGGCTGGAAATTTTATTAGGATGCTGTGTTTTATTTTATATTGTCTTATTGTTGAACCATCCCGAGACCACAGTGAGAGATGGTCTAGAAAAGTTTAAAATAGATAAATAACGGCTCTATCTGGGTTCTTTCCCCACCTTGATTTGCAAGTCTTGTGTCATGAATACCATTCAGCCAAAACACCTAGAACGGGTTGTGTGAAAAAGCAAGAAGTTGAAACAGGCAAACGCCCTGAATGACCAGGACATGTCAGGTGCGATTTGTACCTTTTCTTAGTTCAGGAGGCTCTAAGCATTAATCCGTTTGATTTGTAGAGTCATCCACTAAAGCTCTCAGTGATTCATTTGGCAGGGGCCAATTTTAATCAGAGTGTGACTGGTGGGAGTCCAGTAAGGGCATACTTTTTTGTAGTTTTCAGCTATATTAGTTCTCCGTGCAAAGCAGGGGCAGTGTGTGTGTGCAGGAGCGTCAAGCGGGACAAGCTTGGGCTAAGAATCAGGGCTTTGCTCTTTAAAAACGAGACCGGAGGCTTCACTGCAGCCTTCCTGAGCGGGTGTGCTCCAGATTTGTTGGACTACAGTTCCCATCACTTCCAGCCAGTGGCATGGGTCTGACAGGGGTTGCAGTGCAGAGGACATCCAGTTGAGGGAGGGTGCTCTGGGCGGACGCCCTTCAGCTTAGCCAAAGGTTGTTTGTGGAAGGATGAGAAACCGGACTCTGAACCAGGAGTCATTCTTTCATTTCAGCCAGTTCCTTTGCACAAGCTATTCCGAGATACCCTCACAGTCCGCTAGAGCTCGTCTCTGCTATGGCTCAGTGTCTTCCTTATTAAGCATATATTTTCTGCTGTGATGTTTTGCATGTGTTCACCATATGGCCATTCCATTCTGTTTGTGTACTAATTTGCAAATTATGTATAATAAGACCCTGTGGAAGTTGCCATTTCAACACACATTGTAAACATATTTCCTATCATAATCCATACTTATCCATACATAGGGCTGCACTCCCGCACTTACTGACCTGGATTTAAGCCCCCTTGAACTCGATGGGGCCTACTTCTGAACACACAAGCAGCAAGCGCACCGCTGGTCCCGTCCGTTTCTGCCAATCACCCACAGCCCATCATGTCCCTAAGCTTGCCATAAGAGGAAGGATTGAGCAGAAGCAGCAAAATCAATGGAAGGTGTCAGCTTTGTTTCAAGATGTGTGGGCAATTTATGGCCTCCAGTCCACATCGTTTACTGGAGCTCTCAGCATTCCAGGCAACCTGATGCAGCTGGGGACAGGATTTGGTATTCCCCTTTTCAGGACTGTACGGAGGCAGAAGCACTGCCGTGGTAATAAGAATAAAATAAATCTCAGGAGTCACGTTTCCATTCCATCCTTCCTCCAAGCATTCCATGTGGCACACACGGTTTGTTTCTCACCCATGCATTTCTCGGTCTGCCCTGCATACATGCTTGCCTACAAGCAAGCAGAGAGAGTTTTCATCCTGGCCTGCCACCATTCTGGTGTGCAGAGGGTTGTTAGAGAACCTGTCGTTTCATCACCCTCTGTCCAGTTAACTCACACGCGTAGGGTGACTGTACAAGAGTGGGGGACTGCAGTCCTATGTGTCACCTTGACTTCTCCCGGACTGGGCTCAGGTGAGCATTGCCAGAAGCCTGAGAAGGCCTGCATTCAAAGGAGGGGGCTGCAGTTCTCTCTCTGCTCCCCATTCCCGTGTTGTGGTGGTCCCCCTTACACATGTCCCCCTTTGCAGGGGATACGCCCCCTTTCAAAGATGATCAAGTACAGTCCTCCTTTGGAAGGTGTCTTCTGTGTGAAGGACTGTCCAATGCAGGCCTGGTTGAACCAGAAAGAGCTTTGCATTGAGGTCTTGAAGCTGCCTGGACAACAGGTGGATGGGCAAGAACCTCCCCTGGTCAGAGAAGTCCTGACCAGCTTGAAATGGATCGTACGTAAACAAAAATTAGAGCAACTTATCTCAGTTTGTATCTATACATATAAATCAGCATGTGCAGCTTTAATGTGAAACGGGGTCCCTTTAGGCCCCCATACTTGACTCGCTTCCTCCTTTCTTTGGGGTGCAGCAATGGGGGCACAAAGGTGGGGTGGGGGCACAGAAAGTTGCCTAGTCCTGCTCCTCTTCATCCCGCTGGTTAGCTTCCCTCTCCAAAACGAGAGAAAGGAGAGCAGGCACATGATTGCCAGCGCATTTTGAACAGTTGTGGCACTCCAAGGCAGAAAAATATTAAGACAAAAACGCTACATTTTGCTGGATGATCTAATAGCTCAACTTCCTCCTCATGTCTTTTGGCTAGATGCAGGGAGCCCTCTTCTGGCCTCTTTGTGACATTGCATCGGACTGTGCAAAAGCCTTGCAAAATCTTTACTGCATATCCAGAAGACATTCCTTATTTTATTTGCGTTGTTTAAATCCCACCTTTCCAACCAGTTGCACAGGATGCCATGTAAAAAGAAAGCATAAATTGTGCCAAGATAAAAGGTGTTTGAATCATGGGAGAAGCATTTAAAAGGCTTGAGAATAGAAGCCCACTAGGTCAGTTTGAAAGTCATAGGCTGCCATTCTGCTCAAGCTTACCTGAAAGCCTGCAAGGGAGGAATCTGTAAAATCATATTAAAGGACTCATTAAATGTGCAAAATCGGGATCATTTATTACAGGCAAAAGCAAAAGGTGGGGTTTACCCTTGGAAAATAGGACTTGACATGTGTGCGCGCACAAACACACACACACATATGTGTACAACATATATGCATAAGAGCAAGAGAACTTGCACAATTCCTACACCAGGGCATAGGGCATCAGGCCAAAAGTCCAGATGCAGCCCAGCAGGACTTCCCAGGTGGCTCCCAACCCTCTCCCCACACTCACTGTTGCTGGTGCTTTCGGCCCTGGGGCAGTTCTCCCCATTCTTCGAGGGCTTTTGCTGACCATGAAAGCTTTGGGGTGCAGCTCTATCAACTGAACTTGCCCTGGGCAGAGGACCTTCGCTCCGAGGCTTCCACTTGTCCAATGCGGGACGGGAGGAACACCCCCCCCCCCACACACACACACACACACACACCTTTTGTTTTCAATAGATTGGCTTTTCATCAGATGGTCACTTCTCTGATCTTGGAGAACATGGTCCAAAACTTGCAAGGGGGTGGCAGAGGATGGGTGTCCGATGCCCCCTTCCAAGTCACAGTGCTGTTGGAGGGGTGATCTGCCGTATCCCCTGCTCCTCAGGCAATGCCTTGAGGCTCTTGGATGGTCCCCTTAAACCACCACATGCTAGGATAGTCAGGTCAGCCATTTCCAGTGGAGCTACCCACCACTGGAAAGCAACTCCAAGCATTTCTTCCGTTTGACCCGCAGGCTGAGTGCAGTTCAGCATCCCATCCTGGTACACCAATCCGAAGCCTTGGCTCACTTTAAGCCTAGCACAACTCAGTGCGTGTGGGATAAGAGCCGTCAGCAGGTGCTTGAGCAAGTAGGACACAAGCAACAGACACGAGAAGAAGTCCATGCCAGCCCCACCAGCTCATTCCCTGTCTTCATTGCATGGGGCAGGGAAATTGGAGGAAGGCTGTTTCGCAAGTTCCCTTGAGGAGACTAATCCTAGTTCCCAGAGAGGCCATACTTTCTGTCCCTCCTTGTTCCTGAGAAGTGTATGCATCCATGCAATTGTTGGGTTGTTCATGTACAGCTTCTTACTTGCTCTTCAGTCTCAATAGTTCACAGAGCAGTTTGCATAATCAACAGTATCCCATGTTAGTCCTACTTAGAGTATACCCATTGACGTCACACTAAAGTTGAAGTTAGACTAAGGTTCCATACAACCCAATGTGTTTGCAGAAACAGTTTTTGGTTCATCCAGTCCTCATGAGCCCCTTGGCATCCTGTGCCACTAGCTTCAAGCTGTAAGCAGTGAGCCTTATCCAAGCCTCAACCCAGTTACCTGGAGAAGGTTGCACCTGGGGGTTCAGAGTCATGGCAGGCTCAGGCATCAAAGGATGTGCTTCTATAGTCCACCTAAGTAGGATTATTTCCGAGTTCATTTTGTTTTTTCAGAAATGTATCCAGAGAGTGAATCTTCTACTGCATTCACAGGTATCCTTTTTATCCTTCCCAGGTATGATGCTGATGGTCACCTAACCAATGCAACTTTTCCAACGGGTGAGGTCAGCAGTTTCCATAGTGACATTGAAAAACTGATGCGAGTTGAAATCAACACTTCAAATAAGGAAAATGTGATCACGGCTACAAACTTTTCTGCTACCTCTACTATTTACACGTTGAAGCAAGGTAGTGAAAGTAAAACCTTGTTTTCCTGTATTTGGCCTCTGGCTGGTCCAGCACTTCCGGAAGACGCTTAGACAAGTCCCGTCTCAGATTTTGGTCATGAGTTAATAAGAAGGACCAGATCGAACAAGTTCGGAATGGACAGATAGCAGGAGTGGAACTTGCCAGCATCCCAAGCTGCTGTTTCTAGGATAACCCTGAGCTGGGCAACTGTACCGCTCAGTGGTCTTACAGGAGGGGGAGCAACACACAGCACACTGCTAAATGTTGTCCTCCTTGCTACGGGATTGGCAGATGGCCCAATGTGACCTTAATTTTTTTTAAAAAAGGAAAGGTAGAAAATTATGGACCCATCAGCCCAAAATGGGCACAAGATAGTCCTCGAGGCATTCAGCTCTCCGATGCTTCAGCAGGTGGAGCACATGTTCTGCCCACAGGAGGTCTCAGTTCCATTCCCAGCATCTCCAGGCAGGGCTGGGAAAGACTGTGGCCTGAAACCCTTTGAGAGCAGTTGCTGCTCTCTGTGGGCATTACTGAGCAAGGTGGATCAGCTGCTTCCCATGGTCTAAGGCCGCTGCTTCTGTTCCAGGGAGGGAGTGTGGGTGAAAGAAAACCCCCATGCATGTTGCACTGAAAGGGACGTGGCAAAGAGGATGCTGGATCATACTGAAATATTGTTCCACTACATAAATAGCTGCTGTCTGTCCGTCTGTAAAGCTGAGGGTTGAAAACTCCAGTTTTCATTTCTTTTAGCTCTTTTCTTCCTCATGACCTTTTCTTTGCTCTGTGTAGAGTGACCCCATTAAGGATCAGGCTTTATTCCTTTTGTAAATGTGTTGCTCCCTCCAACGCAAATGGGCAGAATAGCAGTCATTTGCACTTCTGTCTCGTTAGCATCACAACGGGATCCACTGCATCAACCACGGTCCAGTTCGGCAAGAGTCGCTGTTGCCAATGGACTTGCAAAAACCTAAAACTGGCTTTGCTAGATCCAAACAGGGTCTAACTTGTCAAATCAACTGTGTGCGGCATTGTGTGCGACATTGCTGCAGAAATAATGTGCACACACAACCAGCCGCATCCTTTTTAGCCCAGAGAGGTGCTTCAGATAAAACCCAATACTTTTTCTACCTCATAGGCTTCCATGTTTACGATGGCAGAAGAACTCCCACAGCTGCATTTGAGCTCTTTAATTAAACAAGGACCAGCCTGACCTTAAATTCTCCGAGGCAGTGACTTTGTCCACATGGCCCATGTGGGGATCCCTGTGCAGCACCCCAAGGGCAGTGACACTGAAGTAAGCAGAAAGTTGCTTTTGAGAGTCAACCTTCTGCAACATCTTTGAAAGGAGATGACTTCTATTTAACATGTAGGCAGAGACTGGTATGGGAACACCAAGGTCTGCATACAGCAACAGTTCCACAATGTGCTGAAAAGAGCTGTACATTATGGAAAAAGTGCAGGCAACGGCCTCAGCTCCCACTGTCCGAGCTATGGAGAAATATAACCTTTGCACACCTAGCATTGGCTTTGTAGAGCTGAGTTCTCTCCCTTCCCTTGCTTTGCCACTGACAGACAACACCCAGAATATCTATCGGGTCAGTCCGGATGGGTCGCTGAGAGTTACCTTTGCCAGCGGAATGGAGATCACCCTGAATACGGAGCCACATATCTTAGCAGGCGTTGTCAACCCCACTTTAGGAAAATGCAACATCTCTCTGCCTGGGGAGCATAATTCCAATCTTATTGAATGGCGGCAAAGGAAGGAACAAACCAAAGGCAATATCTCAGCCTTTGAGAGACGGCTACGGGTAAGGCCTTCGTCTTATGTAAAATGCAGTGCTCTGGATGGCTGAGCATCTTGAGCCTCTTGTTATTGTTAATGCTCCAATATTCATCTGTCTTATTTGTTTTTTGTGTCCAGTTCAAACGACTGGTCTTTAAATCATCTGGGAGCAGAATGCTTGCCTCTGTTTGTATGAATCTGCTGCTGCAGCCAAGGTTAATATCTGCGAATGTTCTCTCTTTTCCTCACGATCTAACACACAGAGTGTCAACTCTGGAGACAGGATCTTTTTGGTTACAGCACCCAAATGATGGAACGTCTTCCCAAGGGAAAGTAGGTGGCCCCACAGGCTGCTTTCCCTGAGCAAAGCTCTAATTCCTTGGCCAGATGAACAGTGCTTGGGAATTCCAGTTGCAAAGAGGCAAATGGTTGGACGGACAGACTCTCACTCTTCCTCAATACACCCTTTTGTTCCTGCAGTGGGATCAGCCCCTCTCTTTTCCTCCTGAGGAGGCAGTTTCTTGCAGAGGTGCTTGCGCTCTCCCCCGTTTGCCTTGCAGGACTCCAGCGCACAAGCTGGAAAGGAATTGCTTGGATAATGTCCCAAGCTGCTGCAGTAGGCCTTGGGAAGGCGACAGAGCCAAGGGCCATTTTGCCTCTTCCCCAGGGGCCCTGTGTGGCAGCGTTCCAGGAGAAGGGGCAGAGAGGGACAGCTATTCCTCCTACTCTTTCCCTCCACTGATTTTGCTGAGACCACTGATCAGGATAAAGACAAGGGAGTTGGTTCAGGCAGTGGAGAACTGGGATGGAGATGATGGAGGTGGAGATGATGGAGATGATGGAGATGTGCCAAAACAGGGACAGTGAGGCCACAGGAGAATCTTGGGATTCTTGGTGGTTTGTAAAGTTGGCCAACTTTACCAGTCCCTGGAGTTCTTTTCCAGGGTCAGTTCAGAAGAACTCCATTGGCATCTCCATTTCTGTGTTTACATATGAAACTGCTGTTATCACATCTAGTTTGCCTTTTATGGCTTGTATTTACAAGAGTATTAACAGATCCCTATGGCAGGTGGTCAATAGTTTTCTGTTTAATTAACAGACTTAGGTTTAAGACCCAAAGACATCAATAACTTGCGAGGGGAAACGCTTTAGGAAACGTTTTCCATTTGACAGAACTAGTCCTTTGGGAGGCCTTGATGAGTGTAGTGAATAGGTAGCATTCAGCTCAATGGTCTCCACCCCATGTATGCATTGTTTACTAGTGGTTTGTCCCATCTGAGGGAGGGGAAGGGGTGGAACGGTCCACCAGTCCCCCTCATATCTTCTCCCATTGCTCACTCTCTTCTCCCCTCTCAAGGTGAGCCAGTCAAAATCTAACCATGTTGATGCGTCCACCTTACTGACCGAAGGCAGGCAAAGAACATTCATTTCCTCCCAACCAGGAAATGATGGTTGGGACGTTAATGAGAGAGAAAGAACTGCTTCAGAGCTTCCCAGAGTCATCTCGCTGACCACAACTGGAAGAGGGATGGTCAATGGACCTTTGCTCTGATCCAGCAGGGCTCCTACCTCTACTTATGGTGAGAGTAGAGGGATATTATGAAGGGAGCAGCTACCAGCAGCTAGCTGTACACGTGTTCACATGATATGAGAGAAGTCAGGTCTTCGAAACTCAAGAGGAACATCTGTCAAATCCCAGTAGTTCCTGATACATTCTGAGGGCTGTAGGTCTGACAAGGCACAGATATAAAATTTGCATGCGTAACATTATAATAAGCGTTTCTTTGTTATAGGTTTTCCTTCATTTGATTCCCACAAGCTAGAAAGCTGATGGTAATGCAGAAAGTTCACGGGAGAAGGACGATACTCATTTATTGGAATGTGCTGAAATTTACAAGCAGCTATGTTTTAGAGCCTGTGAAATATCTAATCTATGTTTGATTTCTCACCTCCTCAATATGTTCTAAAATAAAACCGGAATCAAGATTCCTTCATAGCAACATAAATCCTACTATAAATCTGACTTTGTTCTCCTGCTGTTCGGTTTTCTTTCTTTCTCTTTCTTTCTTTCTTTCTTTCTTTCTTTCTTTCTTTCTTTGGTGATGTGCCAGGCTATTCTTCACCCAGAAAATATCCAGGTGAAGAGTCAATTTTGCACCTACCTCAGATAAGGTTTTATATGAAAAGTTTTAAAGACTGGATCCATAATTGTCTGTGGAATGCCCATGTAGAACTAAGACAAGAACGTCCCCTGATCTCTGGTTTTCAGATCTGAGTGAGGAATCAAAAACAAATTTAACATCTTACTCCAGCACAGTATATAAAATGGAACAAAGCTGAAAGACCCTCATATTGCTAACTTAAATTCCTAACGTAAATTAATAAGTATGCATAGCAGTGACTGGGGCCTCCTACAAGTTCCTTTCCCCAAGGAGGTTAAAGGGGATGCTGCAAGGAGGAAGCTCTTTTCTTTGGTGGTACCCCAATTATCTGGCAACCTCTATTGCCAGAGATTCACCAGGTGCCGACCTTGTTGAGTTTCAGGCACCTGGCAAGCTCTTTTCTTTTCTGCCACCCCTTATGGCACCGTCCTGACTATTTATATCAATGCCATTGGATTTAATTACATTAATCTATGCCTTTTTGTTAATTCTGGTGTTGTGATTTTACCCTGTTTATTTATTGTGATATTTTAATTGTATTATTTTATCAATGTTATTGATTTTTATTATTAATGGCTGCTCAGAAAGCATGGTGCTGGTGGGCAGCTTTCAATCAAATCTAATAAACAAATGAGTGGCAGAAGCTGCAATCCTCTGTGCCTAGGAGTAAACCCCACCGAATGGAGAGCGACTTCCAAGTAACGTGTGTCAGATTGCCCTGTACATCACATTATGTGTAAAGCAGAGAAGCGGCTCTTCATTCTGATCTGTGTAACATAGCAACAAATCCACATGATAGCGGTTTGCAGTTTTAAAATGATTTGACCATTTTTGTTTAATATGGGATTTAAAAAAATGGCGAGTCAGAACAGGTTAATCCTGGGAGCTGCATACACTCATTACAAGGACAAATGTCTGAGTAGCTACTTCTGCAAAGCTGCTTCTATTCCTTATGAAATGCCCCTCTTTGTTATGGTTCGGGGCCAGAAATATCAGGGAATCGTTTCAGGTGTCCTGAATTGTAGGTAGTAAGTTTAGCTTTCCTAACAACAAGGTCCGTAGCAGGGGAGGGGTTTTTTGGTCCTCTTCCCTTTCATTTCGTATTGGCTGCTCGCTGGTGCCCACTGGGGCCTTAACTTGGGGGTGGAAGATGCTTTGCTGCAAGAGCCATGCCTCGCTTCCAGTGAGAACAGCTTTCTTCAGCAAAAACACAAAGTACACAACGCTGCCGGCCGTGAAGAAATGAAAATAGCGATACAGCTGCGACTCCAGCTGTGCCCAGGTGACTGGCAAGGTGCTTCGGCAGTGCAGGGAGAGAAGGCATGGATTAAATTCAACTCTCATCTAGGGCTGAGGAGCCGATTGCTGTTGTCTCCAATTTTCTGACAGAGACGAGACAAGCGCCAGGTGTATTGAGTGCCGAACCCCTTGCTCATCCCATTTACGGACAGGATTTCTCATCTAGACAGGGATAGGGGTATATTTTCATATACAAGGGGTCTTCAAAAAGTGTCTGCATTATTGTATTTTATATTATTTTATATTTTCTAAATATGTTTTATATATTTTGGGGAGATGGCAGTAAAAAATTGGCATGATGCTGGCAAAAGTGCATCGCAAAGGAAGGTAGTTATGTAGAAAAGTGATGCAATTTGTTTTTGACATTCTTAATAAACAGAGTTTTAAAAAGTGCAGAAACTTTTTGAAAGACCCCTTGTACATATTTATTCTCTGCCTTTGCACCATTTCTGTTCTGCACACAAGGTGGTTTGCAAGGAAAGTATAAGAGGGATACATCTCAGTCCGAGGAAGGTAGAGCTGGAGGAAGGGGCTCATGGGCAATTCCCAGCTTGACACAGAAACGCAGCGCTGGGCTCAGTGCTCTGGAATAAGGTGCAGGGTGAAAGGGGGCTGTTACTCCCTGTGACCTGGAAGCCATGGTTCTAGGAATGCTCCCCAAAGAAGCATTAGCCTCTTTGTGCCTGCAATCCACTGCTGACTCCTGTTCAGCTTGTGATCCTTTTCAGAATAAAGCAGTACATTTTCCGGTGTGGGTAGCCCTTAGAGTAAGGATGGGCAGTTCTGCTGTGGGATCTGCCCTTCTCCAGTGCTAGAAACAGGCTCTAAGCATGTAGCATGAGGGGGGAAACCTTTTCTCAGCTCAGGTCTGCGACAGGAGATAAGAGCGGGGCTTTCAGCTCAGCTCCACAGAACGCCTTTCTCTAGCACTAAGGAATCCTTCCTTCCTGCCCCATGCACAGAGAGAGACTGCTGCGGGTCTTCTCCCAGAACGTGTTTCTGCATGCTTTGGCCTACAGAATTGCTTCATCTGCAAATATCACCATGCTGTTTTTTGTTACGTTCTTTAGGCCCACAACAGAAACCTGCTCTCCATTGATTTTGACCACATCACAAGAACAGGGAAAATCTACGACGATCATCGGAAGTTCACACTTCGGATTCTCTATGACCAGGCAGGCCGTCCAATCCTTTGGTCCCCCATCAACAAATATAATGAAGTCAATATCACGTACTCACACTCTGGACTAGTGACCTACATCCAGAGGGGAACATGGACTGAAAAGATGGAATATGACCCTGGTGGGAAGATAATTTCCAGAACATGGGCAGATGGAAAAATATGGAGCTACACGTACTTAGAAAAGGTGATATTTTGTGGGGAAATGTTTGTGGAGCTTTACAGGGTCAAGGTGAACCGCTCCCCTCCTTTGAGCATCCAAAGCTGCATCTACTATTGAAAAGGGTCTGGAGAGCTTTGCAGTATTCTTCTGGACCCCGAAATGGGGGAAATGGGGAAATGTTGCAGCCCTGGGGCCAGATCTCCTCACAGAACATTCTTAGGGGTCAGAAGATCTCGAGATGGCCCCTGTCGCCCCTTCCTCCAAAGTTCTGCCCTCTGATGTTTTCCCTTTCTCTAGCACTGAGCAGTAAACCCTGCTCTTCTTTGCAAGCGCAGTTCACTGAGGTCTTTCTAGGCACTGCCTACCTTTCTCTAGTTCTAGCCATTGGGTGGGTGCTAGGGAAGAACCTGATGCAGGCCAAATGAAGAGGAGGTTCCCTATCCCTTTTCTAAGTTTATTTGTGATGTAGAAGCTACATGGAAAGATAATCCAGGTGAGACACATGTTCTAAGGGACAATTTGAAAGACTGGTGGGAGATCCTTGGAACTCGCCCTCCTAAACATCTTGGAGGAACGTATAGATCAGTGGTAGAGTAGGTAGTTGGTGTACAGGAGGTCCCTACTGTTTCCAAGTGAAGGGCCCATCTGTTTCTTGAGATCCTGGAGAGTTTTCCATCCATCCAGACAGGACTTGAGCTAGCTGAACAAATGGTATCAGGGTCAAGTGATGTATGGAGATGGTTTAGAACAGGAACCACAAAAGCAGCTGTGTTTTTCCTCTGTGCTGCTCCAAAGGGATGCCTGCTCTTACTTATTTGAAAATACAACTTGCAAGGTAGCTATCCCATTTTCCAGATAGCACTCACCACCAATATATGTTTGGGTGATTTCCTGAGCTAAAGCACTTCCTAAGTAGATTAGTTATATATGTCTACATGATATCCGCAATAATGAAAATGCCAAATCTTTAATAGAGTTAGAAAAAACTTGCCTCCTAAAATGTTTGTTTCAAAAACATTTGAGAAGGCTTCCAAATGTCTGTATTGTATCTGATAGTTATTCAGTGTTACAAGAAAAACTGCATAAGCAAATGTATCGATGAAAATTGTGTCTTCAACTATTAGTGAGTAGAAATCCTTTTGATGGAAATCCTTGTGTTCCTTTTCCTGGTGAAGTATATTAAGAATTCATAAAGGAATCTGGAATATTGCATAGGTTCAGGCATCACGTCACAATATAGTTAAGCAAAATTAACCATGGTTTGGTGTGGTGCCTGGATTGATAACCTTGCTTTGTTATCGAGTAGGAAAAAGAGAGTTGGAAACGGTTGTCTGAAGTGGGCTTGCAAACCATGGTTTGTGCTGACTATGGTTGGTGTGATGTCTGAATTGACAAACCATAGTTAACAGCCGCCACTCTACCTCCAGAGGCTGCTGCACAGAGATGGGAGTAAACATATGAAGCTGAGTGCTGAGAAGATGAAAAAAGAAGGCAGGCAAGCAGCTCTAAACCAGGGTCTGCCCATGGTAGGTTTGAAAATTCAAACCATGGTTTAGCTTTGAACCTGTAGCTAAAGCAAACTATGGTTTGGCATAATGTCTGACTTGAGCCTAGCTGTACCTTATCCTCTGTGACCTGACCTAAATGTATTTGTGTGCATTTTACCAAACTAAAAAACCTGCCCTGAAAGATTTCCAGCAATTGTTCCTCTTCTTCCCCATGCCTCCCCAACCAGGTAAGGAAAGAGGAGGGTTGATTTCAGCCATCCTACTCTACTCCAGCTCCTAGATGGGCTTCCTCTGGGCCAAACTACATGCTACATTGATCTCCTGATGTATTTTTCTGTTCCTAAAGCAGCTGCAGAGTGTATAGGATTTAGATCAGGGTTGTGTTGAAGGGGAGGTTGAATGCAAATCCCACCACCCCATTTTCTTTCAAAAAGAAAACAAACTACTTGGGGAGGTCAACCAGAAATCTCCCAAGTCATGGTATGACTTGTTGCTCAGCCTGGATTTTAAAAAATGCACCACGGAAATCTTCCATGCAACTTTACCTGAACCTGAACCTGGTATACAGGTCTATTCTAAAGTTGCTTTATCTCTAGAGCAGGAAGGGCTAAGAAATTGGCTTTTATGTCTCACTCAGACTTCAGCCCTGCACACACTTACATGGGAGTAAAGATAATTGAACTTGGTGAGACTTATTTCTACATAAATGTGCCTCGGAGCGTGTTGTCATACACAGAGAGAAATTTAGCTGATACAAACATCTTCAATCTTTCTACTTCTTCGTATTGCTGCAGACAGCAGTCTGGGTGAAACAGCCAAGCAGTGAAGAGAATTTCTCACAGGGGCACTCAAGTTATTTCAGGGAGGCGGGTTTTGTGGGTGGATGAGTATATATTCTCCATTTATGGCAGAGAGCTTAAAAATGGGCCATGAAATTTATAAGGCAGATGGAGGAGAGAGAGAAGACATTACATTAGTATATAGAGAATCCTTGCAGGCTGCAGGTTACTGTGGACTAGAAACGCTGAGTGTGCTATAAATTTGTGACGCAGCAGAGACTCGTCGTTCCAGGGCTGGCATGATGGGTGTCAAAATGCTACAGCCAGTGTGAGTTTCTAAGCATTTGTCGCAAATGCAAGATAAGCATTATGACCCCAGATCCCGCTCCGACTTGAGTTCCCCTGCTGCCTCTCTTCCATCCAGCCAACACAGCCTTTTCCCAGTTACTGAGCCGTCTCCCAGACCTCTTCCTTTCCCCCACATGCCTGGAGCTTGTTCTTTGGCAGTGGCGTAATGCCTCATCAAGCAGGAAGAGGAAAGGAAAGAGGGGTCCCCTTCCTGTCTCCAGGGCCTGGCATGATGCACCTAGACTGTCACTCTGGCCCACAGGAAAACTACATGTCCCAAAAGCCTTGGGCACCAAGATTTAAGAAAGATGCAGGTAAATTAGAAAGGGCCCAGAGAAGGGCAACAAAACTGATCCAGGGTTTCGAAACACTGCCCTGTGAAGAGAGACTGAGAGAACTGGGCATGTTCAGCCTTGGAAAGAGAAGACTGAGGGGGACATGGTATCGCTCTATAATACCACAAGGGCTGTCGTATGGAGGAAGGTCAAGATCTCTTATGATTTTTCATTATTTATTTAAAACTTTTGTATGCCGTCACTACATGCCTCGGCATCTCGAGATGTCTCACAATACATACAATTGTGGGCCAGAGCCTATTTTACCAGAGCGATGTAGTCTGCTATATGCAATTAGTCTTGAAACTAAAAACTTTCCTATTTTGGCTTCCACTGCCTAGTGTGGACCTCAAGGGGGAAATCAGTACTTGCGTTCCTGCAGACTCGAGCCTTCGGAGGCTTTCTGGTGTCTGCTGCTCGCGTTGAAATGCACTGCGTAAGGTTGTGCTTTGTTTTGAGCTAAGACTTCCTTGGATGTCACCTTTCCTCTTGTTTTTTATTTATTTTTATTTATTTATTAAAACATTTTTATGCTGCCCCATTCGCCGAAGCCTCGGGGCGGCTTACAAACAATAAATAAAAGCAGTTATAATATAAATTACAACAAATATAAACATTAAAAATCCAAAAAATACAATATAAAATAAGCCCCCCTGGCCAGATAAGATCAAATAATATTAACAGTTAAAATGCCGCTTAAATAAAAAGGTCTGGTTTCTCTCTTTCAGTCCGTTATGCTTCTCCTGCACAGCCAACGGCGCTACATCTTCGAGTACGACCAGTCTGACTACCTGCTGTCCGTCACCATGCCAAGCATGGTGCGCCATAGTTTTCAAACAATGCTCTCCGTTGGATACTACCGCAATCTTTATTCCCCACCGGACAGCGGTGCGTCTTTCATCCAGGATTTCACCAGAGACGGGCGGCTCCTGCAAACCCTTTATCCCGGGACAGGGCGTAGGGTCCTTTACAAATACACCAAGCAGTTCAGACTCTCCGAGATCCTTTATGATACCACTCAAGTCTCCTTTACTTATGAAGAGTCATCTGGTGTTATTAAAACAATACACTTGATGCATGATGGATTCATTTGTACCATAAGATACAGGCAAACAGGTGAGGGGAAAGTATGATTCTGTGTTACATTGCTGGCATTAAGTGATCTGCTTGGACAGAAAATTATCCTGTGGTTTTCTCCTTTTTACAATAAATATGACATTTTTAGCTTGCCTAATTGGGAATGGGGTGGGGAGAGCATTATGGAGATGGGCTAGAAAAAGGTGTTGTTTATAAGGGTAAGAACACTTTGGCGTTGACCTTTATCCCTTTGCTTCAGGTACTGCTGCTGTGATTTATTCACCAAGTCGCTCAGTGCAGTTTACAAGCTGTTAAAAAAACATCATAGCAAAGCCATCAAATAAAATCATAATATTGGGAAATCCACATGTAATCCAGATGTAAAAGTCCACATCTGAAGTGTGGTAATACCTATATCAGAACTAGACAAAATGTCAGAAAAGTTGAGACAGTTTTTGAAAGTCCTGGAGAACTCAGCAAACTGTTCATAACTACGTGACATTTTGGTTGACCTTAAGGAAACTATTGTTACGCTATAGGTAACAATTATTATTATTATTATTATTATTATTATTATTAATTTAATTTATTATTATTATTATTTCTAACTGGACCAAGCAAGCGAAGCTAGTGCCTCCTATGTCAGTGGGTCCTTTTCCCTTGCAGCTTGTCGTATGAGCTATACTTGGTGCTGAGCACCATCCCTAAAACAGGTTCAGCAACATGGAGCACCACGCTCAGAATAAAAGCTGCAATGAATAAGGATCCCCATTGGAACAGGAGTCACTGGCCTGCCCTGGGAGTGAGTTCATTAGGGTGCTTCAGTTGTGGGGCAGTATAGAAACGAATAAATACATATCACCAATGTGTTGTGTTTGTGACACTTATCTATTTTTTTACTCTTGTCCTCTGCTTTCTCTCTCCTCAAACAATCGTCTGATGTTCGATATGTAGGCCCATTAATAGGTCGGCAGATATTCAGATTTAGCGAAGAAGGTCTGGTGAATGCCAGGTTCGACTACAGCTACAACAACTTCCGTGTCACCAGCATGCAGGCAATGATAAATGAGACCCCGCTCCCCATTGATCTGTACCGCTATGTTGATGTGTCTGGCAAAACCGAACAGTTTGGGAAATTCAGTGTCATCAATTATGACTTAAACCAAGTTATAACCACGACTGTGATGAAGCACACCAAAATATTTAGTGCCAATGGCCAAGTGATCGAAGTGCAATACGAAATTCTGAAATCCATAGCTTACTGGATGACCATCCAGTACGACAACATGGGCCGCATGGTAATATGCGATATTCGAGTTGGGGTGGATGCTAACATCACAAGGTATTTTTACGAATACGACGCTGATGGCCAACTGCAGACTGTCTCTGTGAATGACAAAACCCAGTGGCGTTACAGCTATGACCTCAATGGAAATATCAATTTGCTTAGCCACGGAAACAGTGCGCGGCTCACCCCTCTCAGGTATGACCTCAGAGATCGCATTACAAGACTAGGCGATATCCAGTACAAAATGGACGAAGACGGCTTTCTCAAGCAAAGAGGGAACGACATCTTTGAGTACAGCTCCAATGGCTTTCTGAACAGAGCTTACAACAGAGTTGCTGGGTGGACGATTCAGTATTATTATGACGGACTGGGACGACGGGTGGCCAGCAAATCCAGCTTAGGACAACACCTCCAGTTCTTTTATGCAGACCTCTCCAATCCAGTAAGGGTCACTCACTTATACAATCACAGCAGTTCAGAAATCACATCCCTGTATTATGACCTTCAGGGCCACTTGATTGCTATGGAATTGAGCAGCGGTGAAGAGTATTACGTTGCCTGTGACAACACCGGCACACCCTTGGCTGTCTTCAGCAGCCGAGGGCAGGTGATCAAAGAAATTCTTTACACGCCTTACGGGGAAATCTATCAGGACACGAATTCGGATTTTGAAGTCTTCATTGGGTTTCATGGAGGGTTATATGATTCGCTGACTAAACTGGTGCACCTGGGGCAAAGAGATTATGATGTCATCGCTGGGCGCTGGACAACACCAAACCACCACATCTGGGAAGAAGTGAGGAATGTCCCTAACCCATTTAACCTGTATGCGTTTGAAAATAACTATCCCGCTGGCAAAATCCAAGATGTGGCCAAATACACAACAGGTAAAACACTTATTTAATTTAAGGTATTTCTGGTCGGATGTTGAATTGGATTCATAACGTTGGACAAGAACATATTTGACTGTAGACTTCTGGAATGAAAGGCAGGCTTCCAACATGTAAGCATCCACACATTGCAAGTGCAGCTCTGATGCCAAACTGGACTTGTTAAACTGGGGTGGAGGGTTGTTTTGGGAATATCCCTTTAGCCAGTCAACTTATTTGGGAGTAGAATGGCACGGAGATGAGAAAACTCACTTCATGCAGCAAAATGGCGGCCTATCACTTGGCAGGCTGCCAGCAATAACATTCCAACTTTGCAGTTATTTCTCTGAACTTGACCGGGCTGAAGGATGCCATCCTGCCAACACACCCATCTGGTAACCCTTCACGCTTAAGTCATTGTTCCAAAACATGATATTTGAATACATGCAACGTTCACCTCAGGTGAATGCCATTTCTTTGTAATGCTAATTACATTTCAAAGTCAGCTTAGTCGGCTCTTGTAAGAAGGGTCAAAGTAAAACCGCAAAACAGATGCAGGGCAAGGGGCAGCCATGTTTATTTCAATTACCATGTTTGTTTGCTGCTTTAACAGCCCTGCTGGCTAAATTTCCACTAATTAGGGTGAGCTTGAGTGCGGGTGTTTGGTTTTGTCAAATGGAGCCTGTGAAAGAGTGAGGTGGTGCACTTGTTCTCCAGCGCTTGAGAGAAGCAAGGCTGTAAGAAAGGAATGGCTGCAGATGGGGGCACTTGCCGGAAGCGACAAGAGGGGCCTCCGGATGTGTTGCTGGTCCACCCCTTTGGTAGCCAGCAGGTTGGGGAAGAGTTAGGCTGTGCATGTACACAGGCATGCAGGTGTGTTAACCTGGAAGTAAATTCTACCTGTTCCGGTTAGAGCTGACTAAATATTTTTGGCTTTTCAAGGAGAGGACCAAAAAACTGCTCCCTGTGGTTCTTCAGATCTTTGAAGAAATGCCTTAATTTGGTGATGGGGTTGTTTAACTCTTATCCCTCTAAGAGAGCACTGGGTTGTAACTATTTTTTTCCTTAACTTGGGAATGGAAACTCTCAGGTCATTTTGCCCACCTTCCCCCAGAATTCCTGCTGGCTGCACCTCCTTGCCCCTTATCCCAATAAAGTAACAGATGCAATTAAATAATTAATGTATTAAAATAATAAATTAAACATATTGAAAATGGATTAATGGATTAAAGTTAATAAAATATATTGAAAATGGCATCCAGAGGGCCAAAAGGATCAACTTGCACCCTCAAAGAGCAGATGGCACAGTTCTTTCAATGGATCAGAGCTTGGATTCCCAGTTTTGAAGTTGATGCGCTTTCTCTGACATGAGATCTGAAAATCCAAAATATCCTATGGCCCCTCAGATGCTATCTAGCGGCCAAAGGATTGCTACCTAAGGTGCATTTAGAATTTGATGCTAAACTAACTTTTATATTTGGAAGGTACCCTGGAGAGATCGTAGTCTTGAAAGGCAGCTAAAAACACATAAAATAAAGTCAACTAGACTAGGAAGAAAGGGAATTAACTTAGCCATCATTACCAAAATTCCCTTGCAAACCCCTTAGGAGAAGTTTCTAAATTAAAGGGTTGTTTAAGCAGTGCAGGTGCATTCAACGTTTCTTTTTTTGCAATGTTTCACACTTGTGCAACATGTTAACAGTGGTATTTTTTTTTTAAATAGACATTGGAAGTTGGCTTGAGCTGTTTGGCTTTCAGCTTCACAATGTACTCCCAGGATTCCCAAAGCCAGAGATGGATGCTTTGGAGACAACCTATGAACTTGTACAGCTTCAAACCAAGACCCAAGAGTGGGACCCTGGCAAGGTTAGTGGAACGACTCTTCCATATGTTGTCCCCTTTAGGAAAGAACCAGTTATGCATTATTTCTCAGGCTGCATGTCAACAGTGATTGTCCTGCCACACGGCAGGATCCTGCCTTTCAATTGCATTATTTCCAAGAAAGCCAGAACAAGACACACATCCCATACACTGACACACATACTCGGTAAGTTGGTAGCCCTGAGACCTCTGTCTGATTAATAGAACTATTGCTTTCTTCCCTTTGGTTCTGCAGTCCTAGAGTGCTACTAGCGGGATCTGAGTGTTCTTTCTGGCTTGGCATGGTGGGGAAGACACTTTCTGCAGCTACTCCTTCTCTGGCCAACAGAAGGAGCAAGGATGGTACTCCCATCACGATGCCTTTCCTGAGAGCCAGGGGATGCAGCTCTCCCAGTGACTCTGTGTCCACTTCCTGGTGGCAGAGCGGCCTTCCCTTTGTTTGTACTCTTCTGTTTCTTACAATTTGTAAACATTTTTGGTTGGCTCACCAGGGGCCAGAGAAATAGTTTCAGGGGATACCTCAGCCCCTGTAGGGACATAAGAAGAAATCCTGGAAGTTATTCAAGGAAGTATATTCTACTTTCTATGCCTTCAACAGTCCAGAAGGTTCTGGAAGGTCAAGGACAAACCAACAAGACTAAGAAAAACAATCACTAACATTCCACCAGAGGTCATTGATGGACCTGCTTATTTGCAGCATTATTTACAGCTTATTTACTGTGGCATTTCAAAATTAAAGGATCTAAATATGTAAATAAGCTGGGTAGCAAAGGAGGGTCTGGTGTTTGTGTGATTGCCAGCACTCAACTTTTCAGAAGATGAACATTCTAGCAGCTTGCTGCGCTTCTAAAATCATGGGGAATATGAAACAATTTCTTCTCTATGTTAAACTGTGTTGCTCTGAAGAAAAAAGTAACGACCACCTGAATAGTTTGCATCCCATTCCTTCAATTTATCCTGTAACCAAGCCTTTGCCATTGCTGCAGATGGTGGTGTGCATGACCAGCAATGTTCGTGGGACAAGCCCCAGAGGGTTTTATTATTCTTATCACCTTTATATGGTGGTCCATCTATACCTATTATCTGAAGAAGTACTCTGCAGGTGAATCCAAGCCAAATAAAATGTTTAAAATACAGAGCAGGGCATTGAAAGCAATATAATTTGCTGTGTTAGTGCCAGAGATATCCTGCCAAAGTATACCTCAGCACTTAATTCTGAATTAATAACATGGCAGCGAGTCCCATGAAGTTCAAAATGATTTATTCCTGTATGGTTATCCCAGTTCAGCAAGGAAAAAGCCTGGACTGGAAATCACACATACAGAGACCTCTCAGGTTCATGCCCATTTAGCTATATGTATGAGGGCACGAAGTAGTCTGTGTAATTCCCTTTGGAGCATCTCGTTAGTCTTTCCACAAGACCCAATCCACTCTCTCAAGAAAACACCTTGTCACAATAATTTTGATGCATACTGCTATAGATCAGGAAGTATGGGGTCCTCTTTTGCTGCTCAGCCCTCCTTCCCATTGGCTGAAATTCCCTGTCCCACATAGGTGCCAAAAATGGGGATTTTTTAAAAGTAATAAAAGCAGAGCCCAATGTCTGAAAGACTATGAGACACCAAAAAGGTCAACATGAGCTTGCAAACAAGCTCTGGATGCCATTTTGTTTGGGGGAAATTCAGTTTTTGGAATCCCCTCCTCAAATTTCACGAGGTGGCAAGAGCTGCCACATGTGGCCCATTCCTGCCATTAATGGATCACATTTTCAGTGAAGAACATGCCCCGTCTGCTTCTAAAATGAACAATACAGAACTAAAAACCTTCCCTTCGTACACTGTTCCATTTCTCTCTTTCAGACAATACTTGGCATTCAATGTGAACTGCAGAAGCAACTCAGAAATTTCATTTCCTTGGACCAGCTTCCCATGACCCCCAAATACAGTGATGGGCGATGTGTGGATAGAGGCAAACAACCCAGATTTGCTGCTGTTCCCTCTGTTTTTGGGAAGGGCATCAAATTTGCCATTAAGGATGGCCTGGTAACTGCAGATGTTATTGGGGTGGCCAATGAGGACAGTCGACGCATTGCTGCCATCCTCAACAACGCCCACTACCTTGAGGACTTGCATTTCACAATAGATGGGCGAGATACACATTACTTCATCAAGCTGGGGTCTTTGGAAGAAGACCTTGCACTGATAGGCAACACTGGAGGACGGCGGATTTTGGAGAATGGCGTCAACGTCACCGTATCTCAAATGACTTCCGTCATCAATGGAAGGACTAGACGGTTTGCTGATATACAGCTACAGTACGGTTCTTTGTGTTTCAATGTTCGGTACGGGACAACCGTGGAAGAAGAGAAGAACCATGTCCTGGAACTAGCCAGGCAAAGAGCTGTCGCTCAGGCCTGGACTAAGGAGCAAAGACGACTCCAGGAAGGCGAGGAAGGTATTAGGGCTTGGACAGAGGGGGAGAAGCAGCAGCTTTTAAGCACAGGGAAAGTGCAGGGCTATGATGGATACTTTGTTTTATCCGTGGAGCAGTATCTCGAACTTTCTGACAGTGCCAACAATATTCACTTTATGAGACAGAGTGAAATAGGCAGGAGGTAACAAACACACAAACAAACAATCCCTGCCTTTGCATCACCAAAGACTGCCTGTTTTTAAAAAAAACATTAAGTAAAGGTTTATTGTATTGGTTTTTCTAGATCAGAACTCTGTGTATATATAAATATAGAGGGGGAAAACATATCCAACTGCCTTTAAATGTGACAGAAGATGGTATTTTAATATAGTTTGTTTAAGCTCTTTGGGAGGCGGCAATGATTTTTAGTTCTAGGTATTCAACATGTGGAAGCAGCATTCCCAGTGTTGAGCATCACTTGGAAATGGTTCGCATGGGGCAACATTTTAGTGAGCTCTCTTTTTCCTTCTTCAGGCCACAGTTTATTGATTTTAATGACTTGCATACCACACATTTGTAGTTGGGCCAGTGTCCTTTGTTCCTGGCTCTTCCTGGTGAGGCATCGCCAAGCACTCATCCCTGAAATACATTTGACATTTCAAGAGCCTTCCGGGGACAAGGGACACCCACATATAATTTCCCTCGGTGCCAGCAAAACAGAACCCAGCCCCTCCAACCTTCTTGTCTGACAGTCAGGGAGATGTGCTGCCATTGCCCCATTAAGACACTGCAAATGCAATCATCTTTTGGCTGCCTTGGGTTCCTTGCAAGAGAAGAAAAGGTGGGATTTCGATGTAATACTGAATAACAAGAATAACACATTTTTTAGTCATTGCCTTATATGATTAATAGTTTCATTGTGCGGATGATGAAAAGTGGTAAGTCGAGATTTCAGTATTTGTCTACACATTGCTAATAGTCATGTCTGCAAAGAAACACATAAGAGGATGTACTTCCACTTGTCTGCTTTCAGTATATTCAGTGGGAAGCCATGGATGCAAGCACCCCTTCATCTGACATTCATGTTGTTACCTTGTGAGTAATAGCAGCTATTGACTGGGTTTATTGACTGGCACCACAATAACCCACACTCGTGGGGTGAGAGTGTGGTCTTGCTGAACCGTGGCCTGGCACTGAACGTGGGCCGTTGTATTGGAACCCCAAATAGATAAAATGAAATTCGCTTGCAGCCACCCTCTGGATTGTTGCACTTCTGGGGTGCTCTCCCCACTTAAGGCTTTCTCCGTCTTTTCAAGCACATGTAGAAAATTGCCACCCATAAGAAAGATTTGCTGTGTGAAGGAGATACGAATAAATAATTGAAATATCAGCCTTTTGAAAGCTCAACAATATGATGTTATTTATTCTGTCACAATTGGTATTTCTCTAGCACAGGAGTGTAGAACCAAATCAGACCTTCTGGACTTGGCCTTCCACGGTCCAACCCCTTTCCCCCAGTTGTCACCTGGAGATGTCCTGGCTTTTGTTCTTTTTTCCTCCACTCAGCGTGGTTGAAATGCCTCTCCTAAGGCTCTGTTGCAGGCAGTCAAAGCTTTCAACTAAAATATGCCACTGCTTTCACCCTGCCCGTTTTGTCTTTGGTCCCTACCACCATTGGAAATGGTCCCCATGAGCTTTTCTGACAAGGAATGTGGTCCCTAGGATGAAATGCTCTCCTTGTTAAAATGTTTGTGTATTCTGCCAGAAGAGTTTGGGTCCCAAGCCTTGAGTTCAGTTAAGCTTCATGAGTCCTTGACAAATTGGGTAGAGCAGGATGGGATTCTCAGTTCAGCTGAGGAGCACCATCAGCACTGATGAATCCTCATTAGGATTGTTCACACAGGCAGTGCACACTTTACTGTATCATATTCATAAGATGAGTTGGGAAGGCTGAGGAATGCCTTTTGCAATATTTCCATCATCAATATTTGGCCTTTTTCTGGTGTCTGCTTATTTCTAATGAGATTCACAACCCACGTTTCCCTTCCACAGAGTGGTCCCCAAAGTGGCTTATAAGTATAAAACCATCATGAAAAGAGCAAACGATTAGTTGAATTTCAAGAACGGTATCCAATAAACTAAGCCAAAGTCGTAATAAACACTACACATTAGTACACAGCAGAGCAGGAGAGGCAGTCAAAGGCATCATGGGATTCCACGTGTGTGTTATGTGTGTCATATATAGTTACCAATACAGGAATTGATAACTAAGTGCTACAGGAAGGCTTTTAAAGTTGTTTGCTCTAAGGTTCCATTTTGGGCTTTACTGCAGAGAATCCAAAACCTCACTGGAACCCCAAATGAATAAAACAAAATTATAGATTACCAGCAAAGGAGAAAACAACCTAAGTTAACACAAGGAAAATGGTTGAGCTGTAAGCAACATCTGTTTAACTTGTATTGCCAATGCGCCTGTTTGGTCACATGAAGTTGCCGTATGTACAGTATGTATGTATGTACGTACGTATGTATGTATGTAACATAAGTGTCAAAGAATGTGGATTGAGTTGAGTGCACTCCACGTATACTAAGTGCAATCATTCGAATGAATATTCTAATATATAGTACTCATATTTCCTCAAACTGAACATCATTTATTTTGGACATATGGAACATAAGATAGCGAAAGCTGTGATGGGTCAAGAAAATCAGATCTGAACCTATCAAATATTGGCACTTTCTTCCCTACCATTCACCAGTCAGTAGTTCTCTGTCTCTAGCCACTGGAAACACAATGTGAAAGCAAGGTTTGCTGGTCCCTCAAAGAGGAATTCATGCTCCTTCCTTTACATTTTGCTATGGGCTAAAAAAGAGCATACGATCGGATCCAATTAATGTAATCAAGAATGAATAATCAATATTAGAACCTGATCTGTTCCAATATTGGTGTCTCTGATCCTATAGTCATTTTCTATGAAACTCTGGAGAATTTAAATATGGACTTTCAGATCCATAAACCTGCACTTTTTATTCAAAGAAAATAATTTCTGAACATTATTTATGTAATATGTGTGAGGATGATTATGTACTTTAGCACTGATGTAAGATGTCAACACCAGTAATTTTGCTTATAGTTTAAGCAATTCTACTATTTGAAACTCATGAATTAAGCTAGCGTTTTCCAAAAGCTTTAAAATACCCAAAAGGAAGAAATGTTGTAGACCTTTTACACATTAGTTATTAGCTTGACCTGTGCATTTCTAGTATGTAATACATGTTATGTTAACTTGTGCCTTGAGTTCTTTATGGTTGTATTTGTATTATATGCAGGAAATGCACTTTATATTACTGACCACAGAGGGTTTTTAATGCTGCCTTGAATGTTATAGTTTCATTATTATGCCAAAAGCTCACAAAGTGAAATGGATTCCATTTTTTTTTCCTTTGGCACCTACCAATGAATGAAGAGAATTGACTGGGTGTGTTTTAAAGGCATTGCTTGGTATAAAATATGGATCATGAAGAACATTAAATATCTCTACCATCAAGATGCTGGTGGTATCAGAGAAAAGTTTCTATCATGTCTTCATCTGAAATTCAGAAAAGGAATGCCTGTCACTCCTGGCATCTTCCCCCAAGCAAGTGAATGGCGGTTTTGCAGATCATCTGAATGAATTCACCTTAAAGCAGCATGTTTAGGATACTTCCAGGAGGTGCTGTGTAATGATGTGTTGGAAGGATGCAGTTCTCTAGACAATACTTCATTCTAAATAATCACACCAGCTTACTGGTAGTTTTCCATTGACACAGTGGTGAATAGGAGGCCTGGGAAAGAAAGAAAAAGGTGGAAGGACCCTCAAAAGACACCTACTCTAACCCCTTACTGATGTAGGAAATCCACAACTACAGTATACTTTCTAAGCAAACATTCCCTATTTCATCAAAGGGAATCCACCACCTTTTGGGGGCGCATGTTCCACTTTCGGCTGCCAGAAAGCACATTAATGTTGTGCTCAACAGTGACTGTTTCACACATCCAGCAAAGTCAGTCACTGAAGATTTTTCTGCCAGTCACAACAGCTCCTTCATTTCCCAGTTTTCATTGTGGCAGCACAGGAACATAAAGCTTCCATGGATGTGCTGGTTATAGGGATGCCTGGAAAAGACCATGCACAGCCGCAACTTCAAGGTGCTGTTGGACAGGAATACATTTCCATAATCATGGTCTTCAGGACCATTTTACAAAGGAAGGCATGGGAAAACCATGACTGCTTTCTGCCAGATTTGGTGAAGACAGGAAAGGGGACATAGGGACAGTGAACAAAATGGTTGTAGTTAACAATGAATGCTCTAAAATGCATACCAAGCAGAGCACCAGACATGATCAACATGTTTGACCTCAAACGTTTTTGGCAAGGGGAATGGGTTGAGGTCCTAGTTCGTGAAATGAACAGAATATGCTCTAATATTGTGGGTTTGTGTTTGTTACTTCAAGAGCGATTGGGGTTTGCAGTCTCCTAAAATCACATTCGACCTTTGTGGCACTGAGCAGAAACTCTGCAAAAGCAGAATTGCTAACCTTTTTAGCTCTGCAGCAGTTCAGGCAGTTTGGTTTTCAGACTTTGTGCTTGTACATGCATTGTCGCTTGGCTAATCTTTCCCTTACTTCAGTATTTTGTTGGAAGTAATAGGGGGAAAATAACAAAAGGGGCTTGTTAATGAGCAATTAAACCAACACTAGAAAGAACTGTGGAATGTTGCATGGTTGCGGCAGCATTGAAGCCTTGGTGGCAATGGTGTGATGCCTTGGAATGTTAGCAAACAGTCCAACTGCTGGAGGTCCGGCTCAGGCATGGAATCTCACATCACTCTGGTTTGGTCAATTCCTTGCAGTAGCTTATACAGGAGCTTGGTAGGCAAAGTAAAGGAGAGTGAGGACCAGAAAACATGGTGGGGAAAATGCTCAGACCAAACTGTGCACAAAAAACAGGATGGCTGGAGAAATGTATGGACTGGCCCACCTGGAAATGCACTGAAAAACTGGGATCTGAAAGAACGGTAGGAGTATGAGGCAGAAAAAAGCAAAGAAGGTGGAAAATTCGGGAACAACTTCACAAGAAGATGAGAGACAACATGGTGGGGACTTGAGGTAGGACAGTCATGAGTCTGGAGCATCAAAGACTCTGTTCAAACAGGTAACTAAAGCGAGTGAGACACAGTGAAAGTAGCAGTTCCTGAAAAGCAGAGACCTTGGAAAGCAGTGGATGGCAGATACTTGTAGATGGAAGGGCTTGGCAGTTCAGTCCTGATATGTCTGCTCGGAAGTCAGTCTCAGTGGATTTGGGAGGTGGGGTTACTTCTAGGTGAG